GTGCAAGGCAAAGATTTCCAACTCTGAAGCCTTAGTATACTGACTCAACAACACTCTTCCCTGTGTGGTCTCCCATACCCACACACACCAGGGGGTGGGGGGAGATGGGCTGGTGTCTTGTTTGCTCCCTTTTGCCATTTTCAAACCTCTCTCTTCTTACCAAAAAAAAAAAAAAAAAATCCAGGACCTACCCTGGAGAAACTCTTCTTACACATGCACTCAGAGACAAATACAGTATTCCTCCTAATAGAATATGGAATTGTAAGCCAAATAGAATGGTCAAATAAATTGTGGAGTATTTCCACAATGAATACCTTAAGGCAGTGACAGGCACACTACAGCTACATGAATCAACACAAATGTTGATACACTTATGAATCGGGAAATGATTCACTGAGTGAGAAAGAAAAGTTGCAGAGAGAATTTGTGCAGTATGACATTTTTATATCACTCAAAGACATGAAAAACCATGCAGAAGTAAATAGGAGCTAAACCATAAACCAAAACAAGGGATGGTAAATACAAACATCAGTCTAGTGGTTACCTTGGTGGAAGGGTGGGAGAGAGAGCAACTGGAAAGGGCACTAAGGGTATTTAAAAGGTACTGCTGGGGAACCTGGGGGGCTCAGTCAGTTGAGCATCCAACTATTGGTTTTGGCTAAGGTCATGATCTCATGGTTCCTGGGTTTGAGGTCCATGTTTGGCTCCATGCTGACAGTGTAAAACATGCTTAGGATCCTCTGTCTCCCTCTCTCTCTGCCCCTCCCCTACTCATGCTTGTGCTCTCTCTCTCTTTCTCAAAATAAATAAATAAACTTAAAAAAAGGCGCTGGTAATGTTCTATTTCCTTTTTTTCTTTGGCTCCAACTTTCACTGGTTATAAAATGGAAAGGACAGTGCCAGTTTTCTAGGGGGCCACTGTAGTAAGAATTAAATTTCAGAGCTTAGTACAGAGTCTCCCACACAGTCTGCACTCCATACATGATCATTAATATCACTGGTAATTATTAGTACTCATTTTATCATCAACAGCACAGCCCAAGAGATACTCATTCATTGCAACTGCAATTCATATTAGGTAATATTCTATTTCTCGAGGTTGTATATATGTACTATATTCTGACTATCTAAAGTAATATTCCTAATTTGGGCACCTGTGTGGCTCAGTTGGTTGAGCATCTGACTTTAACTTAAGTAATGATCTCACGGTTCATGAGTTTGAGCCCCATACCAGCTTTGCTGCTGTCAGTGCAGAGCCTGCTTCGGATCCTCTGTCCCCTACCTCCAGCATGCCCCTCCCCCACTTGTGATCTCTCTCTTTCTCTCTCTCTCTCTCAAAAATAAACATTAAGTTAATTAATAAATAAAATAATATTCATAATTAAAAAATTTTAACACATGAACAGAAATCTCCAGCATATCTTGGGATTCCTGGGTGGCTCAGTTGGTTAAGTGTCCAACTTTGGCTCAGGTCATGATCTCACAGCTTGTGAGTTTGAGCCCTGCATCAGGCTCTGTGCTGACAGCTCAGAGCCTGAAGCCCGCTTTGGATTCTGTGTCTCCCTCTCTCTCTGCCCCACCCCTGCTCATGCTCTCTCTCTCTCCTCCAAAAATAAATAAACATTAAAAAAATTAAAAAAAAAAAAGAAATCTCTAGTATATCTCACCAGATTATTTGCCCTCTGTTCTTCCTTATGGCAGTCAACCACCATTGTCCTGGTTACCTTCCCTTCCTCATTTAGCTAACTGTGGTGCTCCCACCATCAATCTTGGTGCTTTCAACATCCACATGGATGAATCCCTCAGTTCCTTGATATCTTCACCTCCAAAGAGCTTGTTCTCCCCCTGCCCGCGGCCACCCACCTACGCTTCATAGTCCTCCTATGCACTACCTCTAAGAATCTCATTTTCCAACACCTCACTAACTACTACATACCAACTTCCCAGCTCACCCTTTCTTCTACTCCTGTTCATTAATTCTCCAGTCTCACAGGACCTCCCTGACCACTTTTCCCAGCATGCGGAGGAGAAACCGGAACACTGACACACTCAGGCTGGGAATGTACACACATTGTTACATATTACAGACACTTCAGAAAACAGTTTGGCAGTTTCTTAAAAAGTTAAGCATGTAGGGGCAGGACACCTGTGTGACTCAGTCAGTTAAGCAGCTGACTTTGGCTCACGCCTGGTGGGGTCAGCCCCACTTTGGGCTCTGTGCTGACAGCTCAGAGCCCGGTGCCTGCTTCAGATTCTGTGTGTGTGTCTCTCTCTGCCCCTCCCCCACTTTCTCTCTCTCTCTCAAAAATGAATAAATAAACATTTTTTAAAATTCTTAAAAAAAGTTAAGCATATATTCTCCATATAATCCAGCTATTCCATTCCTAAGTATTTACACAAGAGAATTGAAAGCATATGTCCATGAAAAGGTTTGTGTATATATGTTCATAGCAGCTCTATCTATCATAGCCATCAACTAGAAACAACCCAAATGCCCACCAACTGATGAGCTGATAAACAAATTGTAGCATATCTGTATCATGGAATACAATTCGGCAATTACAGGAACATGCTACTGATACTACACAGCAGGAATGCATGAAAATAATTACACTGTGTGAAAAAAGCCAGAGAAGAAGATTGCATACTGTATGATACCATTTATATAAATTTCTACAAAATACAAACTAATCTGTAGTGACAGAAAGGAGATTAGTGGATATCTAATCCAAAGGGATGGGCTGGGCTGGGGTGGGAGGGGTTCCCAAGGGGCATGAGGAAACTTCTGAAGAAAGTGGATATATTCACTATCTTAGTTGTGATGGTTTCATGGGTGTTATACCAAAATTTATCAGATTGTATATCACTTAAATATGCACAATTTGGGGCGCCTGGGTGGCTCTGTCGGTTAAGCATCCGACTTCGGTTCAGGTCATGATCTCACAGTTCGTAGGTTTGAGCCCTGCGTCGGGCTCTGTGCTGACAGCTCAGAGCCTGGAGCCTGTTTCGGATTCTGTGTCTCCCTCTCTCTCTGACCCTCCCCTGTTCACACTGCCTCTCTCTCTCAGAAATAAATAAAAACATTAAAAATTTTTTAAATAAAAAAATAATAAATATGCACAATTTATCTTATTGTCAATAATATGGCAATTTAACAACTCAATGGGCTTTCAGCACAGCTTGATCTATAACCTTCTAGCGCACTTTTCCACTCTCTAAGATGGCAGCCTCACTTCCCCTTCTCTTCTCAAACCTCAGTGTTCCTCACTTTCATCTCATGCTTGGCTTCTCATTTTATGGAGAAAATAGATTTAATCAGATTCTACTTCATCATCCCTGCCCTCCCATTCTACCAATTCTCCCCTAGCCTATATCCACACACTCTGCATGCCTTCCTCTTTCAGTGGATAAACATTCTGTGCTTTTGGCAAAGGTCAGCTCTTCCCCTCTCATCCCTAGATCTATCCCCGCCCTACTCAAGGGTTTGGCTCTGGAGATTTTCCCTTATTCTGCTGCAACATTACATTTCGCCTAATAGACCAACAGGGTTACTCCCACCAGCATACAAATATCCTGAAATATTTTCTACTCTAAAACACAAATGAATAAGATCTCCTTTGACTTTGTAACTGTTTCTAGCTACTGTCCCTTTCTGCTGATGTCCTTTATAATAAAACACCTTAGGCACAGTTTATCCCTGTTGTCTCTACTTTTTTTTTTTTAATTTTTTAATTTTTTTTAATGTTTTTTTTTTTTAATTTATTTCTAGGAGAGAGAGAGAGACAGCGTGAGCAGGGGAGGGTCAGAGAGAGAGGGAGTCACAGACTGAAACAGGCTCCAGGCTCTGAGCTGGCAGTCAGCACAGAGCCTGACGCGGGGCTCGAACCCACGAACCGCGAGATCATGACCTAAGCGAAAGTCGGACGCTTAACCGACTAAGCCACCCAGGCGCCCCTGTTGTCTCTACTTTCTTGTCTCCATCTCTTAAGCCCATTCCAACCAGACTTGAACCCCTCGTTCCACTGAACCTGCCCTTTGTCAAGATCATCAACAACTTCTGAATCACCGAATCCAATGGCCAATTCTCAGTTTCTTAATTTGAATGTCACACTCCAAATTATCTTCTCTTTATGATAACGTCAGATCCTGTCCTCAGCATCAACTCTCAGAAATGTTTTCTCTTCCTTTGTTCTGCTCCTGGAAAAATGGCACTAGACTATCCACTGCCTGAGAGGAGAAGTTACTTTTAGTCCTCTGCTATAATCTCCAGGCTGGACCAGCGCCAAGCACATGATAAAAGCTGAGTTAATACTGGCTGAATGAATGAATACATGGCATGATGCAGACAGTCTCAGGCCTGAGGTGAGTACAGGCTGATGTATAGTTGATTCTTGTTATCTGTGGTAAGAATGTTTTATAAAGTCACAGTGAACACTGCATTAGTGAATACTGAATCACTGCTCTGAGAGGAAATACAGGGTAGAGTTCCTGCAGCCTCTGGTCACAACATTTTCATTGACTGACCAATACTTAACCCTGTTTTATGCATGTTTCTACTTAAAATACCTTATTTAATATGTTGTTAATTTGTTAACATGGAACTCAAGGCAACAACACTTTTTAAAACCTATGCCCAGTGAAGCTTGTCCAACTTTCTCCAAGGCACATCAGAGCCTTCTTGTACTTAGAAACACCAGACAGCACTTTAGCACTACCCTTGGGCACCGCTGTAAACAGCAAAATCACCAATAAAAAGCACACAAATTTGAAAACCATGGCACTACGTAGACATGGAAAGGATACTTGTTTCTAGTATGAAAGCTGCAGCAAGAAGGCGTTGCTTGACGTTAGATGGGAGTGTGCGTATCCAGCGACTCAACATTTTGCCACCCTGCATGTCCACAGATGACCATGAAGGCGCCATGAGAACAGACTTTGCAGATACAAATACCTTTTAGTGAGGAGGTGGATTTACAAATAATGAAGATCTGCTGCGTTCCCTACCTTTCTGGGGCATGTGCAGTGCAGGCCAAAGGCTTCTCCCCTGGATCAACCCACGGCTGTGTGGGCTGCACGGTGCACGGAATCAGGTAGATGGTATACTCCCCTGAGTAGTCCTTCCTGGAAACATGCAGAACAGACTGTGGTTAGAGGGGACATTTTATAGATTGTTTCCTTACCCAGAAACACACCAACTTTTCAGATGGCATTTGTGCCCAGCAACCAAAAACTTTACAAGTCTGCAAACACAATTTTCAGAAATCCATCACTGATTATTTGAACCGTCAGGGTTTTATCCAGAGGTGTTAAATAGAGCTATTTTCCTTTTCCTGAGAAAAGCTGAGAAAGGCATATTGTTTATAAAAACCTAAAAGGCTCAGTGAGGATAGAACAGAACCAGCCATTTCCTTTAGATTTCCACGATACTTGTTTGACAATTTCTATTTGGTGCTTCTAGTTGATGGACACCCTGTTCAACACATGCTCCACTGTGAAAGATGTTATTTATGAAGATGCGAACATGTCGGCTGCTGCTCTGATAGAAGTGGGGGCAAATACCTCAGGGTTAAAGGACACCCATTTCCAGAGAATACCCCCACCACCGTTAACGTGGCACTCAGTTTCCAGGCTCCTCTCCCAAACCCCACAGGCTCAGCCTTTTGTGAAGCTGAAGAAAAATCTCTCTTCTCACAGGAGACTGAGTGCTGCAAATCTCCCTATATGCGGTGGATCACAGATTCTGAAGGTTACGACACTAAGAACATGAAGCCTTTGTACCCTCACCTACTTCATTTCCTTCACTTGCCATGGAGTAGCAGTCCCAGTCCTGGCAGGTTGCCTGGAAGACAGCCAGGCAGCCAGGGACTTCAGGAAGATTCTTCAAGGAGCCTTGGGAGGTTGCCATCCCCTGAATTAAGAGCGCAGGGCTAGGAATCTTAATTCTCACTATTGTGAGCAATCTGTGACAGTACTCGCATTTGCTGTTTGCTTTTTGACCATTTCTTGTGTATTTATCTATTTATTCATTAAGTGATAGCAAAGATTTGGTCAAATATATAAACAAACAAAACTTTTATGACACATCCTGGGTCACAGTAATGGAATGGTACAAGCTGGAAATTGCGATAGTCTAAACCTGGCTTGGCTTAGCCTCTGCCACAACTGTATGACTTTTGACATGCCACACAAACTTTCAGGGTTTGGTTTCTAAGCTGCTTCCTGTCTGATAGTCTATGTGTCTGTGGTTTTCCTATGTGATCCCTATCTTCCTCCAAGCTTAGACTTTAAACACCATATTTGAATTACATGAAGATTGACATATATAATGTGAATAGTAAACCATAATTCATAGAAATACTTAGGCAGAACTGTCCATGCCTGACCCTTGCTTTCACATAGGACAGATCATTGTAAACCCTGTGCTCAAACCCTGCTGTGGCTCCCAATGCACTGGGGTAAGAGTCAAAATCCATGCACTGGTCTATAAGGCCCCACGTGGTGGCCCTACCCCATCCCCTTACTTCTTTGACCTTACTGCCTATTATCCTTCTCTTTGCTCACTCCACTCCAGCCACACAAGCTTCCTTACTATTCCCCAAGATGCTAGAAATGCTGTCGACTCAGGAATTCTTCCCAGATTTCTTCTCCTGATAATCCACATAGCAAGCTCCCTCACCTCCTTCAAATATTTGCTCAAGTGTACATTCTTGATGAGGGCTACTTTGAAGATCCTAATTAAAATCCCCACAATGTCCCTTTCCCCATCCCGATTCCCCATATCCTGCTCTAAATCTTTTATTTTTTCATAGCATTCCCCACCTTCTGACATGCTCTACTAAACTTATTTATTGACCTTTTTGTGTCTTCTTACTTTACCCTAAGTGCTGTGTGCAGGGATCTTTATATTGTTCACTGATGTATCCAGGTGCCTAGAACCTTCCGCAAAACACAGCAAATGTCAATAAATATTTGTTGAACAAATGAATGCAGGACAAATTTCATGGCCTCCCCAGCCCACAGTCCTACTTTTCCCATCCCTAAATACGATTTAGGTCCATTTCCTTACCTTCCTGGATATATACCAAACATAGCCCTAGATGCAGGTCTTTAATGCTATAGTTCTTCTTCTCTTGTTTCAAAAAAATTAGATGTTACTCATATTGCAACATGGAGCAAGGCTGTGTCCCTCCTCCAGGAAGCCTTGTACAGCTCCCTAACCCTCCTGAACAGCTATAGTCTTAGTGTTCCTTACCCTTCACAGTGTACATTGCACAGAATGCCAGTGTTGTTCTATACTTTGCCATGCATCCATGTATTTTTATCTCCTTACCTCAAATATAAGTTCTTAAAGGATGTTTATTTAGGACCTACCATATGCTAAAACCTGCAGCTCTGGGGATTCAAGATCAATCAGGTATGCCTTTGACCTTGGGGAGCTCACAAGCTAGTGGAAAATGGGACTCTACTTAGAGCACTTAATATAATGAGCTGTGTTAGGGTAGAAAATGGAACAAAGAGGGAATGGGAGGAGGAACTTCTAGCCACTGTATAGCGAAGGTGTCACAGAGGGAACAGAATTTGAGAGTATTTGAGCTGAGGCTCTGGAGAGTTCAAGGTATGCAAGAGGGAAAGAGCAGGAAGGGCAGAGGGAATTGGAAAGGCATGGAGGTGCAGCTGGGCTTGTGGTTTCAGGGGTTGATGAGATAGTTAACGTGGCTGGAAGGCTGGGTTTGAGATGAAGAGAGGGGAGGGTGTGGGCTCTGAGTAAAGAATTTGGACTTCATCCAGTAGGCTGGGGTGGGTGGGGAGGCAGCAGAGGGTTTAAAGAGGATGGTTTCCATGTCTATAGATTAGGACAAAGTATGTGCATAATCTCATGGGCTTTGGGAAGGCACAGACTTTGAAGATTATTATACATTGATTTCAAAGGAATCATTTAAAAAATACCTGATATAATACCAAAATTTCACAATTAAAGACATCTTTTTGAAAATGATTCATAAGATAATCTGCCACTTCTTAACTATAAAGCAGGAACAAGACTTTCAAATTGTTTTTAGATCTTAATTTCATGATCTATAAAATAAGGATAATAATATTTTATGACAGACTCCTAGTTGCCTCATTATCCTTTTTATGGCAATAGTTTTAATTGTGTTTCTCCTATTCTTCCTCTTTACAAAAGAGATATTTTACTGTATGTAATCAATTCCTATTCTACCTCTATCTTGGGTGTGAGAGAGAAATAAATCTTATCATTTGTTTTACAGAACACTGGAGCATAAGGATGACATCTGGACCTGATAATCAGAGATCTTGGATTTTGAACTGGTTGTGGTGACTGAAATTTCCTTATTATATTCTGATTTTAGTTGGACATACTTCCCAGCTTCCCTTGCAGGAAGATGTGTCATGTAATAAAATTCCAGCCATAGGATGTGAGTAGAAATTATACATAAACTTATTGGTCTTGTCCTTGTAATAAGGGAAATCACTTCCTGGTTTATAGCAGAAGCTGGTCTGACTTAATTTCTGTCTTTCTATTTTTGGAGGGTTATTCCTTTTTCTTAAAATTTTTAAAAATGTTTGTTTATTTTTGAGAGAGAGAGAGAGAGACAGAGTGTGAGTGGGGAAGGGGTGGAGAGAGAAACACAGAATCTGAAGCAGCCTCCAGGCTCCAAGCTGTCAGCACAGAGACTGACAAGGGACTCGAATTCAAACACTTTGAGATCATGACCTGAGCTGAAGTTGGACACTTAACCAACTGATCCACCCAGGTGGCCCATGTTGGAAGGTTATTTCTACCCGCCCCCCCCCCTCCATCTTATAATAGAAATCCAACATTTGGGGGGAAAAAAGCAGCCCTATTTCCCAAGTTCCTGAAAAAGTCTGAGACCATTTCAGATGTACCCTTGAACACCCCCATCCTGCATTCACCTGTTATAAGAGCTTGTGGCTCTCCAGAGTTGATATGGAGAATCAAAAGTCTGAGCACTCCATAGTAGCTGTAGGTCAAATTCAATTCCTCCTAGGTGGTCTGGAGTCAGTATGAATGATTTCACATCAGGGAGAGTGTGATGTTCCATCACAAATTGTCCTATTTCAAGGGAAACACACACACTTATTTGTTTTACTGTACTTGAGGTGAATCCCCTACTGAAGCCTTAGTACTGAATTAATATTCTTTTATCAAATAATGAAGGTTACACCTATCTTCTAACCCTTCAGAATATATACCACTCTGGCTGGACAGCATGGCATCTCACCCAGTCTACCATCCTACTCATGATGGTCACTATGGTCATATATATTTATGACCATATAAATATATATTTATATATATTTATATATATATAAATTTATATATATTTACATTCAACAACATGAATGTACCTTGTACAAATGGGGCTGAGTACATTCATAATAGTAGGGCTCCTTATGGGACAATGAATGTCAAATACATTTAGTTTTCAATTCCAAAATACATGTTTCTTAGAGGCAGAAAGGTCCTGGTAGTTTATAAATATAAATATCAAATTCAGGTTTAAAAAAATTACACATAAAGCCACTCAAGTCCTCAGTGGAAGGCAACAATTTTAAACATCATAAAGGTTATTCAGCAGGACATTTCTACTTCTTCAAACTGTAGTCATCTAGTGTCATGAATAAATAAAAGTAAAGAGACTTCTGGATTGAGAGACTAAAAAAATATAACAACTAGAATGTAATATGTGGATATTGATTGGATACACTTTCTTTATATATAAAAAGACACAAAATAAACATAAAACAGTATGAAAACAAATGGAAAAGACACTTGTAGGACAAGAAAGGGAATATGATAGGGACTAGATATTATTGGATCAATCTTAAAAATCTTGGATGTAATGATACTCTTGTGATGTGTAAGAGAATGCATTTGTTCTCAGGAGAGGTCTGCTAAAGTATTTAGGGTAATTCCATAAGAAGTCCACAACTTGTTTTCAAAAATAGTACATATGTGTGTATGGGTGCATATACACATAGCAAAATGTTAACAATTGTTGACTTGGCTTTTCATCGTTCTATTCCTTTACCTTTTGTCTATATCTGTAATGTTTAATAAAAAATTGGGGAAAAACTCCACTGATATTACCTCTGAATTTGGCATGGGTCTTGAATTCAATGACGAGACGGCCATCCTCTCGAATATAGATTCTTATTATCTGAAGCCTTGCAGAGAGTACACTGTCTGTCTGGATTCCTGGGCAGGCAATCATACATAAAACATCCAAGTTAGGGCATGGAGATCTCCCAGATACTATCTTAAATGTGAGTTGTCCCAGTGACACCTCTAAGTAAGAGCCGCATGGTAATTTGAATGTACAAAAAATGTACATATTAGTATGAACATAGAATCTATTTAGATACATTTGCCAATTAAAACTGTATGACAGTTCATTCTCGTAGGGGTTTTGTTGTTGTTGTTGTTGTTGTTTGTTATAGGTCCATTCTCTTTGACATAGTCTCTTCATACCTGAGAATGCCACTTAGCCCAGCATTAGGGCCTCAGCCCATAGCTCAAAAAGATTGGTCTTTAAACTTCTTACTATCCACTTGACAGCAGGATGTGGTTATAGTGCATCTGCTTCATACTCTGTTTGCTTTTCCTTATGAGGACACCTTTTTAAGTTTATTTATTTATTTTGAGAGAGAGAGTGTGTGTGCAAGTGGGGAAGATACAAAGAGAGGGAGAGACAGAATCCTAAGCAGGCTCCGCGCTGTTAGCACAGAGCCTGATATGGGGCTCAAGCTCAGGAACCATGAGATCATGTGCTGAGCAGAGACCAAGAGTCAGATGCTTAACCAACTAAGCCATCCAGGTGCTCCTACAATGACACCTTTCATGACTTAACAGAACCCTAAACCATGTCCTGGTGGCTACATTTAGTATTAAATCCATGGAGGATTAAAGATTAGCATGTAGAAGGCTAACCATATATGGCATGACATGAGTGAACTGTGGCTTTAATAAGAGTAATTACAATCATGAGGTCCAATGAGTTCAGTATGACCCAATATGAAAGGATAGCCAAAGGAAGGGAAAAATAGCACTTAAAAAGAACACTAAAGCTCAAGGAATGATATGATCCAGAGTGTGAGAACTTCCTGAAGTTATTTTCCTATGAGAACTATAAGACAAATGATTTGAGTTGAAAGCATTGAACAGAAGAAAAGACGGCATTTTTCCATTACTAGAGATGAGGTCCTATCTAAAGAAATCTGTAGCTGGTTAGTATCTCTGTGTCAGATCAAGTAAATAACCTTCAGGGAAGCAGAGAAGGAGAATGGAAGCAGCAGAAGAGATGAGTCTGGGGTATTGCATGATCGCAGTGGGAAAAGGTGGCTTGAGGGAGACAAGAGTAAGGTGTGAGCTCTTAGCTGAGGGGCTTTCACCAATATATAGATCTGTGGTTCCTGAAAAGAACCATGTCCTGAACGCTAATGCCAGAGGGCCTGCAGGTATAAAAAACTCAATTTAGACCCAAAGTAGAGGATGGCAGGTGACAAACGGCTCCTATACTGTCCATTAGGGGTTTAGAGGTGTCCTTCTGGAGTATAATCATGTTCATTTGCTCCTAGTTAAAAAAGGGGTGATTCAAGGTGTTTAAGGAGCAAAAGCATCTTTGAATCAGATGCACAGAAATGGAAAAATATATCAAAAACAACTTGGCTCACATTATTCATTTGGCCTAGAGTGACAGCCCACTTGGACTGTATATAGGACAACAGGATGAAGAATGGCGCTCCTGTTAAAAGGAACTACTCATTATTTTCTTTTAGTCTCACTTAAGCATAAGGTAGGAGTAGTTAAGATGTCAATGGGTATACCTGTTCTCCAGAGAACAGTGTCATAGAAGAAGGAAAACTCCATCTCGGTGTGGTGTTCCAGAGAAGCCCAACCCCTGGGGGCTGTCACATAGATGTAAGACACATAGAGAGGCACATGCACGGTCAGGAACGACTGAGCAGAGTCTCTCACCTGCCAAGCAAAAGGTGCGCACATGGAAGGTTATTTCTTCCCTGGGATGAAAAGGCATATGGTTACAACATCTCAGTTCAATTTTTACTCATTCATTTAGTTATTTCCGCAATCATTATTATAACCAAGTAGCACTGAGGCACCAGACTAAGCTTCATCCTCAGCAGTGGAAAAAACCCAATCACTGCCCTTATGGAACCTACAGTCCATAGAGATATACATAAATTTTAAAAATAAAGAAAGGGTGGGTGGGAAGTGTCCACGATGCTTCTTTCTATAGAAAGGGTGATCTGGGAGGGCTTTTCTGAGGGGATGACACTTGAACAAAAACACTTCTGAAGACTGAGAAGGGGATGTGCCTCCACTGTTCAATTGCCTCGGACAAGATTTTATATGAACACAGTTATTCCCAAAGGATCAGTATATAGTTCCTCACTGACCGTATTTTCCAGTGGCCTATAGGAGTGCCTAAACCAGCCCTAATTGGGAACATGCTCAGGTCTGGATCTTTGGGATGAATGTGTGGCTGACTTGGATGTTTTAGTGAGTATTCACATCTCTGGCAACAGGAAGTGACATCATGGGATTTGGATATCAAACCTAGGAAATTTACCAACACACACTTCAGAGTTGCATATGTTTGGATAATTTCCCATGCCCTACAATGCCTCACTGAAATACTTGTGAAAAGGCAGCACGTCATACTTCCAAGAGAATATTTCTTCTAAGGGGATCCTGTTACTGCTATTAACTTGGCTCAAACATTTTTATTTTACTATGCAATGAACAAAAACTGGATGGAAAGATAACAACATATAAGCAGAAGCTTTCACAGCATAGCTAACTGCATGTACGTGTGTATGAATGTGGGAGTTGGTTTATTAATTTTATATTTTCCTCCATAAACACATATTTCTTTTCTAATAAAAAAGCTTAGTTTTAAAAATTTTTATTTTTATCATTAGTGGATTATAACACCCTATGGAACCTATATTTTTCTTTTGTTTTCAAGCACAATATAAAGTGTTTCCATGGATAATTTAGTAAAAGAGCCAAGTGTTTTATCAATATTTGGGACGCCAAATTTTTATTTTCCTAGAATATTTTTTTATATTCAATGTTGTTAGGAATTTAAAATTTGATTCCAAGTTTTTCAAAAGACTCTGCTCATTCCATATTCATTAGAAAATATGTTTTGAAATGCCTTAATCTGTTTTCTTTAGGAAATTCCCAAATTTTGTCTGGACCTCACACCATATTCTTCCCCTTTAACATACAGGCTTTGCTAAAAACACATGGCCCAATCTCAAAATTATTGATATTAGAACCTCAATAATTCTTTAGCTGATTGAAAAAATTAATTTTCCCTCCTCTATTTCTGTTTTCTATCATTTATCCATTATGATCTTACTTACTAATCCTTAAATAAACTCCAGACCTTGACAAATACTATATACCTACACCATGCTAAGTATCTTCCTCCGTTGAGATGATTGTTTACAATTTGAGATGAGATTCAGAGAAGTTATGACAGGGAGAGATATGATCTAGGGCTTGGTTATAAGGTCTACATTCTTTCCACCATATACCACCTGTTTTAACTATTTTTAAAGAAACAGTCTGCAATGAAATACTTCTGTGCATATATTCTGTGTTGGTTTAAAAAGTGGGGCATATATAATAAGAAATCTTCCTCTTTGAGATTTTTAGGCATATTCTGAACAAAAATATCCAAAAATATAATTAAAGTAAAAACACAGAGAATACAGAATACTAATTTTTGAGAGGTCAGAGGAGGAGCCAGTCACTTAGTTTTGCACTTCGAAGGTGAATATAGGTCATGTAACTGCAGAAATAGAAAACCTAAGAATGCCTTAATTTTCCACTCAGTAGAGGGCAGTAGTGTATGTGAAATGAGAGCTAGCCAAAGTGAGAGGCAGTGTGAAATAATTAATCAAAGGCATGTTCTCAAAATGATTACTCTCAGTGCCTTCAGAAGTCCCTCTTTCAGTGTGGTTAACCCCGATTTGAAATGAAGAACAAACGTAATTTTTAGTTCATTGAGATAACTGCTGATAATGAGGTAGAATCCGCTTTAGGTTCAATTTTCCCATGAGGATGCATTCCTTTGATATAACTGCCCTCCTAAGACTACGGCTTCTTGCTAAAATTCTCTTTTGTCACTCATGTTTCACAATGATTAAAAAAGTGTCCATTTTTGCAAGGGTTGTCAGTTTGGCACAGATTTGGACTAGGAATGAAATCAAAGTGTTTTACACAATTCTCTCTCCATAATACTTTAAAAACATTATGTTGTCCCTGTCTTCTGAAAGGGTACACGTTACTTTGACTTATTTCCCGAAGTGCAGAAGAATATACATCTACTTTGTAAGAACCTTACCATCAAATGTCAATCCTTTTGGCTTCCAAAATATTGCCGGGGAGATATGAGATATATATATATATATATATGTATATATGTATATATATCTAGGGAAGTAAATATTAGATTTTTATATAAATGGCTGTGCCAGACAGTAATGTTTTTCCACACTCATTTTAACATTTTCCACATTAATTTTCCAATTAGTTGACTTAGCAGACTTTCAGGGTTTTTCTCCATCATGCTGCTAAGGTCTCACTTGAGGGACTTCTAAAGACTCCTTTGGTTATCCCCATTCTGGGGCTGGGCACCAGATGCACCGTGCTAACAGAAATGCTTCAGGAACAAACAAGATTTCATATAGCACCCAGGTGCTCCCAGACTGCAGATAAACCCCTGGAGGACCCACCTGGAAGTCGGCAGTTACAGACCCCCCACAGACATCAATTAACTCTGTCATGTCATAATAGGCATCAAAGGTCCAGACGCAGCTCTTCAGGTTCAGATGTTTGTAGAGCTGGATGGTCTTGGGCTCCCGGACACTGGGGTCAAATTGGAAGGGGCGGTCGTAGCCAGGCCCCAGGGCCGTGCTGTCATAGACCTTATTGTCCAGGAACCCTGCCTCTGTGGGGGTAGGGAGGAACAAGGAACAAGAAGTAAGCCTCTGGACATGCCCCTCATTGGCTTCCCAGGAGCTGGGTGCGGAGAAGAGATATGTCCTTGAGAGACTGAGATAGTTTACCTCCATTGGAGACTAATAATAAAGCAACCCAGGACTTCCAATACTCACTACATAAGAAGGGGGGGGGAGCTAGATTACCTGTCATCGGGGGTTAAATAGGGTGACTGAGTTCACAGACTCCCCTAAGAGGCTGGAGGAATCCCAGAAAAAACGGTGAGCAAAGGGTACTATAAATGGAGTCAGAGCTCAGTGGCCCTGTGTGTCTTGGAAAAGAAAACGTACTGAAGCTTTGCAATTAATCCTTGAAGAAATAGACTCACTATATGGATAATTCGTTGATGAACTGTTATTTTTTAAAGGCTGATTTTTTAAAAAAATAGCTTTTATGTAAAGCCAACAAACAAACATCTGACTATCTTCTCCCTGCTATGGTTTCTGAACTCTTGGTAAAAAAATCTTAATTTTGTGCTAATGAGTAAATAGCTTGCTAATGATGCTTGACTAAACCTCCCTGCCATGGGCAAAAATTATTGGATCAAATGCTGCCAAGCAACTGAAGTGTTCTAAATTAAGGAAGACCTTTATGCAGCAGAGAGCTAAATACAGATACAATTTTAGGCTATCAGGATTCAAATTTTTTATAGTACTAAAAGCAAATATAATATTCTGAAAGAGTCTTTGAAAGTCTGAAATGTCTTAGAATGTTTGACACCAGCACCCAGTCCTCTGCCCCAAAAGGAGTGGGATCTCAATTAACATGTGTTGAATTTAACTGTGTTTAGGTGGGAAGAGATGCAAACTTTCAGCTTATAAACAGTGTACGTTTCTTTTAGTGGCTGCAGACATGAACCAGTTAAACTTTCATGTGTAGCTCAGTGACTTGCAAATAATTCATACTCAACTAATTTCTACCGTGTAAAGACCATAACTACCTAATGTGATGTTTAATGAATATGAAAGAGCATATGAATGCTCTTCTCTCTTCTAAAACACTGGTAAGTGATTCATTGGCTGTCAAGGGAGGAAACACATATTTAATGCGCCCTCACTAAGGTAAATGGAAATGGACAGGATCCTTTGTAGAGTAAAATGTCTCTTATGGTTGACATGGGGATGCACCACCCCGGAAGTCAGCTCCTTCAGGTCTGCATCACTTGCACAGCTGTGCCTGAGGCCACCCTTGCGAGAGCCCTGGTATCCAGTGACTGAGTGAGGTGCCGCAGAGAAGGCTGTCAGTGGGGCTGGAAGTAGGAAGGGTTCCTGAAGAGTTGGTGGGGGGTTCTGGAGGGCTGCACTGCAGTCTGACTTCTCCCTCTGCCCAATTCTGCTTCCTCTCCTTCCCCTTCACAGATGCTGATCCCCAATGAACATCTTACACCCCACACTTCATCTCAGCTCCTGCTCCCAGGGAGCCCATCCTATAACGTGTGATATCTGCACTTTAGCTTTCTAAAGATGCTGCAATAAGGGAATTTCAGGGCACAAATCCAAACATGCCCAACTGTGGGGGAGGGAAAGAAGGAACATTTACCATGGCAGGTGCTTTAAAAATGTCAGCAGGTTAATTCCTCACCCTGATGGGTATCAATTGTTTTCCTCATGTCATAGATAAGGAAACAGTGGTTTGGGGAAGTCCAACTATCCCCATTTAGTTGTACAGATAGAATTATGGGTTCGAACCTAAGTCAGTTTGATTCCAAAGTCCTTGTTTTTCCCTATTCACTTCACTGTCTGAGCTGCCTATGTTTGGTTGCCTGCTAGGAAGGAAAGCCACCAATCCATATTTTGAGGACCCAGAGACATGAAAGCAGAGTTCACTTAGCCATATCCCTAAGGGCCACTGTGCAGGGCTGGAATGGGAAAGCCCTCACCTGAGATGCCTCTCAGGTCGTGGGTGGTGACGAGATTGGAGCAGACGTGCTGGTGTCTATAGATGGACTCAGATAATAGAAAATGCAAGTTGTGCAGTGGCATGGTGGAGATAAGGGGCAGCATTCCATCCTGGTGTGGGATCTGTACAGAAATGTGGATTCTAAGAGGAAAAAGGGGCAGAGAGAGTGTTTAGGTGCATGCTATCAACAGCTAATATGGTACATTTCTTTCTCATAACTCACCTGTCTTCACCAATGAATTTACCCATTTTTTTTTCCTGAAGCTTTCTGTGTAGGAACACAGGGTATGGTGTACATGTGGGGTTATTTCCCACCCCTTACCCTACCCCTCCCACCAAGAGATGCTCCAGACGCAGGACTGATAGCAATCAAGAATCACAGGGTTTTTAAAATATATACAAGAAAAGATTACATCACAACCACAAATTACTTTAAATCCTTCTTTTGCTTTAAATGGAAGCTTTGTTTCCTTGTGTGCTATAGCAGAGTGACTGATAGAGGTGCCGTTCCCCTTCTCTGTCACACTGAATGTCTGGGACACATATTTTTTAAAGTGTTTGTGCCAAAGACCTCACTGAGCTCTTTATACTCTAAGGTAGATATCCCTACCCAGAAAAATATTTTAGAAATAGTTATACCCCATCTACTGCTGTCTCTCCCAGGTAAAAGAGACTTTTCTCTCCTCTCTCCCTTCAAGTTCCAGCAACAAGGGTGGCCCTAAGTGGTCCCCATTTGCAGTGTGCTCTCCCCTCATCTACATTTCTTTTCTTTTTTAAAAGTTTATTTATTTACTTTGAGAGAGAGTGTGTACGAGGGGCAGACAGAGAGGGAGGGAGATTGAATCCCAAGCAGGCTCCACAATGTCAGTGCAAGGATTCTGATGTGGGGCTTGAACCCACAAACCATGAGATCATGACCTGAGCCATTAACTGAATCACCCAGGCACCCCTTCCCTCATCACTTCTCAGCCCTTAGGTGCCTTTGTACCAGGACATCTGTAACTTATTCACATTGGCTGCTATGCCTTGTATGCTTTCTGACTGTTTATTTGCTTCCCCACAATGAGGACAAGGATCATTTCCTTCACTTCTTTTGCTTCTCCAGAGCATGTAGTATAAAATTCTAAATAAAATACGAGCTTAATAAATATTGGTTAAGACTGCGACACAACAGAACTGTACTTATGGGCTGCGTTATTTTCATTGTGCAAGTTTAAATTTTCAGCATGTTGATTGAGGGTGCCTTTGAGTTTTTACAGCTTGTCTCTTGGAACAAAAACCCAAGAGACATTTTTAAGAGGACTCAGTACCTTGGAATATGAACATGATGTCTCTTTTGCTAGGATGGGGTCAGTAGTGCCTGGGCACTTCTGCTACTGCTTTTTAACAAAAGTAAATCTTATTCAGTTAGAAAAAAGAAAGAATTTGCATATTCTTGGTTCCATATTTAAATCTTTTTTTCTTCATGCAAATGAACCCCTTTCTCTGAACTCAGTTGCTCATAAAGGCACGCACATAAATACCACAAGGTTTAATGAATATGTATAATATGCATGAATTGTTTTTCTGCTTGGCAAAAATGTAAGTATCCATTTCCATCAAAATCATGGTAGCGCAGGAAAAAACAAAAGCACGTGTGTCCAGTGATTTTCAGTTTATACAGTGTTATTACTCTGCTCACTAGATACTTAGCAAGTGTCTCTTGCTAAATATCATGTGTCTTAGCACTCTCAGGTGCTAAGAAGCACTGTCCCAGCCATAAGGAACCAAAAAAAAAAAAAAAGGAAAATCAAGGTCCCTCCCCTCCCTGTCTACTGTGGGGACAGACAGAGCATGAAGGGTAATAATGCTCAGCATGGGTGGCTGGGGAGCTCCAAGGGGGAGCTTCCAAATTAAACTGGAGAAGTTGACGGGGAGGATCTCGGGAAGGATGTCATAACCTAGGTGTAGTAGGACAGCAGGATTTAACTACGTTGAGTGGAAGCAGGGTGGGAGAGCTGGGGTCAGCAGTGGCAGCACGGCAAGGGCGCACAACACAAAAGAGAAGCCCTGGTGATTTGATTTGAGTTTGGTTCTCTGCGGGCGGACTGGCCGGTGAGAATGACAAGGTGAGGGACGTGAAGCTAAGAAGACAGGCAAGGGGCCAGTTTTAGGGGGACTTTGAAAACGTTAAATTTTTTTCTGAGGCATTTATCATCACTATTCTTTTTTAAGTATATATATTTTAAATATTTTTATTCAGTTTTGAGAGAGAGGGACAGAGGATTGAAGCAGGCCCTGTGCTGACAGCAGAGAGCGCAATGCGGGGTTCAAACTCACGAACGGCGCGATCTTGACCTGAGCAGAAGTTGGACACTTAACCAGCTGAGCCACCCAGGCGCCCCTCCACTATTCTTATTTTGCAGAAGCATCATTCACTGATCTGTCTCACCCAGAAAACACACAAAGGATAGCCCTCTCATTGTGGAAGGCGCCACTAGCCTGACCTGTTTGGATGCTCTTTGTGCTTGACGTCCAAGTATTTCAAGCTTGCGATGAAGGACTGAGCCTGGAAGCCTCTGGCTGTCCCCGCTACCACCGGGGTGTGGCAGATAGCACTGTCTGTTCCAATGGTTACAGTGTTGCTCCTTAGGGGGGTCCCCACATGGCCCACCTTGTCCACAGCCTTTGCCACACAACGCACGTGGAACCTCCGGCTGAAGTAAATGCTATCCAAGACCTACCAGGAAGAAAAAGGTACTTGAGACATGTGTTTCCTCTTTATTTTTTTTTTTTTAATTTTTTAAATATTTTTATTTATTTCTAGGCGAGAGAGAGAGACAGCGTGAGCAGGGGAGGGTCAGAGAGAGAGGGAGTCACAGACTGAAACAGGCTCCAGGCTCTGAGCTGGCAGTCAGCACAGAGCCCGACGCGGGGCTCGAACCCACGAACCGCGAGATCATGACCTAAGCAAAAGTCGGACGCTTAACCGACTAAGCCACCCAGGCGCCCCATGTGTTTCCTCTTTAAAAAGCTCCCTCACACTTTATCTTCTGGATGATATGACGCAACCAGTTTCTGGTACAAGGTTATCTGTGAAGACCACCCATCATCTGTTTGTTCATCCATCTATCCACTCATGTATTTATCTATTCATTCGCCACAAAACTGGTGACTTTCTCCCAGGAGCAGGCACTAGGGACGGAGCAGGAAGTACTTGTAGCCTAAGGCAGTATGTCAGGCAGTGAGCAAGTAGAGAGATATGGAGCCAGAGTCTAGAGATGACTAGTTACCAGTGATAGTATTGTTGTCTTTATATATTCGGTTCAACATAAGGACAGCTCCACCAGTTTTCAGCCCTTCCATTAAGACTAGTTGGTCTCTAAGTCATTTTGCTCTGGGCATAGTGTCAGGGATACAGAGGAGAGACGCTTTCTTCCCAGGGATTTTTATTTTTCTTTCTTTCTGACTGCTAGTCCCTCCCCAGCCCCCACCTACGGACCACACACATTGCAAAGGTTACAATAACCTGCAGGGTTGAAGTTGAGAACTTGGCCTCTGAAACCTACTGGCCTTTGGAGGTCTTTCAACAGATTCTTTCATGTTCCCAGACATAGAGAAGCCATTAGAATGCTTAACTCCATCTATGCAGAGGCAACGTGGGTCACCACAACTCTTTAGGCAAGGTGTGCATACACACAGGGAAGTACATAACAAGAAAAATTAATTAGTCGTTCTGTGTGTCATAGACCTCCCACAAAGCAATCATACAAACTTATAAATTCTACCCATGAAAACAATTTTCATTGAAGTCCATTAAAAATTAAAGAGGATTTTTCCATTAAAATTTTTTTAATTAGTTGCCAACGCTTTATTTATTTATTTACACATGGACTTAGTTCAGAAGGGATTTGAGGCATCTTACAAAAATGCACACAATACAATGGTATTAAATAAATAATTGAAGAAACAAAGATAGAGAGCAAAGGAAACTGGGGTAAAAGTATTAGTCACCAAGTCATTGCAAGAAGACAAACTGAAGCATAAAGTAAAATCATAAGTACCTGTTAAAAATGTATATTTGGCCCAAGTCAGACCAAACTGCGTTTATGGTTTTTGAAAAGAGAATTAGATACTTAATGAAACAATAAGCTATTAAGTCTTGCCATTGAAATTTTAAAAATTTATCAGATAGTTTCAATGGGAACTAGGTTATGTTGCAGAATAATTGATCTATTGGTCTTTCTGAATAAGCTGTGAGAAAAACAGTGGACATGAGTGACTGCTTTGTCCAGAGCTCCCCATTTTCTTCACATCTATGTGAAGTACTTACTAAAGTGGGAACAAGCTGAGAGTTGAATAGGAAAAAATCTAGAGAAATTCAGTCTGAAAGAAAGCTCTGATTTCCAAAATTATTAAGCACACTAATTTTAATAAAAAATTGTTGAGGGCTTACTATGTGCCAGATACTCAGCTGAGTATCTCCACTGCTTCCAGTTCGTCTCTGGGGAGAATGACGTCATTGGTGTTATGAACAGTCACTGCAGTGCACTTAAGTTTCTTAACGTTGGTCAAACCCTTACTCACTGTTCATTGCTCTCTGATGGTGGGTCTGGGGTCCCAACTCCTTGAGGACAGCAACTGCATAGTGAATTTCTTTTCATGTCCTCCTACAATTTTGAAAATGCTGATCACTCAGGAAACATTCTATCCTTCGTTTAATAACTGTGCCAAACCTACTGGTGTCGTCAACGTGCTGAGCATGTTGGGCTATAAAAATGTAGTAGAACCCTTGGTCCATGTCCTTAAGGAGTTTCTATCCTACTACTTATTGAATGATTGAAGAGATGTGGAAAAAAGTAATCATTAATTGTACCTACCTAGAATCTCTGACTTATGTTACCACCTATAGATCACTTTTGCATCTGATTCATGTCAAGTCGCTACGTGGAAGAAGTATTATTTTGCAGATCAGGAAACGGAGACTCAGGGAGGTTAAGTAATCTCTTAATATCACAGAGTTAAAAGTGGGCAGAATCAAGATTAGTAAACAGGTTGTCTGATTATCAGCTTGGATCTCTTTCCACTATAGCATATTACCTCTTCTTATATATAAGAATAAAAAAACCTGTGTATATACTGTGTACCTGCTCATTCATTTATTTTATTCCAAATGCCATGCAAGGACATTAAGGAATTTGACAGAGTTGTAGTGACACAGAAAAACACCAGTTTTCTCCCTATGCAACCAGACCCAGAACACTAGACTTACCATATGGTTGACACTGGTAAATGGTGTGTTGTCAGTGATGGTCTCAAAGGGAGAGCGAGCCCCATTGCCATCAGTGGGGGTGGCCACTTCCCAGCTGAACTGCACAGATGTTTGGTTGATGCCAGCCTCACTGCAGCGCTCCCTCATGACAGCATACTTGGGGAAATGAGAGTCACAGGGGGTGACACAAACCAGCGGGTAGCCTGGGGAAGGGGATTTCTTGACTCCTTCCTTGGTAACCTCTTCTACGTGGTCATAGTCGGCAAGTGTAACAACCTGCAAAGGAGCAACAAAGCCTCAGCCTGGGCTGGGTGTTGGGAAGCTCAGAGAGGTAGGGCTCCCCTCCCTAGAAATCCACAAGATCCCTTAACTGCTAGGGATTCTTTAAAATATAATGGAAGTCTTCACAGTGCCTCACCAGGCATCCCTAAAAGATACTACAGATCAGTGGTGAAGATCTTCCTTCTGCCTGTGCTAAAAATCTTTAGTATCTTGTTAATCTTATTCCTAAATCAGAACTCTATCACTCATGTGAAAAATACTTTCATTTTCATGCACACGGTCACTAAAGCTATATCATGAGTAACAGTTACTAGTTTAAAGTTGCATTAAAAAATATGATAAATGAAGCTGCATTAGGTTGTTAATGATACGCAATAGTATACTTGGCAAAACAAAAGTAAATAAAGGTAGTGTATTTCTTCCACGGCTGAATAAAAGACACATTTTGGAATGATGTCTAGCCAGGGGAGGTTAGAAGACTTATTCTGACTGCCTCAATATTATGGGTTAAATTTCCCTTGACAACCTCCAGGCATTTTCCTCCTAATTGTACAGTCAGTGTGTTCATTGCATACACCCCCAAAATGAGAAACTGGGTACTGTGCTTTTGCAAATATTTACCTCTATGCATGTGGCAAGTATGTAGGGTAATAAATATGGGGTAACCCAATGTTCATAGCAGCACTCTCCACAATAGCTAAAACATGGAAAGAGCCTAAGTGTCCATCAACGGACGAATGGATCAAGAAGATGTGGTTTATCTATACCATGGAATACTACATGGCAATGAGAAACAATGAAATCTGGCCATGTGTAGCAATATGGATGGACCTTGAGGGTGTTATGCTGAGCAAAATAAGTCAGGCAGAGAAGGACAAATATCATATGTTTGCACGTGTAGGAGGATTAGGAGGAACTTAACGGAGGAACAAGGGGGAGAAGAAGGGGGGAAATGGTGGGGGAAAGGGAGAGAGGCAAACCATGAGAGACTCTTGAATGCTGACAAAAACTGAGGACTGATGGATGTGGGGGGGAGGAGGGATGGGCATGGAGGAGGTCACTTGTGGGGATGAGCACTGGGTGTTATGTGGAAACTAATTTGACAATAAACTATTTGTAAAAATAAATAAATAAATATATATGGGGTAGCATTATATTTTTCCCTCCACTCTTCTAGGTCCCACCAAAGTCATGACAAGATCAATTGTATTGTATTTTCTGTGTTTATCACACTAAGGTATCAACATGGATTGGTCTCATTCTTATGTCAGAACAGGGTTCCTCATCCTTGACACTACCGACATTTGTGCCAAATAATTCTTTGTTGTTGGGGCTGTCCTGTGCATTGTAGGAAGTTTAGCAGCATTCCTGGCTCCTACCTATTAGATGCTAATAGTGCCTAGTGTGACAGTTGTGACAACCAAAAGTGTCATCAGGCATTGCCAAATGTCCCCCTGGAGAGGGTGGTGCAGGGAAGGGGTTTGGGAAGGAAGGAACACGTTGGCTCCTAGTTGAGAACCACTGTGTTAGAAAAATGAAGAAGTATAGCGCCAGAAGTCCTACTTCTCCCAAGTTCTCACCTACTAGTCACTAGGGTATAAAAGTAGTGATCCCTTTGGGTCAAGCAACTTACAATGGGTGGCGCCGGCAATATGAGACTCCCTGCTGCCTCTTGGTCTAGAATTGTCACTGTGGCAGTGGTCACATCACCAAGAACTGCTTCCACTGGGTCATCTGGGCCAAGGACTAGGGAGAAAGATTCATGCCATTCCCGATCTTCATTGGACAGGATCTCGACTTTGAAAAAGATATGATCCACACCTTCACCAAGGACAGAACAAAAAGAGAGCAAAGGTTCTCATTATGTAACTTCACTAAGACAGTGCAGGTTGGCATTGCTGAGACTTCATGTTAAACAACGTCCTTTCCTTTTAGAGGTTTTCTATAAATACAGTGGCTGCTAATCACTTTAGTCCTATCTCAAGTGAGAAATCTATTTTATAGACCAAATTCCACCTGTGGCTCAGTATTGCAGATTTACTATTCAATGCCATTATGAGAATTAATGGCCCCTGCCTGACACTAGCTGGTAGTAATAAAAATCTATGATCCAAAATACACTCCACCCTGGCTATGAGGGTTTTTTGCTTAATTTTTCCTTCCCCTTTATACTTAGGCACGAGCTCCTGTGTGGAGGTGAGTGCTTGCACACAGACACCCTTCAGAGCTGTCCTGAGAAACAGTACCTCAAAGACTTCTTACCAGGTAATCGCCACAAAGACGATAACATAAAGGTTTGGCAGCCTGGAGCGAGGAGGGTGAGAGCCTTAGAAACTCCTTTCCTTTCCAATAAAATGATTCTCTGAGGGTGCAAATTATCTCTGGTGGTAGTTAAGGTTCCCTTCTTCCTCTCCTATAAACTCCTGAACTAGGTTACTTCCAAGATCTATCTTTTCTCCAGATGCTTATGCAGAAAAGGAAAAAGTAAAGATGTGTGAAAGAATAGCCCTTTTGTGGAGGTGGAGGAAGGGCATGTACCTTTCCAGCAAACACTAACCAGATGCACATGAGATGAAGCCAAAAGCCCATTAAAACTCCAGTGGAATGTAAGACATCAGAGACTCCTCCCTCTTCATTTCTGGGGAGTCACTTCCTTCCCCCACTCACCAAGACATCTCAAAGGGACTTCTACCACTCTTGCCCACTTCTGGTTGCATTGCAAATGGCACCAGGATCTGCACCAATCTTTTCACCTTATATTGCTCCAGAAAGTTCTGTGACAAAAGCTAGCATATAATTCAACTCCTTCTCCATCTCATTCTTCCCATCAAATTAATATATCTGATAGTTAAACAGCTAGCTGTGACCTGAATCCCATCTCTCTCTTCCCTGACTCATTTCTATAGTTCTCTCTCTCTCTATAGTAAACCTTTTTTGGAAGTCTCATAACAGAGTTTCCTGTCTCTTAGCAGATATTAAACCACTGGAGCACAGAGACTGTGCATTCTGGATTTTAGTAATCCCGGAAGGTCCCAGCACACTGGTTTGTACCAATGTTTGTTGGATGATGGTAGTCATGTTTATTCTTTTACAATCAACTCCATCTGTTACTCAACCAAATCATAGGCTAACAATAACAACAAAATCCTTTTAAGTGAGCCAAAATGCCAAGGATGTTCTGAAGTAAGGGGTCCCCTTTATTCTTTTTACAGAAAAATGCCATTTTTAAAATTTTTTTTTTTTTGATTTTGATTTATTTCTAGGAGAGAGAGAGAGACAGTGTGAGCAGGGGAGGGTCAGAGAGATAGGGAGTCACAGACTGAAACAGGCTCCAGGCTCTGAGCTGGCAGTCAGCACAGAGCCCGACGCGGGGCTCGAACCCACGAACCGCGAGATCATGACTCAAGTGAAAGTCAGACGCTTAACCGACTAAGCCACCCAGGCGCCCCGAAAAATGCCATTTTTTAAAAGATTCCTATAATATCAAATGTGTACTTCATGCTTAATAAACACTACCGTTTTCCTCTTTTATTTTTCTGCTCATCCATTTCTTCAAATACAAGATATTTGCCTCCTATTATGTAAAACCCACAGACTGGGATTGGCATTCAATTACCGGGACTGAATTTTAAGACTCGGCTCTTTGGGTAATAATCCACCCCAGATTGGGCAGACCCATCGCGTGTGCTGCAGCGGATCTTGGACGTCCTGTTCTGATCCCCTCTTCGGATCACCTTTATATTCAGGACAGCTATGGCATCTGGCCCTGAGGGTTCCCGAACTTGATATGCAGCTTCTTCAAACTCAATGGTAGGGGCTAAGGAACGGGATTAGAAAAACAAGAGCCAGTTAGAAAAACAAGAGCCAGTACAAAGGATTTCCACCCTGATGAAAGCACCTTATAAAGACAAGCGGGAGTTTTCCACATTAGTAAACAATACAAAGGCACAATGGCTTACGTTATAAAAATCAGTTTTTACCTCGCAGCAAAGCTTTGGAAAAGGAATTTATTCATGATTCTGCAAGAGTTCTCACCAGTTTCTTATTAAAAACAGGGTAGTAGGGGAAATATTTTTAAGAATTTGAAATGCATTATCTCCAAGTTTCTGTCTGGGCATTACAAGGCACAAAATGTTTTTAAATTCACACACTTTATCAAGGGACTGAGACAGAGTAAACCCTTGGAAAATACTTACTGACCAATGGCATGAATCAACTCTTCTTCGTTTATGAGATATGAATTTCTAAGCTTTATAATTTATCTCATTTATACATGACCTAAATTTCCCAAGTCCATCTCCCATCTCTGATCTTCTGGGTCTTTCCTCCCAGGGCCCTATGTCTCTCACCCTTAACTTTTCCTAACTTCTTACAGGTTATTTAATTAAGAATGAGTAGTTTTAATGGAGAACCCAAGACTTCCTAACCCATCCTGGTTTGAGGTGCTATTCTCATCGCTATGAAATGATTAATATGTTGGCTTTTTAAAAATTTTCAAATTGTGTCTTCTTTTCTATTGTATTCTCATAGGGAAGGGTCAGGTGGTGGTGGTGGTGGATATAGTGAAATAAAAAATGGGATCATTGAGAGCAATTACAGATTTTATACCATTTCTAATATACTATAATATTTTGGAAAAATTTCTAGAGTCTCTCTTCATTCCCTTCTTTATCTTCAGGAAGTAAATTCTTGTTAATTGTAGAAGATAAGCTTCATTGGAACTGTGCAGTTTTTAACAAATGCCCTTTGTAACTTAGGAGTGTTTCTTATTACCTCTTGAGCCTCAATCACTAGATTTCTGTGTGACCAAGAGAGGCTAACTTCAGGATCTGAACCTGAGTCTTGTTAGGTTAAGGACCAATTCAACTTCAAGGCTGGCTTTTCTTATTTTACCCAATGTCCAAGTTAGTCCCCAGTTTTATATTCAAAACTCTTTAGTCTCACTGACTCTCATGTAGATTCTAGAATCTGACAAAATAAGGTTTACAACCAGTTTTGCTGCTTTTAGCTGTATAACTAAAAGTATAAATTATATAAATTTGCTGATATTCAATTTCTTCACTTAGAGGGATAGTAAAATCTACCTTACTATCAGGATAAAATGAAATAAGGTAAAATAATATGCTTAGCATGGATTTTGGTATATAGTAAATATTCAGTAAAAATGATGATTACTATTTGTAATATTATCTATTCCCTCATTAAAATATCTATTTAAATAAAACCATTATGTCCCAATTTGAAACAGATTTGGTTTTGTTTTCCCTAGTGCCTGGGTCATTCTTTGCTGACACTTGACTAAAGAATTTAAGATTTTTTAGGTTAATAGGCCAAATCAATTAGAAAAAAACAGAGAAATTAGACTTTTCCAGGAAGGTGGCAGTGTTTAAATTAGTTCATTGGATTCAACTGATTCTGACTTCATTTCCAACCTTGGTCCTGAACTGCAGCAACTTAAATAGTTTCTATTCTCTGTCTGTCTTAGCATCTCTGTTCTAGCTTGTAACTATATTCATCCCTCATCTCTTGGCAATGTGGTAGGGAATAATGAGATTAAAAATACCTATAAACTTAGTGGAACCGTGTAGAGGATGATCACTTGCTGCCAACAGTTTATATAAATACTCTGAGACTGTTATCAGTAGGCACTTTTATAGTACTTTCATTTTTAGAAAAACACCTATAATTACATTATTAGTAAAACATCAGTTCATGTTCTATCAACCAAAGATAACTAAAGACTATATCTTCTGTTACCATCTTCATCATTGGATATGGTGATGGTGGCCATGTTATTCTTCCCAACTCTGGCTCCACTCCAGTGATTTCCAAGAGGATGGCTGAGGTAGACCCTGAATTGTTCCTCAGGCTCAAACATGGAGTCATCATGGATAGAGACAGTACAGTTCTTCATCTAGAGCCAATGTCATAAGAGAGATTAACATTTGCAGTAAAAAAAATCAGTAATTTGCTTGATTTTCCTAGAAAATGATTTTTCTCCTTTGTAGCATCAATGGGCCAACACCAATTCAAAATGATCCAAACGATTTCATTTGTAAAATAGAATGTTTAAATCTAATAGTTCATGCCTGACTGGGACATACCAACATGTGGAGTTTTGTATTAAAACATTCCAAACTACTCTGAATGATCGGTCATGAGTTATGAAAAACAAGATCAATAAAACAACCCACTTCAATGCACTTATAGGAAATTTGTGTGCTTTCCCAGATCAGACCAATGAGTATGTACGTGTTATGAAAGGTAAATTTCCTATGATGAAGTTTGAACATATGGATTAGGCTTCCTGGGGAGCTAAACAATGGTCCTTTCCCTTGGCAAAAATGGAATAGTTTTTTTTTTTTTTTTAATGTTTATATTTATTTTTGAGACAGAGAGAGACAGAGCATGAGTTGGGGAGGGCCATAGAAAGGGAGACACAGAAACCAAAGCAGGCTCCAGGGTCCAAGCTGTCAGCACAGAGCCCCATGCGGGGCTTGAACTGGTGAATGTGAGATCATGACCTGAGCCGAAGTTGGACGCTCAACCAACTGAGCTACCCAGGTGCCCTGGGAATAGTTTTATAAGGAATTCAGAAAGGCTTCTTGTTAGGTTGAAGATACTTTCAATGCTGCCGAACTCTCAAATGTGTTGCCAAATGGTATCTCATCTAAAAATTATTGAATCCTGAAAGTCTGAGAATACAATCTAAATCCCTGTTTGATGTAAAGAAATCAAGTGCTTTTCACACTGAATATTCTCTATGGAGGACTATATTCTTAAGAAAACAGAAAATAGTTATGCTGAGCGAAATAAGTCAGGCAGAGAAGGACAAATATCATATGTTTGCACGTATAGGAGGATTAGGAGGAACTTGACGGAGGAACAAGCGGGAGAAGAAGGGCGGAAATGGTTGGGGAAAGGGAGAGAGGCAAACCATGAGAGACTCTTGAATGCTGACTAAAACTGAGGACTGATGGATGTGGGGGGGAGGGGAGGATGGGCATGGAGGAGGGCACTTTGGGGATGAGCACTGAGTGTTATGTAGAAACTAATTTGACAATAAACTATTTGTAAAAAAAAAAAAAAAAAAAAATTGCTACCTTGACACCAAAAAAAAAAAAAAACAACAACAACAAAAAACAAAAAAAAAAAAAAAAAAAAAGAAAACAGAAAATAAGGCCAAAACATTTTAGATGATGCAGTAGCTTTAATAGTAGAGTCATGTGATATGAAGTGGGATTATTTTTACTTGAACTATTTTAAATCCAGTCCACTGCTACATTGTAAAGGATCTGTGGGTATAAATATGTTTTGCTCTCATACTTCTGAGGTCATACTAAATGGAAGAAAATCCTGTGGACATTTATATGTAGCTTGCTAACCTGGTATTAAGCCCCTGAAGAACTTTCTTTTTTGCTTGATAAAAGGCATAAATTTAGTAGTGACTCTTCAGGATATCTTTTTTAAAAAGGACATTATCATGAAGGACAAGTTTCAAAGACAAATTGCTTAGCAAGCAAGAGAAAATGAAAATTCCAAAGTGTGCTTACAAATAATGATAGATTGTCATGTGGGTAACATATAGATGACTAGACTGTATTTTCTTAATAATTTTATTAAATTATAAACTGTCTCTTGGATAGGCAGAGAATCCTCTTTTGAACTTAAAACAAATACAGACATGTAGACTCAAAGCTGAAGATTATATCTATAGTATTTGTGTGTGTTTTTAAACACATGTTTCAACCTGCCATCAGTAAAATTCCCATAAAATATATAACTAAGACAGGCTTCTATGAGTCATGAATCTATAAAAGACCACGAGTCTCAGAGAAGGAAACTGTAACTTTTTTTTGGTAGCAAAGATGAACAGAGGGAGAATCTGCAGTGACTTGGGACAGGTAAGATCTTCTAATACTAAACTTCAAGGGGACTAATCATAAGGCCAAAATTTGATATATTTGACTATACCAAAATTGAAAACTTATGCTCAACTAAGAACACTGTGATCAAAGATGTGACAGAATGGAAAAATATGTTTACAATATCTAAAATGTCTACAACTGGCAAGGAATTAATGTTTAGAATATATAACAAAGACTGTAAATTGGTAAGAAAAAGACAGCAATACTATAATAAGGAACAAAGGATAAACATATTTACATAAGAGGAAACCCAAGAAGCTACCAAGCATATAAAATGGTAGTAACTGGAGGAATGCAAATTAAAATGAGATGTAGCTTTACACATATTAGATTAGCAAAAAATTCAAAAGGGAGTAATGCTAGGTGTTGGAGATGATGTAGGATTATAGTAACCTTCATGCTACTGCTAGTGACTTTCTGGAAAGTATCCTGACACTATTTTCTCAAATTAAGCACATACATGGCTTGTGGCCCAGCAATTTTGCTGCTGAGTGTATATCCAAAGGAATTCCCACTCAGGTCTATAACTGGATATGCATGAGGATATGCATTGCAGCATTATTTGTGATAGCTGAGTGTTAGGAGGTGACTGGGTGCTATCTCTGAGGTTCCTCACAGTCTATTGTTGACAGTATATGGTTAAAATGTACTAAATGCACATTATGAAATTCACTAACTCAGCAACAGATTAGATGTGCACATAAGTGATTGGATATATATTAAATCATCTTACTGAGTAAACACAGTAAAAGTTTGAAAAGGATATAACATAGTAGCAGTTTTATAAATTAACAACTATGAATATAAAATGATAAGCATTTTTAAAGGACAAATACAAATTAAGAGATACACATTAAATGCAACACATTGATGAGTTCTGAGGTAGGAGATGGAATGTTGCTAGAGAATAGGTATAAAATAAATAAACAAAATAAGAGAAGGGCCTTGAAATGACAAATGAGGAGGTACAAGTTACTCAATCATTTGAAACTGATATCCAAAAAATGGACAAATGTGATTCTCATTTAATATACACTTTGATATATACTTGGTTGCAGGCTTTGATTTTTTTTAAGTTTATTTATTTATTTTGAGAGAGAGAGAGACAGAGAGAATGAGCAGGGGAGGGGTAGAAAGAGAAGGAGAGAGAGAATCCCAAGCAGGCTGTTAGCACAGAATCCAATACAGGGCTCAAACCCACAAACTGTGAGATCATGACCTGAGTGAAATCAAGAGTTGGATGCTCAACCCACTGAGCCACCCAGGCTCCCCTGAGTCTAATGCAGCCATTTACTGATGGGAGTTTCTCAGGAGTTTCTATGCCCATGTGCATGTACATTGCTAAGAAGAGAACACTCCACTGCTCAGTGTCTGCCTATTTGGTCTGATACTTTTGGTTCTATACCAGAATGTATGTTGCCCTGAGACAGGGGCCCAGGTATTAAAGAATTGTCTTTTCTTCCTCTAGGTAACATTGGTAGTGTGTTCATCTCTAATGTAGTTGCAAATTAAGAGAGGCCTCACTCATTTGATTTTGCCAAATTCCAAAATAGTTATATATCGTTTATATTCCTAGCTCAACCAATGATTTATGTATTTGGTTGTAAGTAGGGTACAAAGAAGACAGCCACATAGGACAGATGACACTATTCTAAAGAGTATCAACTAGTAAAAGCATTCATAGGATGATCAGAATTTGTCAAACTGACTTCATTATGGACAAATAAAGCCATCAAGGAAAAAGAGAATCTGATCTTTCAGCCATCATGAATCCACTTACTTTTTCCCCTTTCAGAAATGTAATCCTTGAGGAGTCTGCATTTCTTCTCTCCTCAAAGTCCTCCATGACCTGAGCTGAATGGCTCTGAGTATAGCACCTCACTGAGGACTCATAGCTCAGGTCTCCACTCCGAATGATGGGTACCTGCAGGACACCCTCCTTCTCCTTCACTAGCAGCAAATCCTTGCCGAACTGCATGCTGGGCACTGAGGGAGCAGAAGGAAAGATGGAGGCATCATTACTACGAAGTAAAGGGAAGGTAGCCACAGCCCTCAGCAGCCCTCAGTGGCCCTCAGCGGCCCTCAGCAGCCACTTGGCAGGAAGAGTCTTCAAAAGGCTATCACAGGCTGCCAAATCAGAGATTCTAAGTGGATTTCAAGGCATGACTGTTCCCAAGGCAAGGGAACTGCTTCCACTGTTGAGTATGCTTCCAATGAAATAGAATCAATCAATTCTGCACCTGTTTTCTCTCAGCTTCAGGGTGCAGTCCCCATCTCAAATGCAGATGAGTAATGCAAGTAAAGAAATGAGCTAGGTATAAAAAAACTTTTTGATTGAGACTTGAATATGCAAAAAAAGTTTGCTTTCCTTCTGAGGCTACGAAAACAAAGGGAACAGTGCAAGCCTCATGATAAATGGCCACTTGCATTGGTCCTGGGACAGGGAAACAGTAGGGAAGAGTAGGGACATTGATAAAGAGGAAAGTGCAGGCCCTTTTAAAGGGGGTCACCCCTCAGCTTCAGTCTTTTCTTGGCAGATATCTTATTTTCAGATGAAGCCAGAAATCTGGATTTGTATGTTGTATCTCCTAAATTTTTAAAAAAGTAATCAGTTACAATAGTAAAAAGAAACTCCATATAAGTAGACCTCTTTGGACCAAACAAAAGACATCCACATGCTGAATTTGGCCAGTGGGGCCCCAGTTTGTGATTACTACTATAGAATCACCTTTTCTTTTATAGCTCACATGGTCTCATTTGATTTTAGGAAAGGACCAGGGCCAAATTGTGGTTAAAAACATGTGCTCTATAGTAAAGAGCCCTGAATTTCCATCCCAGCCCTACTGCTTATTAGCTGTATGATATACAGCTGTATGAGTTTTTTTTTAAATATGTAAATTGGAAATATTACTATCCAACTTGTAGAATTGTTGGAAGGCCTGAATTTAATGAAATACTGTATGCATGGTGCTCAACACAGTTATCTGACATCTCACAGAAAATCAAATTTTGGTAGGAATTATATTATGATTTGTATTGCCCCCAACTCCGGGCTTCTCAATAAGAAGAATTATTTTTTTCTCCTTACTTTCTACAATGGTTAGAATAATGTTCCACATTAAGATGTGTCCTCTTCTGAGACCGACATCTTGTTGATTGCTGGCTATTTATTTCTTAATGAACCATACAGAGAGGTAGTCCCTCCAGTCACATGCCACTCCTGTGGCAGAAGCTGACTCTAATGCTGGAGGCTACTATTTCCCTGCTGTGTCTTGCATATGCCCAGCCAACCCTGAAAGGAACTGAAAGGCGAAGACCCAGCATTGGCAAATCAATATGTAAAGAGCTCTGTTTGCCCCTAACTTGCCCACTGCTCAGAACTGTTGGCACTAGCAAAAACAAAGCAAACTCCTTATCTAAGCTAAACCTAATAGTTACTGCTTACTACCGAAGGAAAACCCAGAAGATGTTTCTTAAAAGAAAAATACACCTAAAGGAAAAGTAACAACTTTGGCATTAGAACCCAAACATGATCCATTTAGGGTTCTGTCATCCTGTGAAACAGTCTGTACTGTTAAAAGGTGGGTGGCAATGACGACCTAGTATAGAAGGACAAGAAGGAAACTTGGTGGCAGGTAAATGGTAACACAAGCCGGGAAGCTTTTCAGCTCATGACAGATTATCTAAAGCTTTGGACTGATTTTTCTTGCAGGCCCAACAGGCATCAAGCCAGATGAGAGTTCAAAATGAAAACGGTAATGTTTGGGTTTTGTCATGTATTCATCAACCCAAAATTCTTCTTGAGCTGTGAAAGACTCCTTTTTTCCCTCCTTAATAAGATACTAAACTGAATTCACTCCTTTCCCTATCTGGAAAAAGGAGAGAGAGAAAGAGAAGGGAAGTAGGTGAACATGTGTCATGATCATCTGCTTGCCAGGAATGGTCTCTGCCTTTATGGATTCCCTAGACTGGTGGAGACTGAGGCAAGAGACAATGGAAAGACAATAAAGTGGGATCTGCAATAGATTTGTGCACACTGGTTTATGACACACAAAGGAAAGGCCCAGCCCAAGTCAGGCACTATGTTAAGGGCTTCCATACGTGTCATCCTCTTAACTCCTCAACCGTAAGTAGGAACTGTTCTCAGGAAGTAGGAGCACTATTCTCAGTTCTGCCTGAATGCAGATTCCTTCTCCTTCCACAGCAAAGAGGTGCCTGACCATGAAATGGTGATTCCTCATGGGGGTTCACAGGCTTGCACTAGGTATAGTACATTTACTGTCAGCACATTCATCATACACAGCACAGTCTACAGTTATCTCCTTATTGGTGTTACAGTCTTACATCCTGAAATAAACTGCAGGACTCTGCTCTCTGCTCCGCTGTAACCCACACAGTGCTGGGCACCAGTCTAGGACTAGAAAATGTGTGCTAAATGCTGTTAATCACTAATCTTCTCAGTAATTGACAAAGTAGGTGCAAATGCCACACCCTGAAATTTGAGGGCCTCTTTATGGGCAATGCTTAGATGAGAGATTTAGGAGAACTCCTGCTTCCTGTTCTCTTGAGTTAGAGTAGGTAGGATATAGTGCATACACAGAGGTGTGATAAGATCACGGCTACAAGGCCTTTCATGTCTTGCTCAGTACTCCTCCGGTCCATACTGAAGTCTAACTTCAGGTGCTAGGGAAGAAGAGGAAAGTGAAAATAGGAAAATGTTTTGAGATGAGCTACTTAGATGACTCAAGGCCCCGAGATCACCCCATGGAAAAAGATGAAAGACTGATGACTTTGGAAGGCTGAAAGTTGACTTCATAAAGATACTCAGTGATACCAAACATCTAAAACTGCAAAAAGTCAACATGGTAGGGTATAAAACCAGAAGATGGGATTTGAATAGAAGAGACCTGGGTTTTAACTCTGGCCCCATCACCTCCTCTCCATATGATCTTGGACATCAACCTGTTTCACAAACTGAAGAGCTGGTAAAGATTAGAGAGAAGGGAAGACCTTTCTACCTTACAATGTGCACATGGAAGAAACTCAGTAAAAGCCAGCAATTGCTAGGAAGAAGGATAGCCAATAGACAGAACCGCTGAACACTACAATGCGTTATTGAAATAGGTTTGGGGATTTCTTTCCGGGGATAAATCCTTGACTAAATATAGTTTGTTGTAGCCTCCCTGAAAGATGAGAAATATTTTAACATATTCATTTTCTAAGTTTGCAACACTAATGTTCATCAATAAAGCATGAAGAAAAATCCAAATGAAATCTTTTCTGTAAATCTTGGGCAATGAGTTTTGTATGTGTTATTGGAGTCCCACTGGCGAGTGTGATAAATTATAGATGTGTCAGGAAGAAAATAAATTAACATGTAATAAAATCTACTGTGTGACAGGTACAATGGTAGATATTTTCACATATTTTATCTAATTTAATCCTTATAATAACCTTATAAGGTAGGTATTTTCATTATTTACAGATTAACAAAATGGGGCTCACTAACCTTATGTTGCTAATCTAAAGCCAAAAATTTAAAAAGTGGTAGGGCTGGAATTATGTTTTAGGTCTTCTGATTTTGCCTTTCCTTTCCACTTCATCAGAAGGAAATTACCTACCTTTCATGCAAAAGCATGAAAATATTCTATTTTCAAGAACAAAAAGGATAACTGAATTTCTTTCTTCTTTTCAGTGAATAAAGAACAAAAAACATATTCCACAGGTTCTACTACTGCACCAAACAGGACTATTTAGTGTAGTGCAAAGAGAATGAACTTGAAACCAAAAACTAAGAATACATGCTGGTCCCTCTCTGTATGAGATTTCAGGTGTTCACTCCCCCAATTCCAGTCTCATTATCTACAAAATGGAAACAAGAAGAAAACCATGAGATTATGAGCAAATGAAACGTCTAGAACATCACTCTTTGAACTCTCAGGTAACATGCAATATAAAATAGTCTAATTGTTATAATCTTGTTCACAGTTAAAAAGTGACCAACTTAAAACTAAAAAACTTCCAGAAGAAAACACAGAGAAAATACCTTTGTAACTTTCGGTCAAGCAAAGACTTCTTAGCTACAATATTAAAAGCATAATCCATAATAAAATTATTGATAAATGGGACTATTTCAAAATGAAAACCTATTGCCTTTTGAAAGAACAAAACACAAGCAACAGATTGGGAGAAAATAATTGCAAAACACAATTATTTGTCCAGAATTTATAACAACGCAATAACAGAGGGGGGAAACAACTCAATTACAAATGGAGGAAATATCTGAATCATACTTTGCTAAAGAAGATATATTGATGGCAAGTAAACACCTGAAAATATCTCAGTGTCATTAAGGAAATGACTTTCAAACCTTGAGACACCACTATCCATCTAGGAGGATAACTAAAAAGAACTCACAGAAACCTGACAACACCAGATCCTGGTGAAGGTGTGGGGCAACCAGAATTCTCACACACTGTGGGTGGTAATACAATATAGTCCCAACCACTCTGGAAAACAGGTTGGCAGTTTCTTAATGTACAATCCAGCAACCCCACTCCTAAGTACTTACTCCAGAGAAATAAAAATCTATATTCACACAAAAAGCTATAATATGCCAACTTTTATAGTCATTCCAGTCATATTCTATGACTGGCATGTGTCTATTCATGCCAAAGCTGGAAACAACTCAAATGTCATTCAACAGATGAATGGATAAACAGATGAATGGATAAATAGGTGACTGGATAAACTAGTGAATGGATAAACAAACTACAGTACATCTGTATATTTGGAAACTACTCCACAATAAAGGAAATGAATTACTTATATATGTAACAACATGGATGATTCTCAAATGCAATATTCTAATGAAAGAAACCAGATACAAGATGCTATATTAAATGATTCCAATTATATGATATTCTGCAAATGGCAAAACTGTATGGGCAAGAAACTGTCAGTGGTTGCCAGGGCTTGATATGGGGAAGAGGCTGACTACAAAGGGGCATGAGATAATTCTAGAGGGTATTAAAACTGTTCCACATTTTGACTGTGGTGCTGGGCACACCACTGTGTGCATCTGTCAAAATGCATAGAACTGTACACTAAAGAGGGTAAATTTTAAATTTACATACGTTAGATCTCAACAAACCTAGGTACAAAAATAAGATATCATTTTTGGACATCTGCTTTATATACGCATGAATATGCATATATGTGTATTATATGTATGCATATGTTTTATTTCTCTTGAAGGTACACACAATAACAACAACAATGAAACTGGTTAAAACAGTTGTCACTAGGACAACCAGAGGGCTAGGAGACAGGGTAGAAGGTAGACTTAATTTTCATAATGTACCCATTGTCATTTTTTAAACTATATAAATAAGTAAATTACTTAAAAATAACTGAAAGCATTAAGGATTACCCTGCTGGCTTCCTGTTCCTTTTTCAGTGACTTTTCAGTCATGGAAAGAGTTTAATTATGGGCTCTATCGTCAACTATAGGGGATGCTAATGAAGATCCTTCTGCATTAGATAGAAAGTTTGACCAGATCTTCTTTCCCAGCTCCAGCATCTGACAATTCTTTTTTTTAAAAAAATGTTTATTTATTTTTAAGTGAGAGAAAGAGAGAGAGCACACACCCACAAGTGGGGGAGGGGCAGAGACAGAGGGAGACACAGATTCTGAAGCAGGCTCCAGGCTCTGAGCTGTCAGCACAGAGCCCATGAGCCATGAGATCGTGATCTGAGCCAAAGTTGGCCACTTAATGGACTGAGACACCCAGGTGCCCCTAGCATTTGATGATTCTAAATTTCACCAATTCTTCCCAAGAAATAACTGTCCTTTCTTGGTCATCCGGCTGTTAATTAGGTTAGCTCTTCAGTGGCGACTGATATTTTGTTCATATACTTGTGTCTATTCATTCCTGTACATCATCCACAGGACTGCCAGTGTCAGTTTCCTCTAACAAAAATCACACCACTCCTCTACTTAGAAGTACTCCTCTCTGCTTACAGATTCCTTAGGCTGCAACATAAGACTTTTTCAAACTGGACTCCAACCTGTCTTTCCATTTCATTTCCTGTTATTCATCTGCCAGGTTTAAAGCAAAAGTAAGCATCTCACTGTTTTCCAAATGTCCATCTTTGAAATTTTTATACCTTATATATACTATATCTGTCCATTTGACAAAACGTTATTACCCATTAGATAAACCTCTATTGCACCCTAAGACTGTTTAAATATCATGTCTTTTGTAAAGTCTATGATTCTTCTACACATAGCTGCTATTCAGTTCCCCCTGCTCCCATAGTACTGGATTTACAGCACTATTAGGTCATTTATATAACATATTCTAATTTTTCTGTTTAAGGGTATGATTCCCCCAACTAGATACTGAGCTTCTTGAGGACAGGACCCAAGTCTTACACATCTTTCTGTGCCCAGCATAGTACTAGAAACATGAATGTTTATTTCTCCATGTGAAGGTATGTGTATACATGTGCTCATACACACACACACACACACACACACACACACACACACGATTTATTTCTTGAATGAAATGTGGATGAGTTCTAATGTCATATACTTGGAAGATAAGGAAAAATAGAAATTTAGTCTGAGCTATCACCTGGAATCTCCAATATCTTACCATCCTGGAATGTGTCATTAATTGCAATGACAGCCTGGAAGGGTTTGGTCAGTTCGGCCCCTTGTGCTGAGCTGAGAAAAACCACAAATGTCTCCAGCCCTTCAATTACTGGATACTGAGTGTCATCCAAGATAGTCAAGGTGCAATACTAGAAGAAAAATCATGATGTTAACTAGACTTATTGTGGTGATCATTTTACAATATACACAAACACTGAATCATGATGTTGTACGCCTGAAACTAATAGGTTATTTGTCAGTTATATCTCAATTTAAACAATAACATAAATATAAAAAGAAGAAAAATCAAAGCAAACTTTATAGAATGTCCAACACATAATACCCATCTGCCTTCAGGAGAGTAAGACAAAGGTGATAACTTGCTTTCTCTGGTGGTCTTATAGTCCACCTTTTAATTCACAAAATTATAATCCCTTTATTACAAACTCTTTGGTGTTTTGTCTCTAGATATTATCACCAAACAAGTGTCATTCCTATCCTAAATCTGTGGTGCTGGATATTAGACGTCGACAATGTCACTTGGAGAGTGTACAGAAGATTTCTCTGGGTTTGCTCTCTTTTTTGTATGTTTGTGTTTGTGAAGAAAGGGAAGATGGTAATATTGCAAGGCAGGGGGGTTAGAGTCCTCCAGAGAGTGTGGACGGCAGAATAGAGACAACATTAACAGACCCATATGGTCCTGGACTGCTCTATGCTCACCTGCTCAGTGACACCTGGCCCAAACTCCACCTTTTTAGAGCTGGGAACATAGTCAACTCCTGGAGTGGCAGAAGCTGGGTCTGAGGGCCGTGTTGCACACCAGACAGATGTGAAGGTAGAAAGGTCAGTCCCATGACGGATAACTGGAATTTTCACTGTACCTAATGGAGACCCACAGAGATGTCAGTGGTCAGTCTTAAGCCGGAAGTCAGTGGGTTTTCAGAACAGTGTTCTCCCTCACAGCAGCAGCAGCTTTATCCTGTGAGCCTGTCTAATCCAGCTTCAGTGATGCTCCTGTGCTCCCTCTGAGGAAGGCTGAGAAATGTCACCAGCCCTGTTTTTACTGACATTAAGATCAAGGGCAGATATGGAGGAAGGCCTCATGGAGGTGGTACTGGAGAAACAGCCCTTAGGGAAAAGTGGTTTTGTGGCTTCATGAAAGAGACTGTTCACAGGAGAAAAATAAAGTGGAGAGGGTCCATCGAAAAACATCTCAAGCCTATTTTGGGAGAAGAAACTCAGAGAGTACGGCCTCAGGGATGAACTAGAAAATAGTCAATTAAGAAAGAACCAGCTAGGGGACCCTATGGGGCCTGAAGCTGAATGTTTCTAATTAAATGTTCCTAACTGGGTTGATTTCCCTATTTTATCTGAGTGGCACACACATCATTACTTAAACCATAAGTGCTATTGCTTATGTTAGGAATAAACCTCATCTTGTGGTCTACTGTAACATCATACTTCATAGTGTCCTAATGATACACAGGTAGATTTTTAGCCATTTTCACAGTCAAAGTTAGAGCAAAGCTACATGAAAATCCCATCAGTCATATTTTTCTAGTTAATAAGCTGCAAGGTTCAAAGTAGTCATGGCTGAGCATTTGGTATATAGGAAAGAAACCATGGTACAGGAAAGGTCTGTGTTCTAATCCCAGCTCTGCCATATTAGTTACTGATCTCTGAAGCTTTATTTCACCTCTGTGAGCTGCCATTTGCTCTTCTTTTTTTTTTTTTTATTATTATTTTTTTAATGTTTTATTTATTTCTAGGAGAGAGAGAGAGAGACAGCGTGAGCAGGGGAGGGTCAGAGAGAGAGGGAGTGACAGACTCTGAAACAGGCTCCAGGCTCTGAGCCGGCAGTCAGCACAGAGCCCGACGCGGGGCTCGAACCCACGAACTGCGAGATCATGACCCAAGCGAAAGTCGGACGCTTAACCGACTAAGCCACCCAGGCGCCCCTGCCATTTGCTCTTCTATTTAAAGTTCTCTTTTCTACAGATTAAGTGAGAATATATGGAATGCAGATGGCATGGTGCCTGGCATTCAGTGAGTGCTCAGAAAGATTAGTTCCCACTACCCCTCAGAATATCACTTTCGAAGAAGTGAATGGCCTTGACCAGGTGGCTCAGATCAGTGGATGCCCCTTCTGGCAGTATGTCTGCTAGCAGCATGCAGAAGACTTTGACACCCTTGTGGTGCCAAAAGAGGGAAAGGTGCCTGGGTGGAAGAAATCTGCCCACTGACTGCTAGGGATGTTATACGAATGAGAAAGTTTCATTTGTTAAGATACTGAAACTTTGGCATTTATTTGTTCTAGCAGCTAGCAGTATGCTAAATAACTTACTCCTGTCCCCAACAGATCATATTCTTGACTTCATAAGATGAAGTACTTAGTACTGTGCCCTCTCTCTGGATGGGAGAACGAGAGATGGGCCAATGAAGCTCTAAGCCAGATCCCTCCCTGCCATCAGTAACCAGGGCAAGAAAGAGGATGGGGTTCCCTATTCTTCACTACCTTCCATTCTTGGTCTTAATGCCTACTATTACATGTCTCAGACTGACAAGGGTGTCACGGAGGAATGGCATTCTCAAATGTCTTAAGAACATTCTCAAAACATAGAGGAAATTGTTCAAGAAAGAGATAAGGCAATGGGTGATGGAGCCCCAGAGATGCTCTCTATTACCTGCATCCTCACTGACAGTGAAAGCCGTGTTGCCCAGGGACACAGTGGAGGCATCATTGGGACCACTAATGAGCACCTTGGCCGACGCCACCTTTCCGATGCGGGCATTGTCAGAAGCATCTGCCAGGGCAATCTCAAACTCTTCTTCCTCTTCATACTCACTGTCGTCAATGAGCATGACATCACAGGTGGACATGGTGGCCCCAGGCCCAAATATCACACGACTGTCAGCAGACATCCCTCTAGATTTAAAATCAGAGCCCGATTCTAGAGCATAGAGGCTGCTTCCCATAGCTGACTTAGGGATTGTGTAGCAAATTGCGGATACGATGCTGCTTGAATCCCCTAAAATTCAAATGGCAAGAAAACCAAAGCATTTGAATGAGCACTTCTCAGATTCTAAAATTGCTGGTAATTTGGTAAGCTTGGTTCCCTCTGACACATCCCATCACTATTTCTGTTCAAACTCTGACATGAAACCTTCCTGCACTTCAGTTTCTTAAGTCTGTGGTATAAACCACTTGAGGATTTAATATACCCAAGATACTTCGCCAAACAACTTAAAATGGATTTCCTATTCCGTGAATTTTGTGCTCTGTTAATTCACAAGACTCATTGCCCACCATCTAAGACCACAGCGGGTAGAAAGATAAGAGAGATATTTGGTACTTTAAGTAGCAAAGTAATTGTGTCCCGAAGGTAGTGATCTGAGCACAGTTCACCGCCTTTCTGAATAAACTTCTGCACTTTAATTCTCAGGAAGAAATTGGCTTGTTTAAAAAAAGAAAAAGAAAACAAAATAAAACCTGCCTCTCTGTACAAATGACTTTGCTTATTAGTGCTGCCATGTCCCTGGAAGACAGCCTGTTCTGAGCCTGGCTTGCTGAATCAGAGCAATCAATGGGGCTTACTTGTTTTCCAAGTGGCATCACCAAGGGTCTGCATTATCTACAGTGTTTGCTACACTAATACCCAGTCAGCAGATTCAATAAACAAACAAACAAAAAAACCTGACCTCATCACTTACAGTCATGTTCTGGCTTTGAGTAGGAGGTTTAATTTCCATGAATTTTAAAGTCCCAATATTGCATGATCATAAATGCATACGATCTTTGTTTTGTTTTCAATCCCTCAAGCATTGTCCTTTATTTCTCACACACAGTTTATCTCTCAATTGAGCTCTATATGTGACACTCAAAAGGAAAATCTTTAAACATATTTTTTGTCCTCCCAAACTGAGATGAGAAGCCATTTCTTACAAACTTCCCTCCTTGACCAAGGCTACTAAATATTTATAGATTAGGTGATTGATTAAAACTTCTAAATTCATGAATAATTTGCAAGGCCAAATATAACCAGTTTTCTAACTCCATTAAAGGATAAATGGGAGCACTAACAACTTGAACTAAAAGGAGCCTTCTGATAGTACTCACTACAGGTAGGATCATTATTAGAGTTGTTCTGGGAATTAAAATGAAAACACTTACACACGGAAGTTAATATGGTACATGAGCACTTGGCACAGAAAAAGGATGCAAAAAAATGTTAGCTATTATTATAGCTCGCTGTCATCTTTGGCACCAACAGACCTTTTCTTTCAATAGGCGCAAACAGAAAACCAGCACTCTCGTTGACCCGGTAGGTCTTCTTATCAAACTCTAATGTGGGTTCGTCCTCAGTGTCATTGATAATGACCTTCGCCTGGGTGAACTCCCCTAATAGGGCATATGCTGGCATGCTGAGCTCCACAGTGAAACTCTCAATGTTCTCAAATACATCATCATCATTGATGATAATGGTGCAGGACTTGGTATCCTCTCGCTCATCAAACTGCACCTGTCACAAAAGAAACAGCGAGGAATTACATTGTGCTTCAGAACCCCCTGTTATGCTCCCCCAGATCATCATGGCAAAAGGGGACCCAAGCCTGGTGGGCAGAGCACTGAATGAAAGAGCTGGTTCTTCTACCCCAATTTCCTGCTGTGTCACCTGGAATGCTACTGCTTCTTTTTCTTCATCTATACATTGGAGCTGATTTACTGTATAGGGACATGGAATGCAAAGATACCTTCTACTATCTGGTGACTGTACAAAAACATGTGGGTAATTATTCATATATTATTTTATTAATTCACTTGGAGCAAGAGTCATTTTATTACTCATGTCCCTTTCTATGTGTGGCAGTTTACCTGGAAAGATCTTTGAACTTGGAGTGTGAAGTTCTGGTGGTCTCAAGCTAGGCTAGTCTATGAATTTTTACAAACATCAGATTCCTCATCAGCTAAATAATAATTTCACATACTTATTTCACATATTTACTGAGAGGACTAAGAGACACAATGTATAATAAAAGTTCGAAGTATATTTTAAAGGGCCGAACAAATGCGAGATATTATCTTTATTACCATTACCATACTGCTTACGCAATCAAAATTGACATAGAATCTCAGTGTACTGGATAATCGAGTTTGAATCCATTTACATTATGAACAAGCCAGACTAAATTTTAATGTTATATTTAACTAAATCCTTTGTCATTAAGATGGGCTAGGTCTATAATATATATAAATTTATCCTGATACAAAACAGAGAAATTATTTTATATTCACACAATCATGAACTTATAGGGATTTATTCTGAGTTTACTTTGTCTTAAAAAAATGATAAAGACAAAATCTTGAAATGGAACCAGGGTTATGGATTTATCTAGAATTAAAAGGCTAGGGAATAGATCTGGACTGCACTTTGTGTCAACTGAGATAGCTAAAATGTGTAAAATAGTCATCAACCTCTAGGGACACACAAATCTGAAAAACATATAATTTTCATCAGCAGAAAATTACTATTCCATATCTAATCAACTAATCAAATTAAGTTTTACTAAGCTCCACATTTTAAAACACTCCATAGATTTCGATTTAGCTCTGGAACCCACTAGAAACACCCCTAGATCTCTATGTAGCTCTAGAATCCACTGTCTTTGGTCTTTCCTTGACAAACACAAATACATGTTCTTTCTTATTATTCTTCTAAAAGATTCCTTGGCTTATCTGTTCTTTTCTGATTCCTCATTTAAATTGACCTCAGTCTAGCTGAAATGCCTCAAAGAGGGAGCCCATTCCTCTTTACAGAGATTTACAATGTCATAAGAATGGTGAAACTACTTTGCAAAAACATAGAAGAAATACCTCATAAGTGCCAAGTATTGTATCATACATAAAAGATGACAAATATGGGGCATGCTGCCATAAAGGACTTTACTGTTTAAGTCCTCTTCCTCTCTCTTTTGTGTTTACTCTCTTCTTTCCCTCTCTGCCTCATTCCCATCCTGGCACTAGTTACCACCAGTGTGGTAGAGACGTGTGCAGGCACCTCTGCCCCAGCTGCTCTCTGCACCCCCTGACAACCACCACCACCGCGGTCCTCTCAGTCCTGGCACAATTTCTGGCACCTCACACTTGGCCTGTCCAAAGCACAGCCAAGAACACCCCTTGCCAAACCTGCTCCTCTGACAGTGTGCCCTCCCAGCAAGGAGCATCACCATCCATCTCCTGCTTCTGCCCACTATCTAACCCATGGTGAAATGCTATCAATTCTTACTTATCTGTTCAATCCACCCACTTGTCTCTACTTTCTCTCCATAACTGAAACTCAAAATCCCATCATCTTTCACTCAGCCTATGCTAAGAGCTTCCCAGCCATCCTCCTACACTCTCTCTTCCCTCCCTTCAGGTAGAGAAGGGAAGGGGAGAGGTAGGGTTTGGATGCCAAAGGCCTCACATAGAACACGATGGAGACTTTTTGTGGTCATGAAGCAAAATGTAAAGACTGAGAAGCTAGACCACTTTTTTAACTTTGACAGTTAAAACTTCCATGGAGAGTAAATGGACTGGGAGGAACTAGGCCCTGTGAGAAGGGAACACAAGAAAATCACTTGAGGAAGGGCGCCAATGGAAAGGGAGATGGGGTAAAAATTAGGGGGAAGGTGCCACACTTGCCAATGACCAGTGTCCATTGGCAGAGCCAGCTCCGGTCAGGAATTGGAGGCCTCCTCGCCAACCTACCTGGCCAGCATATTCTACATAGTCCTGCTGTCCCGGTTGGAGGCTGACCCCGGAGCTGGAACTGGCGGTCCCTTGCTCGGTGCGACACAGGATGATGGCATACTGGTTCAGGTTCCCAGTCCTCTGCACTGTGACGCTGACAGACCCCGCCTTCTCACTTACATTGTAGCTGGAAGCACATAAAATGGTGGTCTCTGAAATCTGAGCTGGGGCTGTGAAGAATCCACTTGTTTAATGCCTGTCACTTCAGTTGGTTACTGGTGTCAGGTAGTTCCGAGAATAAGAAGTTTGGTTTCTTTAGGAAGTCAGGTTATAAACTGAGGAAACATTCCCTCGGGACAGTCACAGCACCAAGTGACCAAGGAGGCTGTGGATGCAGGATGGTATCTGCCCCATTTCCAGAGCGAGTTGAAAGTCATTTAGAAAATGAGCAGCACATAGGAGCTACACACTTTGTACTTCAAAACACAGAGAAATGACAATCTCTCCCTAGAATGGTAGAGTAATTGGAATAATTCAGTGGGTTCTTAGGAAAAAAAGATGCTTGGAAGATAATTAATGACTTAGCTCAGGTGGAAACTGACTGGACAAGATCTCCAGGAAGTATGAAAAGGAGCCAGGGTGGTGGCAGAGAATTGGGGCTACAGAACAAAGGTGTTAAGACAAATGGAGTTTTATGACATTGGGGGGTGACAAGGTGCTATAGACTGAACTATAACATATGTTCAATATGAACAAATTCATATGTTGAAATCCTAACCACAATGTGATCATATTTGGGAGGTGATGAAGTCATGATGGTGGAGCCCTCATGAATGGGACTGGTACCCTTATAAAAGAGGTCCCACAGAGTTCCCTGGTCCTTCCACTATGTAAGGACACAGGGAGATGACAGCTGTCTATGAACCAGGAAGAGACTCCTCACTAGCAACCAAATCTGTCAGCACCTTGATCTAGGACTTCCTTGCCCCCAGAACTGTGAGAAATAGATTTCTGTTGTTTGTAAGCCACCCAATCAATGGTATTCTGTTATAACAGCCCAAACAGACTGAGACACAGGGTAAACTTAGCTTGCTGATATAATTTATATTGTTTTTGTAAAGTAGAAGGCAAACTATCCATGTGCTATTAATTCATAATAAGTATCTAGGTTTAGAAAAGCCATAAGTGATGGGGCCTGAGCTGGGCCTTGTTTTTCATCCCTGAGGATGATGATCAAAGGTTCATTTGCCTGGCCCAGAACCCACTTGTGTCTTTTTGCTGTGAGGGTTGTAGGCAAAGTGCCCCTGAGGTCAGTCCCCATTGCTAGCTTTGGGACACTCTGTACCATTCAGCCCATTAAAAGTTGGAGGCTTGTACAGAAAAAGTGATTGGATTTAGTCTATTTATTTAATTTTTAAGGAGATATAAATGAGCAGAACTTGCATATAAAAAAGCTGACTATAATGTTTCACTAAGTTCTCTAAGTATGTGTGACTGGAGCACATGAAATCAAGTTTGTAGGTTACCTCCCAACCCCCATTCCAGTTTTCATCTGAATTATCATGAAATTGATTTCTTCAAACAGTGAGACTCTGAAATGTAGATTTAAAGAATTATTTCCTGCCCCTCCCCTGCATGCATTCTGTCTCTCTCTCTCTTTCAAAAAAAAAAACCCATTAAAACATTTTTAAGAATTCTCTCCCCCACAAAATTATAATCCTAGTTATAATCTGACCTGTAAAATCAACACTGTGCTTGCCTATTTTTACCAAAACCGGTGCCTATTTGTCTTTCAACCACCCAACAGGCTATAAAAGCTCCTTAAAGAGCTATCTATATTAAGCGATGAATTTGTTCCAAAAGATACAGAATTCTATGAACACCAAAGGAGCTAGGGGGGGAATATAAGCCCAAGAACAGAGAGAATGTAAGGGGAAGGCAAAGATGTTATTATTATGGGCCAGTGGTTACTTTCATAACTTGGATGTGTATTTTGTTTCTTCTCTAAAACTTGAAGACAGAAGGAAAAAAACTTGTAGGAGATGCAGTAAAGCACAATGGTTAAGATCACTGGACTTCAATCCTGGTTTTACCACTTACTAGCTATGTGACTTTGGGTAAACTAGTTAACTTCTTTCTGTCTCCATTGTCTTGTTCTTGTGGGGATAACAACAGCACTCACAACTGCAGGTAGTAAACAAGATGACGTATGTCAAGTGCCTAATACATACAGAATTAAAAAACATTTGGTGATGTTATTTTTATTATTGTTATCCCTACCACCAACATCATCAGATAACTAGAGTTAGCCCCCAGGTACTTCAATATGATTTCTTCTCTTTTCCTGATTAATTTTTCAAGAAGGAACACCAATAACCTTTGTACCTGGTATATTTAAAGCTGATGAGGGACCACTGAACATGGAAGACATTGTCGCTGACCACATTGGGTTTACTGTCTTTCACCAGAAACTGGAAACTATCCATCATCTCGTGGATCTTCTCCTCGTGCAACACATAACGAATCAATCCCAAGTTCACATCCTCTGTGAGAAGAAACACATGGTGAATGAACTGGGGATGTAAACACAGTCTTGTAGATTCCACACTATCCTATCCAGTTTATTTTTCTAATGGGCTGCAGATAGAACTTAATGTCCTAAGAACAAAAAGGGATAGTCATCTTAAAAATAAATATATCTGCCAGATTTTAAAATAAAATCCTACAGCTTCATGTGACAAAAGAGGTACTTATGTATAGGAAGTACCCTTATGTTGTTGTAAAATGAGAATCCCAGAGTCTTGGCAAAAAAGAACTTTAATGAATCTGTCTGGAATATTAAACGCAAATCTGAAAGCTGACGGAGGAAAATATTTGACTCCATCCTCTGTATATACATGCTTATACTCACCCCGACTTCCTTCTAAATAAGGTTCTTTAGAAGGTGTGTGCAATTAAGAAAAGCTGTATTTTTTAAACAGCCCATACATGAAGTAAAAAGAACATGTTCTCTTCTGGGAAAGAACACAAGATTGAGAACAGGAAGAAAAGGAAAATATGGTACCTGAGTTGTAAGGTACAGTTTTTGTAGTGACTGCTTAAAGTAAGGTCTATCCTCAAAAGAAGCCTAGAAGAGTCTGACATACTTATAAGAAACTAAAATACAAAATGGTTTGTTTGATGTGATTCAGAATAAGAAAATATTTCTGTTGAGCCACCTATCTGTGTTGATTTTAATTTCTTTGCTGAACACATAAAAGACAATCCACAACCCTTAGAGAACAAAAATAAACCGTGCAGGATCACAGATATTTCAGAAAGTATAGTGGTTGTTTTTAAAAGAAACCAAGAAAGCCTGAAACTAACATTGTGTGTCAACTGTGATTAAATTTAAAAAAAGAAGAAAACCAATCAATACATCATCCTTCCACTAAATCGTGACAAAACCTAAAGCAATTTGGGAGCTGAGGAAGCACAGTAAGGAAAAAAGAATTTTTTTTGGTCATAATTCAGATTAATAGGAAAAGGAATTCAGGAGAAGTAAAATTCCAAAGCTGGGTGGTTAGACACTAAAAGATCTGTTTGTTTGCAAATAAGTTATATGAGGGTAAGTAGCTGGAAGTGGTTGTAAGAGAAGATCAGCGTGGTGGGGAGAGTTAGAACCGATTTATCCCATCTCTTGGTTCCCCAGGTCCCCACCCTGCGTGAAAGTGACAATAGTTCTGCCAGGCTGGAGCCTGCTCTCCACGTAGCCATGACTGGGGCCTGCTGTTATCTCGTAGACAAGCTGCAGGTCCTCTGTGTCCGGGTCCATGGTCAGCAGTTCTTTCTTGGTGATCAAGTTGGTTGCCTGGAATAGAAACCCATTAAATTTAATTCCTGAGGTGGGAATAAAGCCAGACCAAGACCCTCTGACTCAGAATTAATTCAGTTCAACAATGATTTACTGAGTACATTTATTGCATGGAAAACTCTGTCAGTGTTGAAGAGGCTATGAGGATAGCACCATCCCAGCCTCTGTCCTTGAGGTGTTCATACTTTATTGGGAAAGAAAGGCTCATGAGCAAGGTAGCTCTTAGGCAGGAGCCATAATAGGAAATAGAAAAAAGAGTACTGTATACTTTTTGGGAGTGGAGGGATGAATTCCATCTGGACTGGAGGAGAGATTTGAGATGGTGGGAAAGGTTGGAACTTTTAAACAACGATAAAATACAGGCTACTTTATACCTTATAGGAGTCAATCATAATGCTCGAAACTGAGTAAGGTAAATATGTGATACCCCAATATTGCTCAAACACATTGGCTAAACCTTAATTCTCTCATTCATCCATTCAACAAACATTTAGTAAGGGCAAAGGTTTGGGAGAAAAAAGGGGGTTATCAACAGTATTAAATATTGTAGATCTAGTAAAGTAAGGACATGTAAGTGACCTTTGGATTTGGCAACATAAAAGTCATTGGTGACTTTGATAAGAGTCATTGCAGTAGGATAAAAGTGCTAAGTAGAAAACCAGTTTGGAGGGTGTTGAGAAGAAAATGGGATGGTTCTGAATATGGGAGAAAAATCAAATAGGGGATGAGAGGAATTTGTACTAATTTGAAAAAAATTCCAACCAGTACAGTAGAAAGTTACAGCACAGCAGCTACATACACAGCCAACCAATTAGCTCCATGGAGATGAGAAAATCCACATCCTAGAGGGGATACCCCACGTAAAAGAAGGGAATCAGTTCGTATGGATTTAATGCTTGATATGGAAACAAGTAAGAATCATGGTATATCTTAAAAAGACCAAATTGGGATTTAGGAGGAGATAAGAATTTTTAAAATAGAAGGAAGTCCTCTGAGGATGCTCACCTACAAAATACTCACTTTCTTCCCATCAATGGCATATTCCAGATGCTTCCTGAAGTCCATCCTCCCCTTCTTCTAGTAAACAAACTTTTAGCTTAGCCAGCTAGAGATTATTTCCCAGCCATTCATGTAACAGATGGACCTTATGACCAACTTCTTGCCAAAATAATATGAGTGCAAGTGATGTGTTTAATTTCTCTATCGCTTGTTTAAAATGAAGTTCCTTGCCTTCTACTTCTCTATTTTCCTCTTCCTATGGGCTGGAATATCAATGAATGGCTGAAGAGTTTTGGTTCTGTTGTTAAGAGCAACAACCCAGTGATGCCAGAGTAAGAAGACAGAAGGAATCAGCATCTCTGATCGGTCCTGTAGAGCCCTAGACTGACCACTTACTTCCACTCTATATGTGAGAGAAAAAAACAAAGCAAAACTTCTATCTTGTTTGAGCTTCTGTATTTTGGGGAGTCAGTTCTGTAAGAACATCTTAAGCTATATACACTCCTAACAAAACTCATAGAGCTTGTGAATCTTAGAAAAATCAGCTCCCTTAGAGAGGGATAAATGTGAGCAGAACTGACTTCTATCCCCAAGTTGCCCTGAGTAAGGACATAGCCCAAGCTGGTTTGTGCGAATGCGGCCGATGGAAGGGCCTTACCTTGCCATCCATGTACTCCAGCCACTGGAGCCCCAGGTTGGTAACAATTCTAGGGGTGCCATCATCTACTGGGAGGATGTCTACTTGGAATTGCTGAGGTGCTGCTGTCATAACCTGTGGGGGAAGCCAAAAGAGAAAAGGCACCATTCGCAGATATCTGGAATACGGCAGATCCAGGACCTACAATGCTGCAACCCTGAAATCTGATGGCACTTCAGCACGGTGACCAAGCCATTTTCCTATTGCTTACCCGCCTTGGCATGAGGTGCAGAGAAGAAAGCCGACTGATAAAGTGGAAACAACATGACAAGAAAAGCGAGGAAAGTGGTGCTTTTCTGCAAATTCACCTGCTATGGAAGTTGACTTTCTCACATCCATGCATCCCTTAACTGGGTTCAGTATTGCCCTATTTTCCTTTCTATAACTCTTGTTAGCATTTTCATGAGCGGTGGACTAAACTCATCATTAACATGTTAATGCCAAAGTCCCCAGGTGCGATTCTGCCAGATGTGAAAAGACATTTCATGGAAGATATTGTCTTCTTTTCTTTCCTTTTTTTTGAGGGAGAACCATCCATATGGGGGAAGGGGTCTGAGAAAATCAAGAATAAAAGCATTTGTGGGAATAGTGAAAAGAAACTGGTCTACCATTTCACTCTCATGCAGATACACATACACACACACACTGCACATACATGGTGAGTCTGCTCCCTGAACCTCACTGTTCCTGAGAAAATAAGGCACAACAGCACACAGGGCTTGCTGGCTTTTCAATCTTCTGCAACCGTCCTAAATAATTTCCACTTCAAAAATAATTCAGTCTCTCTGGAGACTACTATGACCTTTTGTGTTTATCAGAGAGGTAGCCTCTTGCTGATTCATCCTGAAATCTTTTTTCTCTTCTGAAAGTCAAATTAAGTTGGGGAGCAGCTACGGTTTAGAAGAGAGAGAATAGAAGTGATGATCAGCCAGGCGGTGATGCAGTGCAGACACTGAAATGGCAGGAAATCCCAAGAGCCATCTCACCGGCACCTGGGTCAACTGAGAATGATCTTCCCACAGGCTGTCTCTAAAGGATGCAGAGATGGGGAGGGGGGAATCCTTCTTCCAGGAAAAGAGTCAGTCCCACGCATCATCAGAGTAGGGAAGGACTCCACAGGACTGAGAGGTTGACCCTTTTGTTATCCTGAAACACAGCAGGGGTGTGATCATGTTGCTCACTAAAACTGCTTCTGCTGAGTCAGGCACAGATGCCTGAGACGCAGGCGTGTCCTTGGGCCCACCTTCTACCAGAGTTGCAATTATTCCCAGGGGTTATGATACTGCCGGAGACCTGGCTGAGGAATAAAGGAGTAAGAAGTGCAGGGAAGATAGTGGAGAGGGCATCTTAAAGTTTCTTGCGGACACCTGAATGTTAGAATGGAGCAATTCTCTTAGGGGAGTAACGCTTGACAACTGTACGAACTCAAGAGAAAAACACTGTTAATCTGTTTCACGAGCTGCTCCTAAAATGATGACAATGATGATAATACTATAGCTACAATTTATTGAAGTTTCCTATGTTTTCTGTGTAAGGCACCAGGTTAAGTGCTTTACGTATATCACAAGGGCAGCTATCATCCCCATTTTACAGACAGGGCAATTGAGGCTTAGGAAGGATAACTGACTTACAAAGAGATTTCAGCTAGTAAGTGAGAGCTAGAATTTAAATCAGGGTCTTTTAGATGGAAAAGCCACACTCTTCACCAGGTTATTCTTCAGGAGATTGAGAAACCCTGGCTGGCTGAGGGGACACTGAAAAGAGAAAGATAATCTAGAATCGTCTGAGATTATTGAAAAGCCAGATGAAAGGAGCCAACAGGTGGAAAAAACAAATAATGACAGTCATAATAACAATAACTATCGCCCCTTATTGTGCATGCTATTTGCCAACAATGTTACCCACTTTCTGTAGATTACCTCCTTTGATACTTAGACTAACTGAAATCATACCCATTTCACAGGTAAAAAGCTGAAACATAGAGAAGTTAAGTGATTTGCCCAAGGCCATTTAGTGACACTAATAAGAACATTGCTATTCTTGGCCTAAAAATGCCATGTTCTGCCTTTGGACAACCTCTGGCACACTTTGCTGTGTCTCCCTCTCCACTGTCTTTGCCCCTCACCTCTTTTCCTCCTTCCTCAATGATAAAGAAGGGTTTTGAGCCATCAGCCACGGTGAAGGTGAAGTGGTCTCTGAGAGAGTTGCTGCCATCATGGCTGTAGCTGACCTGGTTCTGGTAGATGTCTTCCATGGTGAAGGTGGAAGTGTGCCAGAAGTGCTGCCCGTTGGTGGTCCGCTCGATGGTGCCGTGGCGTGGGGGCTGCACAATGGTGAATGTGACAGACTCGGCCTGTCGAGGGGGTAGAAAGCAAGGGGAGAAACCAGATTTGTGAATGACAGCCAGCAGGTGGTCAAGGATACCCACGCCGAAAGATGTTTATAAAATAAGGATCGCATTTGCTTTAGAGATACCAAAAATTAAACTAAGGAGAGAAACTGTATTGGTTACTACAATTGAACTTATGTTCTGATGCCTTCTGGTGTCAGAGGAAGACACTTAAATCTGTCTTTTAAGGGTCAAAGGGGAAATCTGAATTAAAAAAAATTTTTTTTAATGTTTATTCATTTTTGCGAGGTGGGGAGGGGCAGAGAGAGAGGGAGACACAGAATCTGAAGCAGCTCCAGGCAGTCAAAGGGGAAAACATTAATCAAAAAAAACCCTTTTTTAATGTTTATTCATTTTTGAGAAAGAGAGAGTGAGGGTCGAGGAAAAGGTAGAGAGAGAGGAAGACACAGAATCTGAAGCAGCTTCAGGCTATGAGCTATCAGCACAGAGCCCTGTGCGGGGCTTGAACCCACAGACTGTGAAATCATGACCTGGCCGCTTAACCAACTGAGCCACCCAGGCGTCTCAAAAACCTGAATTTTTAACTTATGCAAGGATCATAGGAACTAGACTTTTACAACCATTCATTTTCTTCCTAACCTTTTCCCCACTTTCCTAAAGCTCTTATGTACAATATGCAATAGAACAGAAGCTAATTTCCTCTTTCTAGTTGCAGCTTCTAGGGTGACACATAGAAGAAAAAATAAAGATGTAAAAAACTCTGTTCAAGATTTTCCAATGATCTTCCACCAACTTAGAAAAAAATGGAAAGGCCTGACCTGGCCAACAAGGCCCTCTGTGGCCTAGTGCTGGGCTTCCTTCTGGCCCATTCCTCTTTTCTCCTGCTCACTCACTGGGCTCCGTCTTCTTGGCTTCTTCATTGTAACTCAAAAGTTTCCAAGCATACTTGACAGCAGGCCCTTTGCACTTCTGGTTCTTTTGCCCAGAGAATGACTCTTTAAGACACTGCATACCTTGCTCTTCCACTTCGTGATTCTCTGCTCAAATATCATCTCCTCAGAGAAGATGTCCCTGACCACTCTGTCTAAAATAACACACCCTTCAATCTCTATCTCCTTTGTATTGCTTTATTTTTATTCAGAGCTCTTATCATATCTGACATGATATTTATATGATCTTTCTTTCTCGTCTGTTCCTTTAACCTAAGGCTGAAAACTCCCTAAGGTTGGAACTTTGTTTTGTTTACAGCCCTGTCTTTAGCATCTAGAGCAGAGCACTTAATTAGGTTATCGATATTTTTGAGAATAAATAAATGAATGAGTACTGGCATGGGGAAAGGTAGACACAGAACTAATGAACAAATGCTATGGTACTCTTTTATGGGAGCGCTAAATCATGTCAGACTGTTAGATGCTTTAATCTGAAAGCATCATGAGAATTAGAATTTGGTCTCTATGTGCTCTGTTTTACTGAATAAAGCCTAGTTCTGTAAGGGTTCTCCAATTGTAATAATCAGGTGTCATTCAGAGAAGTCTGAATGAAGCAGGTAAAATGATAGGAAAATAAATAGGTGTTCAAAACCCTTGCTGAGTCTAATAAGAAACATTAAAAAAGCAGGTAAAATGCTATCTAATTTTCTATGAATCATGATTAAAAATATCAGCATATTAAGGGATTATTACATGTAATCAGGGTAAAGAGTGAATGTATTTAGGTTCTGAGAAAGGGTTTAAAACCAATTTGATCTCAAATATATTAGTTTCTCTTTTCCAGACTCTTTTCCACAGTGTCTTCTGGTTTTTAACCCTTCAAGGACACCTGCACGAACCTCACCCCCTGCCCTACTCTCAGGACGTACAGTCACAAAGCAACAGATCAGCCTCTCATTCAACCAGAGAACCCAGCGGAGTGCTCTTACCTCTGTGTCAGCATCCACCGCCTTGAGCTCAAACTCTGTGATGGTCTTCCTCACACCCTCCTGTACCCGCATCCCCGAGTTGTGTACAATAGGCAGTGAATCATCCACAGGGCGTATGGTGATATGGAAGGTCTGCATCACCTAGATGGTAGAAAGTGCAGGAGGGACACCTGTCCTCAGCACACACCCATGGAGAAGGTAGGTGCTCTCTACTTTTCCTTTCACTCATTCCCAGCGTGACTGACTGACCAGGAATCCAGATCAATTTCCCTTTGGTGAGAGCCCCAGGGTCTGTCAGAGGCTACCACTATCCTTGGGTGAGAGCAGGGGAAGGTGAAGCTTGCATAGTTGCTTTGCATCAAAGAAGACTGTGCTGCTGAATCAGTACCCATTCACTGAGGGAATAGAATGCATTGCCTACCTCACTGACTCCATCTGAGAGTGTGAAGCTGAAGGCATCTGAATGTTTCTCGGTCTTACTGGAGTGGATATACTGAATGCTTCGTGAAGTCAGGTCAGCTTGAGTAAAGGAACTAATCTGGATACCTAGCAAAAGGGGAAGAGAGAACCAGAGAAAGGATGTCAAAATGCTAGCCATACTTCTAATGCTAGAGAAATGCAAAACTCTCACCACGGAGTCCTTTGTATTTCTCTCATAGCAGTTATACGCTTCTCTCTGAAACCTTGTGTTAGAGTTGTTCGTATATATACATATTTTTTTCTACAACAGCATATGTTCTGTGGGAGCACATGTTAACTTAATTTATCTAGCTTCTAGTATGTGCCAAGCCAACAGCAGGTGCTCAATAAATGTTCCTCTCCTTTCTCTAGGGGTTTATGTATGCAGGTCAAATATGTGAAAGGTATAGCCATTGCCTTGGGCCCCAAACTCCTCTCTCTTAAGTTTTATATCCCCCTATAGCCTCATAGTCCTCTCTGAAAACCTGCCCTAATTTTTAATATTGTATGATGATTTAGTTTTTGAACACTAGAGTCATAGGGCTTGGCTATACATAATGGCCTTTTTTCTGTGATTAGTGAGCCTGGCATCCAAGATTTCATTGGATATTCTTCAAGGTCCTTTCAACATTCTGGTCTACGATTCTGGCTTCTCACATACCACTGTAGCCAGGCTGGCAGTTACAAAACTTACTGTATGACTCTGGGGTTTGAGCAATCATTCTATCTCAACTCTAAAATGACCTAAAAAGCCAGTATCCTTTAAAAACATGATGTAGAAAAAACATGTTACATTTTTTTTAACAGTCATTTTCAAAGTCAAACAACACAAACAAAACAAAACAAAAAAACCTAAAGTCATTTTAGATAATGCCCACATATCCCTCAAATGAATAACATCTTATGTTTTTAAATGTCCAACATTTATCAAAACAGACCGGAATTCTTGCTCCTATCATAGGGCTTCTGTGGCTCATCTTCAGTGCCAGCCAAGACTGAAACAAAACCACATCGAATGTGATTTTCGTCCCTCAGCACAAATTCCCTCTTTCTGTTTCTGGGTGCTGGGGTATTAATCCATTGAATCTAGTCCTTTGGTTTGGTCCTGAAATTCATTTTCTGCTTCCTGGGATTTATTATTTGTCATTGTTAATGCAGGGAAAAACAGTTTGGCCTTTCAGCAAAAAAACCCAAAGAGATTCTACTTTGACTGTTTTACATGTAACTATGGCATCAATATCACTGCTTTATCTTTTTTAAAAAAACCAACCCACATGCTTTACACATTTGCAACTCTCTTTATCATCTGAAATTTGTTACCCCTAGCTACAACAGTCTCCTGGATACTGGGGCATTATTTTTTTGATGAGGAATTTTATATTTCTGTGCTTGCTACATCAGCTCTTGACAGGCAAAAAATGTAGCCCCCTGTCTTATCGCTTTGTCTTGTGGCTCTGGACAGAAATCCACACCATTCTTTAAAAATTTAATAACTTCAGACTGGCTGCACTGAGAAATTTAAATCTTTTTTCCCTGCTGTGTATCCATCCTCACAGCTCATAGGGAAATTCTTATATGGATTCTCACAATCAACTGGTCACCTAATTCACTGTTCCCTTTATATGAGTCTTTTATAGTCTAAGATTGATTAAGAAAGGTGATAGATTTTTTTTCCTTTTTGGAAAGAAAGATTTGGAATTGATCTTTTTTTTTTTTTTTAACATTTCTTACTGAGAGGAAATTGACATATAATAAATTGCACATATTTAAAGTGTACAATTTCATAACCTTGGGCACATCCATGAAACTATCATCTCAATCAAAATAGTGAACATTTCCATTTCCCAAAAGTTTCTCAACTGACATTCTATAATCCCTCCATTTCCCTTTCCCATCCCTTACCCTATTCCAAAGAAACAAATCAATTGTTTTCTGTAACTGTAGATTAGTTGGATCTTCTCTAATTTTTCCATAATTAGAATCATAAGGTGCATACTATTTTATGCTTTCTTTCATTTAGCAGAATTGTTTTGAGTTTCTTCCATATTGCAGCATGTACTCATAGTTTATTTCTTTTTAATGTGATTATATTACAGTTTGTTTCTCCATTCACCCGCTGGTGGTCATTTAGGTTATTTCCAGTTTTGTGCTATTGCAAATAAAGCTGTTATGATCATTTGTGCACAAGTCTTGGTAGGGGCTTAAGTTTTTATTCCTCTTGGGTAAATCTCTAAGAGTGGAATGGTGGGAATGCATGTTAGGCCCATGCTTAACTTTTTAGGAGACTGCCAAACTAAGTGGTATATTTTATATTTCCACTAGCCGTAGCTGACAGCTCTAGGCTCCTTTCCCAAGTCAATCTAGCAAACATTGAGTACCTACCCCATGTGCAGAACTCTGTTTCAGGCTTGTTTATATATACTGAGTTGTATCTTGTAACAATTCTAGGAGGTCAAGGTTGGCATATTACCTCCATTTTTCTAGATTATGATATGAATAAAATTAGAAAAGCAGTGTGACCTATCCAAGGTCACACAGCTAACAAGAGGGCAGTGTTGGGGCTGGAGCTCAAGGTTGTCTAACTTTAAAGTTTATGCTTGCAAGGAGTACTTTTTGTACAACTCATCTAACCTTTTCAGTATAGGTGAAAATCTTGGATTTTACCATTATCCTTTAATTTTTTTTTCAATATAAAAGTAATGAAAGTCTATTAGAGCGAATGTGAAAAACACAGAAAAGTAGTGAAAAATCACAAAAGCCATTCATGAATCTACCTCTGCAATATCACCATTGTAATATTTTAATTGATTCATTTCTTCTAGAATACTTTCTTGGCTATAACATTTGTCTTGTCTGATATCCCTAACTTGGTGGCAGAGGGTAATGAGATGCATCTAGAATGTAAGCTTTAAGAGGACAAGGATTTTTATTGTTTCTTCACTATTCTGCACCGAGAATAGTGCCTGGCACAGAACAGGTACTCAATACATGGCTGGTGAATGAATTCAGTTCATCCACTCTAATTGCTATCTAAGAGGTCTTACTGAGCACAGATGTTCAATCTCTATACACGTAAGAAAAAATTCCAGCCTTTGTTAATTGAGTATTGGAAGACTTACTACTCCCCATCAAAATGGTGTTTCTAATACCATATTGTCCCTACTGGCTGTCACAGCAGGTAGTTACTGTTTGAAATATCTTGAAGGCATTTAATCCCATCGAAGGTGTTTTCAGTTACCAACCCTCTGGCTAAACTATGTATCTGGCAGTATTACAGAGACCCACATTAACCCTGTCAGTTTTTCCAATTCCCCCGGAGGCCCAGTACGTTAGAGAAAGTTCAGTCCAGGTCAGAAAGGCAGCGTGGGAATAAAGCATCTTTGAAGAAATTGCCTTCCTTTGCCTCTACCTTCCTGCTTTCTGCAGAGCTGTGGCTAGCTCTGTGACACTGCCTGTGTCCCACCTCAGACTCAGGCTTTGGGGGACTCTCAGCTTCTTTGCTTCAGATTTTCTTCAGAGCCTCCTGTCATGGAATGGATTGTGTCCCCTCCCTCACTGCCCGCCTCCCCCCCACACCCCAAATTTATATGCTGATGTCCTAACCCTCAGTACCTCACATGTGACCTTATTTGGAAATAGGACCATTGCAGAGTAAAGTTAAGATGCGGTCATTAGAGTGGCCCTAATCCAATCTGATTAATGTGCTTATAAAAAGAGACAGTTTGTCACAGATATACCCACACAGGGAGCATGCCCTGGGTGCAGAAAGATGGCCATCTCTATAAGCTGAGGAGAGGCCTGGGCCAGATTCTTCCTCACAGCCCTCGGGAGAATCAACCCTGTTGATAGCATGATCTTGGACCTCCAGCCCCAGATCTTTGAGACTCAGTTAAGTTGCCCGGTCTGTGGTAATTTGCAACGGCGGTCTTCAGCACACTAACATAGGTCTGCTCTGGGGGACAACAGAAACTAAAGCCATGGGTTCATCCTATTTTGGTTGGTGTCACAATACTGACAGAGGCTGAGACAAAGAGGACACTGCTGAAAACCTTCGCTGAAGTGCCATCTCTGGGACGTCTTTCCTGACTCACTTCCACACCTCTCGCAGGTGGAACTCTTTGTGCATTGGCTCTCACTGTTGTGTCATGTTGCTGTCACAGCTACAGAAACACATTTGCACGTGTTTGTTTATGAGTCTCCCACCTCCAAAACAAATTTCCTCCTGCAGCAGCTACTCAGTCAGTGTTTGGTGAAAGTGAGAAACCAGTGTTCTGGAGACTGCTATACTCCTCCCTGACTTGAAAAATACAAGTCCTCACTGTTAGCCTAGTAATTGGATGCCCAGTTCGGGTCTACATTTCCCAGCCATCCCACAGCTTTGTCTGACTACACTCAGGCCACTGGGTTGTGATCAAAATTGATGTGCGCTCTTCTGGTAATACTCCTAAAATAGAAATGGATGCGTGGTCCCCTGGCCTTTGCCCCTTATTGCTGGCTGGGTAATGGCAACAATTACAGTGGTCCCCTCGGACCAGAGATGGAAGCCTCATACTGAGGATCGCAGAGCCACCTTAGGCCATCTGGGCCACCTGCCTCTGGATATTTCTGTGAGAGAAAATGAATTTCTTGTTGAAGGCACTATGATTTGGGGTCTCTTTGTTCCAGAGACTTATATCTTAATAACTCCTTACTCTGGTTTCACAATAAAAAGAGGGTCTTTAGGGTCCCCGACATGAGGGGATGGCCCCTCAACCTTCCAAAAGGCACACATGGGCAGGCTCATGGCTGTCTTCTGCACAGTCTGTACCGGCATGTGGCTCCCTAGATCGCAGGGGACAAAAGTAGGATCTCCACACCTGTCCTGTCTATACAAAAAGAACAATCAATTACAATTCATTGACCAAGACAGACAGTATGAGAATAAGTCCACTTCATAGTTAACCAGCGAAAGCATATCTGCAGGCACTGGAGGAAATTGATAATTCCAAGAGGCATCAGTTCCAAAATAGCTCAGTGCCTGCACTACAAGGCACTGGCCTAGGAACATGCTTTGTTCTTCTGGAAAAGCACAGGCCAGCCCACCTCAACTCCTGGTAGACCCACCCTCACCCACTGAGGCAAAGAGGCAAGGTGTAGGGGCTTTTCTAGAAGCTGAGCCAGCTGCCTTAAGAGAGGAATATAAGATATCAACATGCATTTCCTCTGAAGGGACACCTTTGACATCTAAAGTACCAAATTCATAAAAATATTCTCACGGCAGACAGGGAATGTGAGAATTCTGTCCAAATGCTACTGAAATGACTCAGAATGGGGTTGGAGGTGCAGGAGGTGCAGGGAAACCCTGTTCCATTAGCAATGGGGAGGAGGCCCCCAAGAGTAAAGGGGAGGGGGCTGGAGCCTCGTACCTAGTCCACCAGGAGTTTCTAGAAACAGGTGGGTGGAGAAAAACTGGTGGGGGCATGAGTCAAGTGAGTTAGGAAGCCAAGTCTGGTGGAAAAGGGCAGGTGAAAAGTATCCTGCGAAAGGGAGCCCTCCTTCCTTTTTTGGAAGGTACTTTCCCAAGATAAGGGAGAAGTGTGATCACCAGACGTCTCCTCCTAAGCAGCGTTGGCTTTGTCTTGGCAACCAGAATTTAATCCCAGGGATGGTTGAGACTGTAAAAACAGAAGAGGAGTCATTGAAGCAGCCTCACATTGAACTCTTAAGGCAGCCCAGGGTCAGAGAAGAGCAGGGGCTGGGATTTACCATCAGGAAGGCAACCGACAGTGCCTTGCATGAGGCTCAGTGCTTTTAAATCTCTGTATGGTGTGGATGCAGCTGCCTAACACAACAGCCAAGAGTCTGCCCTTTCATCTTTGGAGAGATAAAATCAGCAACCTGACAGAATTCTGGCAGAAGCAATTAGCTCATGAATTAGTTATCAAATATCTCCTGCAGCCAAGGTCTTAGGAGTGCTGATGTGCATTCTTCCTGCAGGAACATTGGGACAAAAGGGTAGGCCATTTGCTTCCATTTGCATTAGGGATTTTTTTTTCTTTCCTTTTTTTTTTTAAATTTTTTAAAAACGTTTTATTTATTTCTGAGAGAGAGAGAGAGACACAGCGTGAGCAGGGGAGGGTCAGAGAGAGAGGGAGACACAGAATATGAAACAGGCTCCAGACTCTGAGCTGGCAGTCAGCACAGAGCCTGACGTGGGGCTCAAACCCGTAAACCGTGAGATCATGACCGGAGCTGAAGTCAGACACTTAACCAACTGAGCCACCCAGGAGCCCCCACATTAGGGATTTTCACCATTCTCCCCATCTTCCCCTATACCTTCCTACTGAACACTCCACACTTCCCCCTCCACCATAACCATCACATGGTGTGCCTCTCCTCCCATCCTCTGCCAGACTACCCTCCACCTCTCCCCACAGATCTCCCTCTCATTCACTGTCTCATTCACCCTGCCCCAGCCACACTGGTCTTGCTGCCTTTGGAACTAGATGTGCCAGGCTTATCCCAACTCAAGATGTTTATACTCACTGATCCGTCTGTCTGGAAAGCCCTTTCCTTACAGCATCAGCATGGCTGGCTCCCTCACTCTCCTCAGACCTCTTGTCAAATGTCATATTAGGGAGTACTTCCCTTACCCCCTTCCTCCCTGCACCCTGGAACACTCTTATTTCTCCCCCTAATACTCATAGCCATTGATACAGGATACATTTGTTGCTTGTTTGCTTATGCTCTGACTCCCTGTATTAGAGAGTGAGTAGAACCATGGTAAGTAGGTCCCCTGTTTTGTCATTCCTCTGGTCAAATGAATGAAGGCTCTGTAAATTAAAATCCAAAGGAAACCAGTGAAGCCCTAAATCTCCTGCAATCTATCCCTGCCTCTATGATGTATGGAAAAAGACAACTCTGCCTTTAAATTGTTCAGCAAGCATCTTCAGTACCTCACATCCATTCAGCCAATTTTTATAGATTCCCATCCCAAAATTCCACCCTCCCTCCTTCTCTCCTTCCCTCCTTTTCTTCCTCCAACCATTGTCTATTGAATACTTACTGGGTGCCAGATACCATCATTACATCATTCTCACCTTTCTATTCCCACCACTGCCCCTCTGGGTGAAGCCTCACTACCTCCTATTAGGCCCAAATGTGAAACTTCCAACCCACTGTCACTGCCTCCTTTTTCTTTCTTTCATTCATCAGACACTAGACGAATTTCACTTTCCTGCTCAGAATTCTGTAGTGACTCTCCATCGTCTATTAAATTTAATAGGGATTCCTTATCCCCAGCTCTGAAGACCCTCCATAAAATCTCACTCTGCCCGTGAGCCGCATCTACTCCTGTTTTCAGAATATATGCTTTAGCTAAACTGGCCCCACTCATCATTTTTTTGAGTGTGCCCACATGCCGTTCCCATCTCTGAAAATAACACAATTTCTGTTTGCCCAAACTCTACCTTCTAAGGGCTCTTTAAATGCCACCTCTGTGCACCTTCCTACCCAATGTAGCCTCTCCCATTTTTTTAAAATTTTATTCATTTTCAAGAGAAAGAAGATGAACAGGGGAGAGGCAAAGAGAGAGGTAAAGAAAGAGAATCCCAAGCAGGCTCCGCACTGTCATTGCAGAGCTTGATGCGATGCTTGAACCCATGAACCATGAGAGCATGACCTGAGTCTAAATCAAGAGTCAGATGCTTAAGTGACTAAGCCACCCAGGTGCCCTAAGCCTCTCTCATTTTTGAATTCCTATGACACCAGGTTTATACAACTCTTAAAATACCTGCCATATTCTTCTCTTATATATGGTTATTTGCAGAGGTCCCTTATGTCATCCAATAGAGCACAGCAGAGGGTGAAGATGGGATTTCCCTTACCCTTTTTTTAAAGGATGAGGATGCAATTTCCTGTATCTTGTTTTTTCCTCCTCAACAGCAGCTAAACTATAATCTTGCTCAATATGCATGCTCAGTTGCTATTTCCTGAATTATCTTAAATTTTTTTAAAATGTTTATTTATTTTTGAGTGAGAGAGAGAGATACACAGCATGAGCAGGTGAGGGGCAAGAGAGAGAGAGAGAGGGAAACACAGAATCCAAAGCAGGTTCCAGGCCCTGAGCTGTCAGCACAGAGCCCGACACAGGGCTCAAATTCATGAACCACGAGATCATGACCTGAGCCAGAGTCAGACAATTAACTGACTGAGGCACCCAGGCGCCCCTTTCCTGAATTACATTTGTAAGCACAGTGCATCATACTGTGCCAGGTGCTCAGACATTAGAACAGGATGCAGTGTTTGCCCTCAAGGAATTGACAACCCAGTTATGGAGACAAGATTGCTTACGTAAAATTGCAATTGTTTATTCAGCTTTCAGCAAAAAACGGAGTATCTACTGGGTGCCAAATGTAATGCAAGGCAGTATATCGTGGTCAAAATTAGTAATGCAGACAGTAACTACTAACAAAGGCAGATTCTAGGTGTGTGTGGCTTATCCCCAATGCTTACTAAATCCCAACTTTTGGTTTGATGAAGCCACAGGCAATAGGCTTACCAGGCGATTCTGCATGCTCCAGGTGGCCTAGCTCAGGCTGTCTAGTGATTCTATAGATCAGTTCCTCAGGCTTACTCTCCTGGTCCATGGCAGAGAGCTGCAGAGTGGTGATCTTCTTCACTGAGTTCTCGTCCAAGCTCAGCCCTTTGTTGGCAGTGATGATTGGTGGGGAATTGTCTTCTGAAAATATAAGAAATAGTGATTTGAAAGGGGATCCTTTTGGCTTTCATTCTTCGGTCTGGGCCTGGGGCCCAGGAGTAAAATCAGCGAGTGCACCAAGGATCCGGAGCCTCACACAGCAGAGGGGACAGTATTCCAGATTCCCATGGGGGCCGGGTAAAGGAAAGGCTCCAGCCTCAAGGCAAGCACAGTGCAGACCATATAACCCCAGAGCTGGTGGAATGTTGTTAGAAACCCAATGCCCCCTTACCTAAAACACTGATGGAAAATGACTGGCCCATCAATGTGTTGCCTTCTCCATCGACCACATCAAATTTAAAAGCAAAGCTCCCACCAGATTCTCCTTTCCCATGACTGTATTCTACTTGGCCTGTAAAAAAGGACAAGAAAATAAAGATTCATCATTAGTGCTTTCTGCCCTTATTTCTGAAGTGTGAGGTGGGAATCTGATTGGTATTCACACCAGTGAATCAATTAACACCTTCCTCGCTTTGATATTGCTTTAGACATTTTAATCTAAAGTTTTCAATTCCTCCCTTTCCCCTCCCACTATTGACTTCCTCGTAATAAAAAACACTCTCATAATAAAATCATCCCAAGTAGCACTGCTTTATGGGTGAGGCTCAGCTTTTGTGAAAGACTCTAAGGAAGACTCATGAATAACCAGCTCAACAAAACTGCCCACATGGAAAATGTGCAGCAACAGCACCCACATCACTGGTTATAGGCTCATGTCATAGGGCAAGGGACATGGAGCTGCAGCCCATGTTCTCCTAGAGCTCGTCATTCCTATTTCCCAGTGCAGCTTTAAGTCATTTTTGAAACAACACTGGCTATAACCAACCAAAAAACTAACAAACTCTACATCAAAGTCAAAAGGTGTGAAAGGGAGAAGTGCAACATGTTACATTTTTGGTCAGCCACAGCCTCACTTCTAAGTACCTAGCATTGTATTTACAGCCAAACATCTGGGGAGAGGTGCCTGGCCTCATTTTTAAAAAAGAGACACTGAGGCAAGGGTTGATTAAGAAGTTACTATCCCTTTCTCTATTCCACCCCTTTTGGTAAAGTACAGACAGGTCCAGTGAGAATTCAGCTGCTACCCATTTTGAGTGTTAATGCATGGACAAAACCGTTATTTCTGCTCCTGAATGGAACTGCACATCATCATATGACTTTGAATTTGGATTACTTTTTCCCCCCATTATGTAACTTATTTCCTTTTTTTTCTTCTACCCTTGAAAGAAATGTACAGTAACTACGTAGCATTTAACATTTATGCTTTTACATTACATCAGCATTTCCTGGAGGAGGGATGAGCTATGTAATCTCCCCCAGGCAGCTCCGATTTATGCCCCTCCATTTTGCTTAGTTCATTAACTTGTGCTCTTTGGGGAGCTAAAAAGAGATATAAATTGTTCACCTAAGGCAGGCATAATTTTCACCTTAATCCATCCCAATTCACTTCTTTTTCCTTTCTCTCTCTCGCACACATTTTCCAGCATCATAGCAAGTCAAAGTGATTTTTTTCCCTCCATAATTGCCCCAAATTTCATCAATGCCATGTCAAAGCATGAACACATTTTAGCCAAGAAGGATAGTTTTTTTAAAACACAAAAAATTGAGGAGACAAGAAAGAATAAATGAAACTATAACTCAGCTTTTATTCCAAACAAAGAGTGCAGTTTGCTGCCATTAGCTACCAGGCATTGAATTCCCATTTTACTACTGTGGGTGGACCCTGCAGAAGTCTGGACAGGAGGAAGTAAGCTAGCTGACCTTGGCTAATGTCAGCCTGGGTGAAGCTCCGGATGGGGCCTTTAACGGAGATTTGCTCCTGGTTCTCATGCTTTACCATCTGCAGGCGCCCGGCACCAGGATCTTCCTTCATGATGTACATCACCTGACGGTCATCTGAATCAGTATCAGTCACTCTTAAGTGCTGTTCTGTGATGAGTGCTACAGACCCTGGGAGAGAATGGGAGAGAGTACGTCACTGCCCATCATTGCCTTTGAATACTACGTCAAGTGATTTGGGGAGGCTAGAGACTAAAGGATCACACGTTGCCTGGGCTTAACTAAGTACCGGGTGCTTGCTTGCCCTTCTTGGTCTCCAGATGCATACATTTTAATTTCCATAAGTGAAACAGTCCCAACCTCCCAGTTTGTTAATCATCACTCTCCCTACATTCTCTCTACTCCTGTGACCTACCAGTCACCCCTCCCTCTGTGTAGGAAATCCTAGATCTATGATGAAACCTCTTTGGGCCTAACTAGAATCTGAAGCAGGCTCTGCACTGTCAGTATGGAACCCGACGTGGGACTCAAACTCATGAACCATGAGATCATGACACGAGCCTTGAGCCAAAATCAAGAATCCAATGCTTAACTCACTAGCCATCCAGGTGCCCCAACTTATTTATTGTCTTTGGGAACAGCAAATCATAAGAGACAGCTTCACATAAGCTTACAAATATATCTTGTTGCCATCTCAGACCAAAGAGTTAAAATCAGTTCTGACCAGAATTTCAAAACAGGGAGACCTGAGTGCTGGGCCTTGTAAAGCCATGCAGGTATTGGGGGTGGAGGCAAGGCACTTGCCCTTTGCATTCCTGCCCAGCCATTTTCTCATATTAAAAATAGTAAATTCTGGTAAAGCAGATCTTAGTCATTGTTGCTTAATACATCCTGGTGTCTAGCTGGGCCCTGAGTATCCTGTGTGTTCTTGCTAGGTAATGCCAACAGTGCAAGGCCTAGCCATTCTTTCCCCAGGCCATTCTCAGCAAATGGCCCTGAGGGAGGAAGTGGTATCATCCTCTGGGACAGAGATCAGGCTTTCTTACTGTCACTATAACAGGGGGAGATGCCTATGCTCTGTGCTCCTTTTCTGTAATGCGTCCTGTTACATGAGAAAGCATCCATCTGGACCTTCTATGTCACCTCCACCAGACTTGGAGTAGAGAGAGATGATGCAAACTTGCTGATGGTAATGCTGCCTGTTGTGCTGTGAGTAGCAAAGTACTTTGTCTCTGACCCAGAAGCCTCAAGTCTTCTACAGCACTCATGAAACAGTAACTGGCTAACTCACTAGCTTATAAATAGGGTAAGATTAAATCTCACAATAATTGGGATCTTTGGGAATCCCCAAAGTTTCAAATACCATTATGCTATATGTGTTTTCACTACAAAATACATGTGGGGGCACCTGGGTGGCTCAGTTCGTTGAGAGCTCAACTTAGGCTCAGGTCATAATCTCATGGTTCATGAGCTCAAGCCCTACATCGGGCTCTCTGCTGTCATCAGAGAGCCTGCTTCAGATCCTCTGTCCCTGTCTCTCTGCCCCTCCCCCTCCCGCTCTCTCTCAAAATTAAATAAACATTAAATACATATGTGTGTGTGTGTGTGTGAGACACGAAGAGTAGCTAAACAAACAGGATTCCAGTGAGATGCAGATGTTCTGTGGGCCATGTGTCCCATTTTTCAATGCAGCTTATAGGTAGGCAAAATTGTGAATGTGAGACCCTAGGATACCATATCTAATGACTTTCTATTATTTTCATAATTTCTCTTGGCGTATATTGGTTTCCCAATTGCTGCCCATGCCTCCCCACCCACTATTTCTGGCCCTGTTCTAAGAAACCTGGTCCTATCAGTAGCTGGATAAATTAAGGTTTCTGAGGGTCTTGAAAGTACTATAAGCTCTTTCCAATCTTTTCTCAAATTCACAAACATAGGCATCTGGTCCAAAGAACTTAAGAGATTCACATCAGTCAATCACAACTCTTAGTATCCTTAAAAGGACAGCTCTCTCCACCTCCTGTCTCCCGGGGTTCTGAAGGCCTACTTCACTATCTTCCCACAGAACAAACATGCACACTGACAAGGAAGAAATAAGGACAGAGGGACCACAGCCGCTCTCTTCCTTTTTTTTTTTTCCTTACAAATAGTTTATTGTCAAGTTGGTTTCCATATAACACCCAGTGCTCATCCCCACAAGTGCCCCCCTCCATGCCCATCTCCCCCTTCCCCCCCCACATCCACAGCCACTCTCTTCCATTCCTGTGGTACCTGCTGAGAGCTGAAGGCCTCGGTTTACAGCCAAGTGGGGGGCGCTGCTTATGGGCAGCTCTATGTAGATCTCCATCCTCCCTGTGTCCATGTGGAGGCCATCCGTGAGGGAGAACCGGAACTCATCCACTGCCACACCAGGACCACCAGGCATGTATCCGACCAGTCCGTCCAGGACGTCTTGGTAGGTGAAGGAGGAGCCCTGAGCTAAAACCCTCCCATTCGCCAGAGGCTCAGAAATGCTTTCCCTCCAGAGCAGACGACCTGAAGAAGGAAGTAAAGAAAAACAATGAAAAAGTGGTGGAATATATATAGCGACAAAACTTGGCTTCATTTTGTCAACTAGCGTGAGCCTGGGTAAAATGTCCAGCACCTCAGAGGCTCTTGGTGTCCCACACACATAAATGACCATCAACTCAGAATTTTCTATATAAGCACAGGGTGCTGCCCATTGGTCTCATCTACAAATAAAGATGATAAAATCCTACTTTTCCTGTTTAAAAATCTCTGAAAGAGACACAATGGATGTGGTAATATAGTGGCTTAGGCGTCAAATCTCCTTCCATGAATTCAAACTCACTCCATTATCTAAACCTTATTTTCCCCTTCTACAAAGTGAAAATAGCACTTTTCACTTGCTGCCTTCCTTCTAGGGCATCTGGGATGGGAGAAGGGACTGTGTTTTAAATTCCTTTTAAATTCAGAAAGACACAAGACATCTTTGGGTGGAGGCATCTTTTTCTGTCTTCAAGGGTCAAGTGTATCACAATGGGACAGTTAAAGTGTTTCATTAAAGAAAGTGAAAGTGAAGGAAGGGACGATAAAATGCAATGACCAACAGCCTCTTCTGTTAACATTCCATCAACAGCAACAACTTCATCTTTAAAAGACCAAGGGTGGGGCGCCTGGGTGGCTTAGTCGGTTAAGCGTCGTCCGACTTTCGCTTAGGTCATGATCTCGCGGTTCGTGGGTTCGTGCCCCGCGTCGGGCTCTGTGCTGACTGCCAGCTCAGAGCCTGGAGCCTGTTTCAGTCTGTGACTCCCTCTCTCTCTGACCCTCCCCTGCTCACGCTGTCTCTCTCTCTCTCTCCTAGAAATAAATAAAAACCTTAAAAAAAAAATTAAAAAAAAATAAAAGACCAACGGTGCTATGATATACTAGGATACCACGTGGGAGATGAACGTTCCAGAGCTTTAGCTAGTACCAGAGGGATGGCACTTAGAAAACAAGTAGGTAAAAGATTCCCGGGGTGGTTTTTACCTCTGGTTTAATCAGGAAAAGTGCTTTCTTTGCAAAAGGAACAAGCTCATAAAGACATCTAGCATACTTCTAACCTGAAGTGCACACCTTGTGCAATTAATAACAAGGCTGCCACGCTGTTCCTTGCATGAGATGGCCCAGGATTATCACGCAATGAATCCTTATTCTGACAAGAGGACTCTAAACCCATTTTGCCTGAGGTTATATAGGCAAGTAAGAAAACAGCTGAAATTGAATTTCAGATATGCCAATTACCTAGGATTCAGGCTTTTAGAGCAACTGGTGTCTACTTTGACCTCAAAGAATATTGGCTAGCTGTGAATCTGATTATACTTTGATGCAGAGAATGGACTATGTACAGGTGAGGTGGAGGAATAATCAACAGAAATCTACGTGTTTATTCTAAAAAACCTATTGAGTATCTCAATTAAGAAGCTTGCCGTAGCAGTTGTGTCCTACCGTGGTCAGGCTTTTTTGTCAATACCAAAACCAGCTCATTATCCGGAGTGTCCAGGTCCTGCAGGCTCAGTGAAGAATTGCTTATCACCACTCCCGAACTTAGCTGCACACCAAGGGGCCGCAAGCTCATCCTGGGAGGCTCATCGTTCTTCCTCTGATTAAAGTATAAAATATCAGGTCCCACACACATATTGGTTTAAGGAGAAAGAAAATGTACCTTGTTCAGAGAAAGTAACATGGTCACACCAATTTTCACTATCGAAATAGCAGGTCGTGTGTCACCATCTTTAATTCCCAATCAAAATGGTTAGCAAACCACGTAAGCAAAATGTGGGAAAAGAAACTGACGTTCTACAGAAATCTTCTCAGATGTTTTCCACAGCCACAATGATCACTTTTTTCAGACCCAAAATATGGACATGTGGTTGGAGAAGTGCAAGCATTATTTGGGGGACAAAAGAGCACATTCTTTGAAATCAGAACTGTCTTAGAAAGCCCTCAAAATGTCACAGTACTGAAGGAGGACATCATATTTAGAAGTGTGAGTTTCTCAGGGTCTCCCTGACCCTGTGACAGACTCCCTTTATGATCCCTGAATGGTAGGGTTCTGAGGATATTTTCCTAAGCAGAGGGTATTCCATGCTGAGTTTTATCTTTTATCTTTCTCTCTCCCTGGGCTAGTAAAGCAAGCTATGTAATTGCTCAAACTAGAATAAATACAGCATCAAGGAACACATTTCTTTGATGTTACAATTTAACGAATAAATGCATTAAAAATATAAGGAAAGGCAAATATGTATATAGAACTACATACAACAATTTCAGGGAAAAAAGGCATATGTTAGTTTTTGTTTAAATAGGAGATTGTCAGGGTTTCTCTTGTATGACCCTCACAAACTGTTCTTACACAGAATGAATACATTTCACCCTGAAGTGAAAATTCAGATTTCCAAGTCAGACCATCCCCAAATGCCAGCCTTAATTCTACAAGTTTCCTAAAGGTCAGGATTGTATTTTTAAATTGACCTCTAAAACTGAAGGTCAAATGCAATCTTTTTTGCTTTTGAGTTCATATGGAGCTATCTAATCATGGGATATTGTCATCAAAGGCTCAACTTTTCTAACTTCAAAGTCTTTACCTCAATGGTGATATTGATGCTGTGGATTTCAGAACGCCTGTTTCCATCACTTACATAAAAACTAAAAATGTCATGGGTTGGCTCAATGCTTTCATGGACACTTTGAAAGTAGTAAATGTAGTTTTCCAGGACATCTTGAATAGGGAATGATGCCTCCAGGTCACTGGTAGTTCCAGGGCCAAAACGATCACCTGCATCAACATCAAGAAGGAACTTTTTACCTTGATCCCTCAATTCCTACTTCCTAGGCTGAACCAGAAAACATGACACTCTTATCAACAAAAGATGAAAATTCATTAGAGGATAAAAATGGAGAATGGAAAGGGCACAAGACTAGAAATATAAGACTTAGGGTTGGATCCCAGTTTCCCGACTATTTCTTGTCTACACATGGTTATACCTGCCCTGCAGTTTCCATGGGGAATCAAATGAGACTATATGCACAAATGCACTCAGAATGTTATTATTTTATATAGCAAGAATCAGGTTGTTTTGTTGGAAATCTGTGACAAAGTAAATCCTGGGGCAAGTAACGACACAACAGCAAAGGTTCTACCTTAAGCTTTAGTCAGTTTCAAAACCACTATGCCTAGCACATCCTGCAAGAGGAAGCCGCCTTCTCTATATAAAAAAAAGGTTAACTGTATACCTTTTTATCTAAGAAATATCTTGTTAAGCACGTTTTCATTTGACCTCGTTCCTTAAGGAAACCTCCCCATGGGTCAGAGCTTAGACCCTGGGATGGTACACTAGGGCTACTGAGATGCTTGGGAACTATTCAGAGCTTAGGTACCATTCAGGCCCTGAGATTCTCAAGTACCATTCAGAGCTTCAAAGATAGAGCAGGTTCTGGTTAACTCTTCTTTTCATACCGACCCCAACCAAACCCTGGAAAAGGCGAAAGGGGAAAGTAAGTACTGTCTCTATGATAGATGACTTGTCTCTTCTTTGGTCTGAGTCTCTGTAATTGATTGATTTTAAACTGTTACCACATTTTCTTCTAAAGAGAGGAGAAAAAGAAAAGAAATCCCTGTGTCTTCAAACATTCCCTGGATACATATCAACAAAGAAAAGTGTATATAGAAGATCTCAAAACAACAAAGCTTTCTTTTTCTCTCTTCCATGGCCCTTTGCAAAGAACAGGTCATAAATCAAAAGGCTACTGACTTCCTGAATTATATATAGTATCATTTTTTTTGTTAACCTCCCAACAGAAAGACTAGGAATGAAAACATTTTATTTGTAATTTGTTTGAAGAGCTCAGGACAATTGCTTCTTCAATGACACGAATTTTCTTAGACTTTACCCATCAGTTTAATTCTTCTTGACATCAGAACATAGCATAGAAGAGTCTCAGTGACCAGTGACCTGATCATCCCTAGGACATACAGTTCAGTGTTTCCAGAAGGAAGAGCTGTATGTAATTCCTTCAAATTTTTATTTTCCCTTTACATCGATGACTACAAATTTTAGAAATGTGGCTTCTTTATTTGGGTCAAAGAGCCTAAGCAAACTAAATGATGCCTAAATATATACATATATATGACTTTTTTTCTGTCATTGGAAAACATGCTGTTCAACTAGTGAATCTGCCACTGAAGCTTTCAGCACCAATCCTTCCACATTTTAAAATTGTATCATCTAGGGGCAATTGGCTGGCTCAGTTGGTAGAACATCTCATTCTTGATCTCAGGGTCATAGGTTTGAGTCCCACGCTGGGTGTGGAGCTTACGTTTAAAAAAATTTTTTTTAATTGCATCTTCTATTTTTTCATGTAAATCATTCTTATTTTGCTTCCTTGCCTTCTTGAGCAGACTATACTATGCACAAATTAAACAGTTCTCAATGCATGCAGGCTATCATTATGAACATCTATTACTACCTTGTACTGGAGCACAGTCTTGTGTGCCCTAGAGGCAATAAGGTGGGTCCTGTTCTGTCTAAATGAATGTAGAAACCATGCTGTTGGATTTTATACCTAACAATATAATTATTCTGTTTCTTCCTGTCTTGCTGGTAAGAAGTTAAAACTGTTTCTAATATTTTTAAAAAGGCATTAGGCTGATGTGCTGGATTCTGAATCTAGGGAGCTAGTTTCATATACATAAAACAGGCTCAGTTCTGAATACCCAAGGGGCAAAGGCTGGAGTCCTTAAATTGTCTTGGGATAACTATTTGCACCCCTCACCCCCAGGCCCCTGAACAACTTTTCCTTACTTCCAGGCTTATACTAATGTAGAGCAGTGATTCCTGGTGTGGTTCCTGGGTCAACAGCAGTGGCAACGCCTATGAGCCAGGGAGAAATGCAAATGCACAGGCCTCACCAGCCTCTGCAAATAGGAACTCTGGGCTTGCTGCCTGGGAAACTGTTTTCACGAGCCCTCCAGGTGAGTCTTACACTTACAGTAAGGGTTGAGAATCATTTTTTAGAGAGCGGAGGCTTGCCAGAAATTTGACTTCTAGATCAGTGACATACTCCTCTGCATGCATTCCAGGTTAACGTAAAACCGTGCTAGGTAGGCTTAATAAGAAACCACCCAGAGAGAAGAGAAGTGCAAAGGGGCAACTACCACTCATGATTTCCCACCTTTGCCCACGCTCTTCCCTCTGCCCACAGTGAGACTTCCAGGAACCCTTCAAGTTCTAGTGCAAATGTCACTTCCTCAGCCTTTCCTGCCGTCTCAGGCAAAATTAATTGTTTTGCCCTATGTATGTTCTCAGGGTTTGCCCCTCTCCCTGCCCAGCATTTTGTTTATTGTAACTTATCAGTCTTCATATCTGTCTCCCACTCAAGGTAGGGGCTGTGGCTCACTCATCTTCACATCCTTGGTATCCAACATAAATATTTGTTGAGATAAATCAAATTCAGTGATAAACAAATCTAGGTGCACACAATGAAAGGCAAGATGGGGAAAGGACCTGAGATTTTCTACAGGAAAACATGGCCACCGCTAAACAGATTTCTTGTAACCAGGCTCAGATCCCAGGCACCACGCTGGCCACAGACACCTTCAGTGAAAGGCCTCTCCGTGGGAGCTGCTAGCTGCACACCAATTAGAGCCAAGCGCTGGCACTCAGGAATCTCATTGCAGAGGGAGCAACACAGTAACCTGCCAGGAGCTGTCTCAACTGCCAGTCACCTCGGTCTCAGAGGGCCCATGGACAGCACACGCCTGCTTGCCTCTCCTTCCCTGTGATAACCATCAAGGGCAGTGGGTCCAGGGCAGATGGTGAAGGGGGAAGGGATGTTGAGGAGAGGGTCACAGATAGACAAGCATGCATTTCAATTCATGTCATATCCTTAGAAGGAGCTGAGACATAAGCTATGGTTCAGCTAAACTGCAGCCACCTCACAATGAACAGACAGGACTTTTTATATCCTTGACACTCAGTTCTGAGTGCAATCCATAAGCCTCTCCATCCCCATTGCTCACATTCCAGATCTTCTACCCTGCTCTAGTTTTTTTCTCAGAGCACTGACATACCTCCTAACATCTTACACAATCTTCTCATTTGTTAGGCTTCTTATCTGTCTCCCCCCGACCAGGATCTGAGGCAACGTGAAGGCAGGGGTTTCTACCTGTTTTGTTTACTGATATACCTTGAGTGCTTAAAAAGTGCCTGGCACATAGGAAGTGCTCAGTAAATTTTTGTAAGAATGAAAGCTTCCTTCCTCCCATTTCCTAGTCATGGATCCATTCCTCCATTCGTCCTCCACCTCCAAGTTTCACTGAAGGCAGTTACCTCCCATCATCACTCTCCCTTTCCAGGTCCAGAACAATTCTACAGCCAAGCTACTGTTGGTACCTGTTCCAGTGTTCTCAATGCAGCCATATTTGGGCAGAGCACTTAGTTTAATGACGGCATCTCCCTGGAGGTTATCCTGATCGTCAGCAGCAAAGAAATGGTGAAATGAGAGTGGGGCTCTCCCTCCCTCGTCCACCTAAGAAAAGAAAAGATTGTACAGTCCTTGGGCGGTTGCACAGAACTGCAGTAAAAAGAACTGAATTGAAAAGTGCTGCCTGGGGTGACCTTCCAGCACCAATTCCACTTCTTTGAGGAGGCAGATTCTCTACAGACGAGATGAAGAATGTGCATGCTGCTGGAGCCAGGCAATCTTTCAGCGCCTCTCAAACCTACACTCAGACACTATGACTTCTGTGTCTCCCTTCAAAGTTGTGCTTCCTTCAGTGATGGATCTGGGTATAAAGCAGCTCTGGCCCATTCCAATCACCCACCTCAGTACAGCTGCACAGCAAGACGGCCGCCTTTCTTCCCTATCAACATTCAAAAGCCTGCAGCTAGAGAATGATCCATCCTGTTTTCCCTCAGATACTGTGAAGGTGATCATCCCACAGGTGCTCCCACCCAGAATAAAAGTCCCACTTATCCCCTCACAGGATATGATGATAGGTGTGCAGGAAGAAAGGCCTCGACATACTTGAAACCTAGGGCTTATCTTAATGTTAAAGAGGAAAATAAATCAGTATAAGTAAAAGCAGTTGCTTGGACTAACTTTTTCCTTTAGGGCCCTTTCCTTTAGTATGTTAACTCTGCAACCTGTCTCCGGTGTTTTTTGCTAGCCTGCCAGACATGACCAAGCCATTTCACTCTGAACAATTCTTGGCCTAATGTAGGGAGATCTACACAGTACAAAGTAGAAGGCCACCTGGACTCTGGGAATGGAGAAGGTCCAAATGGGTTCCCCCAGGTATGGAATATCAAGACCACTTAGAAACAACTCAGTTTTATGAATATCATTTGCCTGACAAAACCATAAAATCTCCTGCATTTTTGGCATTATGGTACATACATAGAGCAGGCCAAGGAAACAGAATTAACTCTTATGGAATCCCTACCATGTGTTGTTATGCACTGAGAGCTTTTATATGCTATTCTGTTAACCATCAGAGCAATCCTCTATATAACAGGAGTTATAAAGATGAGGAAATGGAAGCTAAGAAATATATAATTAATTAGACCAGGCTCACTCAGCTAGTAACAGAACGAGCACTTGAACTCAGATCTGGCTGATCTCATGATTAGGATATATATTATATAGCCTCTATCCTCCCTCCCTCAAGGAACTGTAAATAATATTTACAATGATTAGTATTGACCTAAGAAGTGACTTATGTCCATATCCCCATATCTTAGTTCTTACAAACATTAGATGTTTAACTCCTAAGGGATATTTACATTTGTAATTTCACTCTCACTACTAAACACAGCTAGCATAGTATACAAAATATTACACATGTCTAGCACATAAATATTTTGACTAAATAATATAAATATAATTATTTGATCTTCTACATATATTTTTTTCATACTTTTTGAAAAAAATCTCATGATTAAAAACTACACACATCTTGACAGTATTGGCTAAATACTTTGGGGAAAGAACTTGGCAGCCAATTCAGGCAGAAGTCCTGTATTTACATCAGCACAGATTCCAACTCTCTACGGCACTCACTGTTCATTGATCTGAGAATTGTTTACCGTGATAAGGTCAGCGAAAGCAATGACTGGAGGTGGATTCTCAACAGGAGTGATAGTGATGGTAAACATCTGATTGTCTAGATGGTTGTGGTCCATATCAGAGACAGAGAAATGGAAGCTATCAGTAACCAGATTACCATCGGTCTCATACACAGCTGAGTACCTACAGAGGTAAGGACAAGAATCAAATGTATGAGCTACATGACAAGCCAGGTAAGATGACTGCAGCTTTGTTTAAAAATGGAACAATAGAGGGGCGCCTGGTGGCTCAGTCAGTTAAGTATCTGACTTCAGCTCAGGTCACGATCTCACAGTCGGTGAGTTTGAGCCCTCCATCAGGCCCTGTGCTGACAGCTCAGAGCCTGGAGTCTGCTTCAGATTCTGTGTCTCCCTCTCTCTCTGCTCCTCCTCCCCTCTCAAAAATAAATAAACATTAAAAAAATGGAGCAGTATAATCTTTCAAAAAAGCTACAGGTTAGTTGCTTAAATGTTTTAATACAATTTTGAAAAATTCTGTCAAGTAATACAAAGTGGTGATATACCTAATTTTCTTGTTGTTGATGTCTTCCATTGTGAAGTTGGAAATCTCCGAGAGCTCTTCCACTTCAGGTCCTGACATTTTTAAGAGAGCACCATACATGGGCAGAGAACTTAACTGAATCCAGATCTCTGGGTCAGGGGAAGAATCATCCTAATTGGGCAAATATGAGGCAAGACATGAACACACATTTGTAGGAATTAATACCTCCAGTAGTTAAAAATCACATGTGCTTCTTTCTCTGACAATTGAAAAATCTCCTTCCCTTAGTGATAAAGCAACACCATTTCAAAGTGCATGAAAATCCTAGTATTTATTCCTCGTAAAATGCCTCTTTGATAATGTCTTCTTTCTAGAGTAGTTCATGATAATAATGGGGAAATGCACTTTAGGTATGGTGCATAAACAAAGAGATGCCCCATTGTTACTATAAGGGCCATTTGGCCCTTATACAAGCATCTAGTGAAGAACAAAACATGGTCAGAGATAGAAAGTCATCTCTCCAAAAACATGGTTGTAGGCTTCTTTTAAGAGTGTCAAAGAACAATTTGCTTTTTTAGAAAAAGGTAAAATTCTATTATAACATATAATACAATGATAAGATAATTCTGTGAAACAGAAAGAAGGGAACTTATTTAGCTTACCCAATGACTCACTTTAAGTAATATGTGACATGGTAAAAATTTTAGTTTAACAGAAAAATTTAGGAAATCTTACAGATTTCATTCCACCAGGACAGAATATACAGATGCTCAAGACCTAAGATGACCAATCTTAACAAAGACAATTTCCGTTTCCTTCTGCATTGCTTACCAAGAAATAAAATTGGCTTTCTGTGTTTCTAAGTGGACACTAGTTGTATATCTCAATGAACAATTTCCTCTTTCTTCAAGAATATTGTGGAAATATCTAAGAGGCAGGTAACATTTTCTTGGAGAGTTTCCCTGAGTCATTCATCTTTTAGAGCAGTTGGCTGTGAACATGGGGGCACTCTGCACTTTACCACAGCAACAAAGAAAATATATATTGCATGGCCAAGTGTACTTTGAAATGCAAATTTCCGTGTCTGTGTTGTATAGTTATTTGAAGTATGGATCAGGAATGTGCTCAGGATATAAACTATTTGTAAAAAAAAAAAAAACAAAAAACAAAAACCATGTACCCCAATGTTCATAGCAGCACTCTCCACAATAGCTAAAACATGGAAAGAGCCTAAGTGTCCATCAACAGATGAATGGATCAAGAAGATGTGGTTTATCTATACCATGGAATACTACATGGCAATGAGAAACAATGAAATCTGGCCATGTGTAGCAACATGGATGGACCTTGAGGGTGTTATGCTGAGCGAAATAAGTCAGGCAGAGAAGGACAAATATCATATGTTTGCACGTATAGGAGGATTAGGAGGAACTTGACGGAGGAACAAGGGGGAGAAGAAGGGCGGAAATGGTGGGGGAAAGGGAGAGAGGCAAACCATGAGAGACTCTTGAATGCTGACAAAAACTGAGGACTGATGGATGTGGGGGGGAGGAGGGGATGGGCATGGAGGAGGACACTTGTGGGGATGAGCACTGAGTGTTATGTGGAAACTAATTTGACAATAAACTATTTGTAAAAATAAATAAATAAATAAATAAATTAATTAAAAAAAAAAAAAAAAAAAGGAATGTGCTCAGGATATCTGGTGATCTGTGGCAGTGGGTTTTAGTCAGTTCTTATTTCCGCCCCTAGGGGCCTTTTTAAGTTGATAGGTCAGAGCCTCAATGCAAGGTCACAGAATTTTCCCTATTTCCTTACATCATCTGATACCAGTAAGGAAGGAAATTCAAAGTCATCGAAGCTACAAACCTTCAAAAAATTTCCCCTAAATTTATACTTCAAAAGTTTCTCTATTTTTCCACATGGGTTATCAAATACAACATGCAGACTTCTAAAAGACTGCCTCCTAATATTACTATGGGTGCCCTCTGAGAGAGAATTTTTAAAAGCTAAGAGTTCCAAGGTACTGTCTGCAGAGATGGTGATAAACTACAAGGACAGAGCTCTTGGCTCTTGATTAGAATGAATAGCTTCGAAATTCCACATTGGCAAATTTGGCAAAGAAATGCTTATTTCATGTCAGGCACATTAATTTTAATGTTTCAAATCTCAAACGACTGGTGAGTTTGAAAAAGTGTGAAATCAGCTAGATTTTTTTCTTCTGAAAACGCTATCACAATTTAAGAAAATAATTATTATTTGTAATAATTAAGGAAAAGGACTACTTTGGTCTAAGATCGCAGATGCAAAAAAAATTCATAAGAACGTAGACTTTATTCTCACATAATTTTCCTACATTCCTACTCCTTTTGTTTTAGTTCATTTCTCATTTTGTTTTTGCCATCTTTACATCAATTGACCCACCAGCCAACACAAGGACTCGGACACTGCTAATTAACATTCATGTATGTGTTCTTTCTTTGTCCTGTCCTGACGTTACCATCACCCTGGATCTTGCTTCTCATTTTCTCAAATTTCTTGATATGATTTGACATATTACTAAAAATATTTTTAGTTGTGTTTTAAGAACTTATGAAAAGACTTTCCCCTTGTGAGACTTACTTCTTACTCAGTAGTGGACTGCGGAGACCCCTCAATATTGTTGCATGCAGCAATGGCTAATCTGTTTCAAGTGTTGTCTAATATTCCATGGAGTAAGTATACCACAGGTTATATTATCCTGTTGATGGGCATTTGTCTTGTTTCAATATTTTTGCTATTACAAATAGTTTAACTATGAATATTCTTGGACATATCCTTTGGTGTACATGTGAAAGTTTCTCTTAGATAGGAATCTAGGAGTGGAATGGCTAGTCTATATGACCACTCATCCTCACAAGACTATGCCAAATTCTGTCCCAAAGTGGCTTGTTCAAGTTTACTTTTCCATCAGCAAAGAAACTTCTATAGGTCCATTCCCTCTACAACATTTTAAATTTTAATTTTTTTCCAGTTGAATTGGTATGATATAGTACATAGTCTTTTTGGCTTTCCTTGATGCATAAAAAAGAAATGATGTCTTTTTATATTTATTGGCCCTATGGGTTCCTCTTCTGGAATTCCTATTAATGTCTCTTGTTCATTCTTATCTGGGTTATCTTTTTCTTCGATCTGTAGACATTTGTTATATTTTCTTTGTTATTTTTGGTTATATGGATTGCAAGTATCTTCTTCCAATTTGTAACTTACTTGTTTTGCATATTTCTGGTGTGTTTAGGGGAATATACATTCAATTTTAACATAGTCAAATTTATCAATCTTTTCTTTACAGTTAGGACTTTTTGTTTCTAGTTTAAAAATTCTTCCCTTTCCCAAGATCTAAAAATATTTACCTATATCCTACAAAGAATTGTAAAATTTTAGTGCTTAATTTGCTTGAAGTTACTAATTTCTGTGTACAGGTGAGGGAGCACAACAAGTTCTTTTTTTATCCATAGGAATAACCATTTTGTGCAGCTCTATATTTTAAATAGATACTCCTGTTTCCACTGATGGCTTACTATATCTGTTTTATGTTACAGTCTCATGTGTAGCTCTGTTTCTGGACTCGTTAGTATATTCCTGTGCTATACTGCTTTTAAATACTGCAGGTTCATCATAAATCCTGATATTTGATAGGGCAAGCCCCTGCCCTCCTATCATTCTTTTTCAGAATTTTAGTCCTTCATTCTTTATTATAGAATCAGCTTATCAAGATCCATAAAAGTCCACTGGGCTTTTGACTGGAACTCAATTGAAAGGCAGGAGCACTTTGCAGGAGAATTGCTACCTTTTCGATACTAAATGTTCAGATTCATGAATATGGCATGTCCCATCATTTATTGTTTTTAAAAAATGTTTGCCAATTAAATTGTTATAATTTTCTCTGTAGAAGTACTGTCTAGTTTTTGTTAGATTTAGTCCAAAAGACATAATTTTAAAATGCTGTTATAAGTGGTATCATTTTTGTAGTTACAGTTACTGGCTATTTTTTGCTTATGTATAGCAATGCTATTGCTTTGTTGACCTTCTCTTTGACCCCAGGGTAAATTCTCCTTTCATTTCTAATACTTTGTCAAGAGATTCTTTTGGATTTTCTTTTAGTTGAGCATACTATCAATTTTCCCTAGAAATTACACATCTTTTTGTTATACGTATTCCTAGATATGTGTTATGTGATGTTATTATAGGTGGCATCCTATTTTTAATGATTATATTTTTGGATGGTGCCTAGAAATGCTATTGGCTTTTTAAAATTAATCTTATATCAACCCGCCCACATTACAGATGAGAAAACTGAGCCCTAGAAAGCTAAGTAACTTGCCAAGGGTGACTATGCTAGTAAGTGGTAAGACTGGATTAAAACTCATCTGTTGTAACTACAAAACACCCCTTCACTACTTGTTTACATCAGTGTGTAGCAAACTGTACAGGAAACTGCTATTAAGAAGCAAATGACACAGAATCCCATTTCTGCCTTTGTGTCTCTTGACATCATGTTACCCTTTTGCCATTAATGATACTCTAATTATGAAGAGGCTCACCTGCTCCTATCTTTTTATATTCTGCTCCATTTATGACCAGAATTTCAGATGGCTTTTCTAACCTTTCTGGATGTTCACTGCAAACTCACTAACTATGCATATCTGGAAAAATTTTCCCCCATGACACGAAGCACAAAATTCTTCTATAACCCTCAGAGAAAAAGTTAGTATATAACTTAGCTAAGTCTTTAAAATATGCTATACTTTCAGCAGGGTAGAATAGTCCTTTTGGAGTCTTTCTGCTCTAGTGGGTAAATTCACATTCAATCAATTTCTGAAAATACATGTTCAGTTACCAATGGGCTTGCGTTTTGATATGCAGCTTATAATATGCAGTTAATGGGCAGGAACTGCTCCTGGAGAACTATTTTGGCCTGTCAAACATTTTTCAAGCCTTGGTGATCTATTGATTAAATCTGTATTCATACATTTTTATGAATTCATGAGTTTCATAAGATTCAAAAGACCATAACCTATGGGAAAAATCACCTGTCAATTAAAAAAAAAGCAGAACCAAAGCTGTTCTGAAGCTCTACTGGACCCATGAGAAGAATCAGGCTGGAATGCAGTTTCCCATAATTTAAGAAAAGACAATTGCAGGGGAAAATCTGTGCTAAAGCAATTGAAGTAATTGTTCCCGGGCCAATGCTTTATCTTACATGCTACTATTCATGTAAGATAGTCTAGATTTTATAGCTAGAGTCTTTAGCCCAAAAAAGGATTACTTAAAACTATTAGTATTTTTTTAAAAAGCAGTAGGGGGCAGGTCATTGGTTGGAATTTTAACACTGGTAAGGAAAAATTCAATACTAAGAATGATTACCATCCTTATTTTCAAGGTATCTGCCCAAACTATTCATTATGTTTACGTAGAGAATTCATGTATGTTTACAACACACATAACTGAAAAATAAAATTAATTATCCTCATTATCCTTAGCTCTAGAGGTAGAATCAAAGGAAGAAGAGGAGTTTAATTACCCAGGATCTCTTAGCAAGTTAGTGCCAGATGGGGGAAAAATTCAGAGTCCCTAAATCTACCTGTGATCCCCTAAATGCCCTGCTTCCCTTAGGGCATGGGATAGGCGATGAGTCAGTAATCTTGCCTAGGAAATCTGGCAGAGAAGCACTGCCAAAGGGGTGTGCCAGCATTCTGTCTAGATCTGGCCCTGAGACAAAAGCTGGTGAAAAGTGGGCTTCCTGTCAGTGGGCTATGAAATATCATTACCTATTAGTCATTAATCAGGCAAGTTCTTCTAAAATGCTCTTTCCTGAAAATCCCCTCAAAATATTATGGATGGAGCTTTTAAAAAAATGGGGACTTGGGATTTTCTGACACTGGCACTATTCCTTGTTGACGGTCACCCATCCCTACAAAATCTCATCATGTTTTCATCAGTTTTGCTAATTCCTTTGCTCATGAGACACTAGAAGCATCCAGAGTGAGCACTGTAACTCCTCCTATAAGTAGAACTATTGGGAAGTTGAGAAAAACTTCCTTATCTGGCCATATACCTGATGCTCCAAATAGCCATAGTCTTACTTTCTAGTCAGGCCCAGGGAGGGGGCGCAGTGAACAAGACAGAGGCAAAAACTTACAACATAAGCAAGGTGTGACCTGGTGATTACGGCCGTGCTTTTACTAGCAACAGTAATGCTCAGAGAGGCTCCGGCAGCCAGCTGAGGGCCTGGGTCCTCTGACAGTGACACCTCCACTCTCACTTCCACGGTTGTTGCCGAGGTGCCATCTGTGACTGAGATCCCTATACTGTCTTCCCGAGCAGAGGAGCCATCGTGCAGATACTGAAGAGCATTTTTCTCAATGTCCTCATATGTGAACGTGTCACCTTTTGAGAATAAAACAAAGTGCAAAACCAATTACTTCTGGGAATAACGCTTTTCATGTATATAACACCTTTGTTCTCAGAATTTCAAAGTACATATAGGATCACACACTCTGGGAGTTGTAAGTTAATTAGTCCAACCACCTACCCAATATAGGATTCCCTTTACACAACTCTTGAAAAGGGGTTATTTAGCCTGCCTTTCAATACTTCTCAAGGTGGGAGGCTCACTCTTTTATAAGGTAGCTAATTCTACTGGAGAAGGCTCTAATTTTTTAAAGTTCTTGATCATATTGAGCCCAAATCTGTTTCTGTAAGATCCAGGCCTCATTCTTTTTTTTTTAGCATTTTTTTCTATTCTTTTTTTTTTTTTTTTTTTTTTTTACAAATAGTTTATTGTCAAATTGGTTTCCATATAACACCCAGTGCTCATCCCCAAAAATGCCCTCCTCCATGCCCATCTGCCCCCTCTCGCCCCCACATCCATCAGTCCTCAGTTTGTTCTCAGCATTCAAGAGTCTCTCATGGTTTGCCTCTCTCCCTTTCACCCACCATTTCCCCACTTCTTCTCCCCCATGGTCCTCAGTTAAGTTCCTCCTAATACTCCTATACGTGCAAACATATGATATTTGTCCTTCTCTGCCTGACTTATTTCGCTCAGCATAACACCCTCAAGGTCCATCCATGTTGCTACACATGGGATCCAGGCCTCATTCTTAGTTCTAGTGAATTAAAGGCCAAGCCTCTATTCTTTATGATAACCCTTCTAGAATCTAATATTGACACTTTCTTTTGAGAAAGGTATGAAAATAAATCTTGCTTGATGAATCTGTAGAGGTCTTTATTTTAGTTGGGAGTAAAAAGTTTTTCTGAAATAAAAATATCTAAAAATTGAAAAACAGGGGCGCCTGGGTGGCTTAGTCGGTTAAGCGTCCGACTTTCGCTTAGGTCATGATCTCGCGGTTCGTGGATTCGAGCCCCGCGTCGGGCTCTGTGCTGACTGCCAGCTCAGAGCCTGGAGCCTGTTTCAGTCTGTGACTCCCTCTCTCTCTGACCCTCCCCTGCTCACACTCTCTTTCTATCTCTCCTAGAAATAAAAAAAATTAAAAAATTAAAAAAAAAATTGAAAAACATACTTAAAGTTAGAAATCCAAACTTTCTAAGTCTAGAGCACTAATTTGTGATCGATTTTATAGGCATTGTGTGAAGTAAGTTTCAAGGTCATATAACTTTGGGGAAGATAGGTTTAAACAAAATTTAAAACTAAAAATTTTTGAACTGCAGGATTTATTAGAATTTTAGAATGCTTGATATATAAATATTAAAGCACTTCAAAACTGTTTGGTCATGGAATCCTTTCTATGAGAAATGCCTCTTAGTGCCATGGATTCCAAGGATTCCAGAGAGTACACCTGAGGAACTGGTTTTCTAGGATGTTATATGAAATTCTATTTCCTGATAGATTATTGGCTTTAATAATTGGTATTATGAAAAAGACTAAAGAACTTATTCATTCTCTGTATTTGTCTTCCAAGCCTTCTCTTTTAACATTGTGTTATTGTGACTTCCTGGTGCTAAGGTATTGTGCCTTAAAAAACATTAAAACTAATATTTTATATATATCTTTAGATCTTATATATTAATTGCACAAATATAAGTTAAATGCAATCTTATAGAAACTGGGCTCTGACTGTTAATGTTCCTAAAGTAGTTCCCTTAGGATACTAGAAATTTATTCTGATGACATTTCTTGTGTTCAGTAAATTTTTAAAAATCTGCCTTTGTGACTCTCAAATGCCTATTGGTTGTTCTTCAAATTCTATTTACCTTCAAGGTCAGAGACTTGCCCCCCTCTGCCTGCAGGGATATTTCAAAGAATGCATGATTGCATGCCTATTAGGAATTACATAAAGCTTTTGAGAAAGTACAGATTGTTGAAATAAGCATATAGCATCTCAAAGTGATTACTTTGAAAGGGATAATATTCACCTTGGTATATATGGGCTGACTATTAAAAATTAGATTTAGTTGTGTTCCTTGTGCTTTTTTATGCTTTCTAAACAATCAATATGTCTTATTTTTTAATATATAATTGGAGAGAATGTAAGAAATATTATTTTGGAAAGCTGGTCACATTACCTACCATAGTGTTACATCACAAAGACAATACTCAAAAAATGTGTTTCCTTTTCTAAGGATGAGGATACATCTAGTTTATACTATCAGAGTTTCAGTTCTAAAAATATTGTGAAGATTAATATTCCAGACTAAGGAAGACAAATTCATCTCCATGAACAAACCATAGGAAAGTGGCAGCTGACACTTCCTATGAGGTTGTTCTAAATGTATTTACTCCAGGTAAAACGACCAGTTCAACTCATTTCACCAACAACTTGAGGAAAGAGAATCATAGTTTGGGGTATGGGTGGTGGCACAGAGAAAGAAGTCCCAAATATTTCAGCCAATGGGCTAAATGCTAAAAGTTTTTCCTTTTTAAGTGTCTCCTCATAATTTGTCCCACAGAGTTGCTTTCCTTCTTGTCTGAGACACATAAAACTGATTGTAGAGCAAGAAATTCTCCAAGCAGTCAATGACAGAGTGAGCATCTACCTGTGGCCATGGGCCCCTGGAACTCGGCTGTGTACTTAAGGAGCATGCCATGCTCTGGAGGTTTCTGGAGCTCAAAGAAGAATTCTTCAGGTGCTATCTCAGTATCTCTTACTACTAGCTGAAGTCCTGCAGTCAGGAGACAAATCGATGTGAGAAGATGTGTACATTAAAAAACTTGTATGCCCTGGGGTGCCTGGGTGGCTCAGTGGGTTATGTGTCTGGCTTCAGTTCAGGTCATGATCTCACAGCTCATGGGTTCAAGCCTTGTGTCAGGCTCTGCGCTGACAGCTCAGAGCTTGGAGCCTGCTTCAAATTCTGTGTCTGCCTCTCTCTGTCCCTCCTTCCTTCCCTCTCTCTCTCTATTTCTCTCTATCTCTCTTCATCTATCTTCCTCTTTCTCTCTCTCAAAAATAAATAAACATTACAAAATTTTTTTTAACTGTATGTCTTGCATGCATTAAAGCCACAGGGCAGGCTGGAAGCTATGTTGTGGGCAATCTGATGGTGATCAGAAGGCACTGTTAACTCCAATTAACGACAAAAGAGTAAAAATTGATAATACAGTCAATTTCCAAATTACAAGCAGTTAACTTACTTTTAAAAGTTAATTTATAAGTAGGTAGTTCTCAATTAAGAACACCTTTCATCTTCCATACAAATGAGGGTATGGAAACCTACATATAGTTCAGTCCTTACCCTCAGGGGTAGGTTTTCTTCTAGAAAATGTTCCTAGAAACTTATTTTGCCTTTCATTATTTATTCCCTTCTTTTTCTGAATCTACACAAGAAAAAATTGTTTTAACATCAGCTGCTATGTCCATGACAGAAGTGAGAAAGAATAGGGTAGAAGTGACAGTCGGCTTGTTTAGAAATTGGATGATAATTAATTTAAGGCCAATACTCATGGGTAGAAAGTGGATAAGGATCTGCAGAGCACAGCTAACAAAACCACAACATCCATTGTTTGCTTTTAAAACATACTTGGTGAAAGAATAAAGAAACTCCTAAAGAGTAAGCACACTAATAGATAAATAAAATCACATACAAAATAATGGGGCCAACTCCTCACAACTTCTTAAGGTTATTGTGATCTGTCTTCTCTCCCATTACTCTTTACTTTCTACACAGAAAACAGGAGGAGTCACTGAAATTGCTCCCCCCTTCTCTCCTCTCTGCTCTCCTTTGTTAACTTTATATTTTAGTGATGGCAACAGATCAAATTCCTGGAGAGTAGAAAATGAAGTCTGTGTTCTATTTCATCACTGAACACTGACCTCTGAAGGGTTTATTTCCTTCTCTCTGTGTTGTTTCTATTTGCATGGAAATGGGCAGAAGGAAGGAAACAGGTGAGAATGCATCACCTTCTGGAAGAGGAGGTCACTACTTTTTTGCAACCATCAAGAGGTTTAAACAGGGACTGTGGCTGAAGTATCATTCTATTCCCAAAGGCATGTTTGTTTCAGGCTTGGTTCTCACCTACGGAAGTGCTGCCTCCTGGGCTGACCTCAAGCAGTGGAGCTGTGACCTGGAACACAGGCGGGTGCCGATCAGTGGGAAGCAAGTGAATGGTGAGGACCATCTCTGGACTTGTGTGAGCTCCATCTGAAACTAGAAAGGACAGACACACACACACACATACACACACATCAACCTGTAGTCTGGTCACCATCAGGCTGCTTCCACAAATATGTAGCCAGAAGCTTTTTTAGATTACCCTAACACCTTAAAGAGATGCTTACAAATGGAAAAAGTAAGCAAGCAAGTAAGATACTGTAAGCTATTCTAACAAAGTTTTTTCTACTGGATGATGAAAAGGCTAAAGGACCATAATAACAAAGTCATTCTAAGAAGGTAGTTTCACAACAAGATGATATTGATACATACTAGGGGAAAAGAAAGTAATACAAAATCTGTATCATCTAAGGATGATACTGGTAAAGACTTTTATTTATGGAATTATTTTTTGATTCAATCTCCTGTTTTAGAAAAATATTTTCTTTCAAGAGATCTCATTTAGAAAAGACATGCCTATGTCTCCTTCCTTAGAAAAGAACTTTTTGAAAAAGACAGAAAATACCCACATAAGTATCCCTAATGGCATCAGTCTGGAAGCAACCAGACCTATTTTTTTTTTTTTTTTTACCTGATCATTATATACAATGCAGTAAATGGAAGATACTTTTGTGAACAGAACAACAACTTTAAGATTTTATTCCCTTGGGTTATCTGATATCCAAGTGAACACTGATCACATGAGGAACATGAAGGCAGAGGTGCCTGGCCCTTGACTCCTCTTTCTACTTTCCCATACCTTAAAACAGCCTCATGGGGCACCTGGTAGCTCAGTCAGTTGAGCGTTTGAGTTCAGCTCAGGTTAAGATCTTATGATTTGTAAGTTTGAGCCTCACATCGGGCTCTCTGCTGTCACTGAAGAAACTGCTTTGGATTCTCTGTCTCCCTCTGTCTCTGTCCCTCCTCTCAAAATAAATAAACATTAAAAAATAAATTAAGAAACACCCTCTCTTCTCTAAAAGTCAAGTCTGGAAGAATATCTATACTATCAGTTCACCAATATATTCATCTGTAGTGGCTACTAAACAAACTGCACTATTAATTATTATAAATGTGTAATATGCTTGCATATTTCTTCTTTCCTTTCTTCTGGACTTAGTAACAAATCAGTAGGAATCTGACATCTACTTAAGCAAAGTAAAGCATTGCTCAAAGCCTCCTAGTAATGATCCCATTTGGGTTTTAGAAATGACCTTGGGTGATGCCTCTTTAAATACAACACAAAACACATGATCTGTGAAAGAAATCATTGATAAGCTGGACTTCATTAAAATTAAAACCTTCTGCTCTGTGAACAATTTCAAGTGTAGGAAAGGACAAGACACAAACTGGAAGAAAAAATTTGCAAAAGACCCATCTGATAAAGGGTTGTTATTCAAAATGTACAAAGAACTCCTAAAACTCAACAATAAGAAAATGAACAGCTCAATTAAAAAATGGGCCAAAGACCTTAACAGACACCTCACCAAAGAAGATATACAGATGGCAAATCAACACATGAAAGAATGCTCTTCAGCATGTCTGCAGAGACATGCAAATTAAAACAATAATAAGATGTCATTACATACCAATTAAAACGGCCAAAATCTGGAACATTGGCATACCAAATGCTGGTGAAGATGTGGGGCAAAAGGAACTCTTATACATTGCTGGTGGGAATGCAAAATAGTACAGCCATTTTGGAACAGCTTGGCTTTTTTTTTTTTTTAAACAAAACTAACTATACATTTATCATATGATAAAACAATTGCACTCTTTGGTATTTACCCAAAGCAGTTGGAAACTTAGGTGCACACAAAGTCTGTTCCCAGATATTAATCTACAATTGCTAAAACTTGGAAGCAACCAAAATGTCCTTTAGTAGATGAATGGATAAATAACCTGTGGTACCTCTAGACAATGGAATGTTATTCAGCACCAAAAAGAAATGAGCTACTAGACCATGCAAAGGCATGGAGGAATCTTAAATTCATTTTGCTAAGTAACATAAGCCAATCTGAATACATCACATATATGATTCTCACTGTATGACATTCGAGAAAAGACAGAACTATGGAAGACAATGAAAAGAACAGTGATTGCTAAAGGAGGGAAGTGGGGATGGGAGATTGAATAGGCAGAGCACAGAGGATTCTTAAGGCTGTGAAAATACTCTATGTAACATTATAATAATGGATAAATGTCATTATTTATTGGCCCAAACCCATAGAATGTATAACACCAAGAATGAACCCAAACTATGGATTTTGGTTGATTATGATATGTTAGTATAGGTTAATCCTTAGTAAAAAATACACTGTTCTAATGAGTGTTGTTGACAATGGAAGAAGCTATGCTATGTATGTGTGGGGGTAGGGTGAGTAAGGGAAATCTCTGTATCATACTTTCATTGTTTTGTAAACCTGAAACTGCTCTAAAAAAATGAAATTTTTGAAATAATTTTTAAAAAATCACTCAACAATATTAAAAAAATAGAAAAAGCCTCAGGCAGAAATAAGATAAATTAATTTAAGGTCACCCCAATATCTATTTCCTCTACTCTGTATAATAGGTTCAAGGATCATTTAACTTAAAGCCCTGGAGAAGTTAATAGTTAACCCCTTCACCTATTCAAGCTTTCAGGTAAAAGTTGAGGTTTGGAAACCAAACAGGTGCACTATTACGATACTTATTTTTTATGACCAACACACAAACAGACCAGAATAAATTAAATATCCCATGCTCAGTGTCAGAAACATGTATTACAAGCTTGGCTCTATTTTTTACCAGGACTGGAAATCTGGGCAATTACTTACTCTACTGACCCTTAGTTTTCCCAGATTTAAAATGCTAACCATAATACTTTAAAATGCTAAGAATAGTATTGTTACACGGATTAAATAAGACAACTTGTACTGCAAATTATTTTGTAAAATGTAAAATACTATATAATCTGTTGTATATTATTAATGATTGCATGAACTATCTAGAAGCTATCACTGTAAATAAGCTGATACTGGATTCACATGAAATGACAAACTAGTTGAAAAAGAAATAAAAGTCATCCAAATTGGAAAAGAAGAAGTAAAACTGCCACTATTTGCAGGTAATATATTATATATTGAAAAATCTAGATGCCATCAAAAAACTTAGAGCTAATAAACAAATTTAGTAAAGGTGTAGAATAAGAAATCAATATACTAAAATCTGTTGCATTTCTATACCCTAATAATAAGCTATCAGAGATGTTAAGAAAATAATCCCATTTACAAACTGCAACAAAAAGAATGAAATACGTAGGAATAAAATTAACCATGGAGGTAAAAGATCCGTGATCTGAACTATAAGACACTGCTGAAAGAAATTGAAGAAGACACAAATAAATGTAAGGATATTCCATGTTCACGGATTAAAAGACCTAATATTGTCAAAAGGTCCATAATACCCAAAGCCATCTACAGATTCTATGCAATCCCATCAAATTTCCAAAGGCATTTCCCACAGAAATAGGACAAATGATTCTAATTTTGTATGAAACTATAAAAGACCCCAAAAAGACAAAGCAATCTTGAGAAAGAAAAGCAAAGCTGAAGGCATCATGCGCTCTCATTTCAAACTGTATTACAACACAACAGTAATCAAAACAGATTAATATTGGCATAAAAACAGATCAACAGAATCAACAGAGATCAACAGTATAGAATAGAGAGCCCAGAAATAAACCTACATATATACAGTCAATTAATTTATGACAAAGGAGCCAAGAATATACAACAAAGAAAGGGCAGTCTCTTCAATAAGTGGTGTTGGGTAAATTGGACAGCCACATACAAATGAGGAAACTCTACCATTATCTTATAGCCTACACACAAAATAGGTCAAGATGGATTAAATACTTGAATGTAGGATCTGAAGCCATAAAACTCCTGGAAGAAAACAAAGGTGGAAGCTTCTTGATATTGGCCTTGGTGATGGTTTTTTGTATTTGAAACCAAAATCAAAGGCAACAAAAACAAACATAAACAAGTGGGACTACATCACACTAAAAAGCTTCTGCACTGCAATGAAAACCATAAACAAAATGAAAAGGCAAAGTACCAAATGAGAGCAAATATTTGCAAATTATACATCTGATAAGTGGTTAATATCCAAAATATATAAGGAATTCATACAACTCAATAGCTACAAACCCAAACAATTGAATTAAAAAATAGGCAGAAGACCTGAGTAGTCATTTTCTAAAGACATAGAGATGGGCAACAAGTACAAAAAAGTTGCTCATTGTCACTAATCATCGGGGAAATGCAAACCAAAACCACAATGAGATATCACCTCACACCTGTTAGAATGACTGGTATCCAAAGGACAAGATATAAGTGTTGGCTAGAATGTGGAGAAAAGAGAATCCTTGTACACTATTGGTAGGAATATAAACTAGTACACCCTCTATGGAAAATAGTTTGAAGGTCCCACAAAAAATTTAAAAAAGAAATACCGCATTATCCAGCAATTCCACTTCTGGTTATTTATCCAAAGAAAATGAAAACACTAACTTGAAAAGAAATATGCACCCCATGATTATTGCAGCATTATTGACAATATCCATGACATGGAAGCAACCTATTGGAAGTGTTCATTGAGAAATGAATAAAGAAAAGGTAGTATATATATATATATATATATATACATATATATATATGTGTGTGTGTGTGTGTGTGCAATGAAATATTATTCATCCATAAAAAAAGAAGAAACTATTTCCATTTGCAATAACATGGATGGACCTTAAGGGTATTATGCTAAATGAAATAGGTCAGACAGAGAAAGACAAATACCATACAATCTCACTGTTTTGTGGGATCTAAAATAAACAAACCAGCAAATAAAAAACATAAAACCCAAGCTCATAGCTAGAGAACAAATTGGTGGTTGTCAGAGGTGGGGTGGGGGTAGGGGTATAAAATGGGTGAAGTGAGCCAAAAGGTACAAACTTCTAGTAATAAATAAGTCATGGGCATGTAATGTATAGCATAGCAACTATAGTTAATAATGCAGTATTGCATATTTTAAAGTTGCAAAGACATTAAATGTAAAAGTTATACTAACAAGAAGAATTAATTTATAACTATATATGGTGACTGATTTAACTAGACTTACTGTTGTGATCATTTTGGAATATATACAAATACTGAATCATTATGTTGTACACCTGAAACTAATATATCACATGTCAATTTGTTATATGTCATATGTCAATTCAATCACAATAAAAAAACCCAATAATACAACAATGAAATTTACAAGGGAAAATCACGAGTGTCATTTTTAACCCTCAAAAAACGAAAAAAAGTCTGGGAGTTTGAGGGAGATGAATTCCTCTCCAACCAAAATTTATCCTACATGAAATATAATAGGACATATGGATGACTGATTCCAATGGAATAGTCAAATTCACCTAAACAGCAATTTTAGGATTACAGCCAAGCATCCTCACACCAGACCTAAACAAGAAAGCTTGTCCCTTTGTTGCTCCTAATAGATGCCAAGTCTGACTGTGCATCTGCTTATTGCCAGTCAGCTTCTACTGCATTGTGAACTAAAGCTGGAATGCTGGGGTCTTCTACACACAACTTTCATTTCCCTCCAGTAGCCAGACATTCAAAGAAAGGCTCAGTTCAAGACTATATACAACCACTACCCATTAGGTGAGTGTCACAAAAGAATGACTATCCCAACCATTGTTCTGGGAGCTTTACATATATACAATTATTAGTTATTATCCCCACTGATGAATGAAGCATTCAGGCATAGAGAGGTTAAGAAACTTTCCCAGAGCAGGCGAACTCCCGGGGAGTCTGGATCCAGAGGCTAACCTCTTAACGACTATTACCTCTTTTTAATAGACATTGGGACTGGTTGAAATGGGGCTTAAACAACACTAATCTTTGGAATATTTGATGGATTACTTTTCCTACGAATACGAAGTTACACTATTACTATTTAACTAGTCATGTGATCATTTCAGAAAAACTTCTCTTCTATAACTTTTAAGGAGTTCTTAGAAAATAGTGCAAGTAATGATGAAAGAAACAAAAAGAAAGGACTAATAAGGAAAGAAAAATTCCATTTTCTGATAAAATTGCTATTAAAATCTTTACCTGTGAAGTGAAATTTCACCGATTCAGGGAGACCTGAAAGAACAGAAAAGAGAAAAATCAATGTACTAAGTATTTTGGGGCCAGAAATAGATAGGGAAGGTACAAAATAGGGGGAGAGGTTAGAAAAGTAAAGAATGTTTTATTTTTTTATTAAAGAAATTTTTAAAAAATGTTTTATTTATTTCCGAGAGAGAGAAAGACAGTGTGAGCAGGGGAGGGTCAGAGAGAAAGGGAGACACAGAATCTGAAGGAGCTCCACGCTCTGAGCTAGCTGTCAGTAAGGCTCGAACTCACAAACCGTGAGACCATGACCTGAACCGACATTGGATGCTTAACCGATTGAGCCACCCAGGCGCCCCAGTAAGGGATGTTTTAATCCAAATTATTATGGTTGAAGGAAAGATCACCAGGTCTTTTGTTAATGTTATGTTGAATTTAATGGTGCCAGCACTAATTTTAAGTGACAAAAAGAACTGTAGAGTAGAATAATTTTATATCTCAGTAGTTAGAGTGATTTATAATACATTCATTCAGATCCCATTTTATCAGTACATAAAATCCTACAAATCGGTGACTGTGGGTGATGTTGTGTATCACTGACCAGGCTCTTTGGTGGGTCAATTCCATTGTAGAATTGAGTGATGCCAGGGACATTGATTTATACACTGTAATGATGTGAGAGATTTATCTCATGGCATTTATCCCATAGATTATATAGAAAAGGACTCTGTTTTCTCTAAAAAGACTCTAGGAACTTAGGCAAGTATAATAGATATGGAAATAACTTCAACCATGGCTGACATGTTTTCTTTCCTCCTAATCCCAGGATATTCTCAGTTTCTTTGTAAAGTAGGTCTTGTCAAGCAGGGGTTAGAGAACCATGAACATTTTCATGGGCTATTAATTATCCAGCTACTAAACTTGAATTGAATAGTGGGGTATTCCCTAGAGGAAGAGGCCTATATCTACCCACACTTAAATATTTTCAATATAATTGAATAATCGTTTTCTGGACAGTTTCATTTAATATAAATAATGGAAAATATTATTTTAAATGTTTGCCATGATTTAAAATGTAACTCTAAAATTATTTAACCCATGTTCAACTTACCATAGGAAATCACCAGCTGTTCTGGATGAGTAAAGCTATTATATAAAAATAATATTCTATACTAATCATGTTATGTGGTACATACATCTTAAAGATCATAAGGAAACAGGCTTCAAGATTTTTAGAATCATTTCAGATTCTATACAACACAGAAGTCCTTAGGGTAGGGACTCAAAACTCCTGCATTCCACTGAGAAGCTCTGATTACTAGGTCAAGGGAAAAGATGAGGGGTAGCAAATATTACCTATCATGGCTTAATGGTAGGGCAGAAAATGGCTCAAATTAGAAATTCAGTCATTCTTTCATTCAGTCTTCTCTTCCTTTAAAAAAGGAGGCTTCTGTCAAGTCCTGGCCCCAAAGGTTGACTATATTCTCCATTCCTGCATGGGACCTTCTCTGAGGTAGTATGGGATGCTTCTCCCTAGATTCCTCTTACGCACAGCCCATCCACCCATGGCCTCCTCCTCAAATCCACTTACATAACTGAAGTCAAAGAGCTCTTTATAAAAAGCTATCTCCCCAGACCTTAAAACCTCCACTGTGTTTCTTATTGTTCTTGGGATAAAGATCCAAATCCTTACAGGATTTTAGGGCTTCTAAGGTCTGGCCTCTCTCTTTTCCTCCAGGCTCATTTCCTGTTCTGCTCAACCTCCTACATTCCAGACACTCCGACTTTTTTTTTTAAGCCCCAGAATGCCACATTCTCTCCCTCCCCAGGGCCTCTGCCCATAGGGTGGATGGCCTTCCTTTGGAAGTGTTATCCCAAATATACCAACATGCACATTTAGGCTAATTAGCATCCACACGAACCTCCACTGTCAATACCTCCCCGGAGAAGCCTCCATTGAACCCTCACTATAGGTCAGTATGGTCACTTCTAATTCCACCACTGAACATTTTTCTTTCTTTTTAGAGCTCTTCTTTTAGTCTACAATTAAACATTCATTACTGGGATTTTTTCTCAAACTCTGTCTCCATACCTAGGTCCCAAAACTCAGCAAGAACAGGATTCATGCCTCTTTTTGCTCACCAGTATATCTCCAAGACCTCACTCTGTGTGGTTGTCACATCAGAGGTACAAAATAAAGATTTATTGAAAGCATTCCTGCATTAATGAATACGAAAAAAATGATAAACTGAGCCCCAAGTACATATTGGCCTACAAGTCTCAAGCTATTTTGAACAGCCATAAAGCAGTGTCACTAAACTGTCCAGAAGAGTTAGGGAGAACCTGCCATGAAGATCCACAGAGAACAGTTTGGGTGCCTCAAAATAGAGAAGAAGGCATTACCAGCAAAGGAGAAGGCCATGATCTCCTGGAGGTGGGGGGCTGCAGGGGGAGGACGGTATATAATTTTTCCCTGGTTAATATCTTCTTGTGTGAAATACTGGATGGGAGAATGAGGCTGGTCCCTGTGTTCGATGATCCCTGGGAAGGAAGAGACTCAGCATGAGCATCGGCAGTAATTCTGATGGTTGACTGAAAGACTGGAGCCACAAAGCTGCCTTTCCCACTGGTGTGAGTCTTTTATACTTCAAGAAAAATTGCTCTCTGGTTTGTTTTACCATAGCATTCTCCACGCATTCAAGAAAAGGGCAAATCTGAAACCCAAACAGGCTTTAATAGCATCTTTTAAAAAAATGTTTAACTAAAGTATAACTGACATATAATAGGATATTACTTATAGTGTACAACTTAGTGATTTGGCAATTATAAACATAATGAAATGCTCCCCGCAATTACGTGTAGTTACCGCCTGTCACTATACAAAGTTATTACAATATCATTGACTATATTCCCTATGCTGTTGTTTTCATCCCTGTGACTTATTTAGTTTATAAGTGGAAGTTTGTACCTCTTAATCCCCTTCACCTGTTTTGCCCACCCCCTACCTGCCTCCCCTCTGGCAACCACCAGTTTATTCTTTGTATTTATGAGTCTGTCTGTGTTTGTTTGTTCATTTGTTTTATTTTTTAGATTCACATATAAATAAAAGGCATATGGTATTTGTCTTTCTTTGCCTGACTTATTTCACTTAGTATAATACCCTCTAGGTCCATGCATGTTGTGATGAATGGCAAGATTTCATTCTTTTATGGTTGAGTAACATAACATCCAGTGTGTATATATACCGCATCTTTATTCATTCACCTATTGATGGACACCAAGGTTGCATCTCTACCTTAGCTACTGTAAATAATGCTGTCATAATTATAAGGGTGCATATATCTTTCTGAATGAGTGCTTTTGTTTTCCTTGGGTAAATACCCAGAAATGCAATTATTGGATCATATAGTAGTTCTATTCTTAATTTTTTTGAGAAACCACCAATGTAAATTGGTGACTGCACCAATTTATATTCCCACCAACAGTGCCCAAGGGTTCTCTTTTCTCCATATCCTCACCAACACTTGTAATGCCTTACCTTTTTGATACTAGCCATTCTGACTAGTGTGAGGTGATATCTCATTGTGGTTTTGGTTCTCATTTCCCTGATGATTAGTGATATTGAACATCTTTTCATGTGTGAAACCCAAATAGATTCTTGACTAGGATTCATTGACTATAAACAATAGTAAGATGCAAATTACTGCCCCTAATATAATTTAGACTAATTCTCCACAAGTCATAGACATTGTACCATAATTACAAGATTATCTTAATTGAGTTTAAGTTCAAAGGCCAAGGATACTGAAAAAATGACATAGACTGGTCTCCTGGTTAAGCTATAATGAGAGCTTTCTCAATTTACACTTTTTGTTCAGAAATACCTCAGTCTCTGTGATAATCTTTGCCAACAGTAACATAAATTGTGACTATTCTAAGAACTGGATTTGCAATTATTACTCTGCTTGTGATAAATGCTTTAGGGGCTAAAAAATTTGCCTATCATTTTTAAATTTCGCAGGTACATAAATAATGCTGTTATGATCACCTCTCATGTCCTATCAACACTTTTAGATAAGGACACATGAGAGTTGGTGTTGAACTAATTCAAGTTAGGAGGGGTTGGGGGACTGAGGGCCATTCTCCAGAGGACAGCCCAGACTGCTGGTTGGAAAGAACTATACCTTCTACCCTGGTAATGTAGGGAGAACAGCTCTTGCTGTGACTTCGCAGATTTTTTAAAAAGTGAAGGATGACTTTTAGGAGTTTAATTATTTGGACTTTATCAAAAGGGTAAATATAATTTAATTTTTTGACATTTACTTCTCCTGGGGGATTTGATGATGTGAAAGGGTTATATCTAGGGCAGTGGTTGGTCTTGGGAAGGCAGAATTTGCTTTAACAGAAGCTAATCTCATGTCTTGATGGACAGCTATACCTCCATTAGGGATAGGCTTATTAGTTAAGTCAGAAGGTAAGAGATCTAAAGGATGGAGACAGATGTCAGGGGGCTACTTTTCCTCTGACTGTAGTTTCACGTTTTCATTCTTCTCCGTGGAGGAGGGGCAGCTTACCCAAATGGCAAAGGAAGGGAGTATATATGGCTCAGCCCCTTCTGCGCCTTCTGGCAGAGTTCCTTGTCCTGAGTACATGTTCATTCTGGTCTGTTCACCTATCATAACCTCACCAGGGCAGGGTCTGTCCCTACAGACAGTGTTTGTCTGTCCAGTTCTGCCTGTACATGAGAGGGTGAGCTCAATCCAGTGACTGAAATATATGCACACCATGTTCTCCAGCACAGCTCTGTCATACCAATGCTGATACATTCATCTCCATCTGTCTGACCAGTGTCTCTCTCTCAATTGATCCTAAATTCAGAAGAGGGAACAAAAGGTATGAATAATTGTCACTCCTTAAATCTTCAACAAGTATATGCAGACAAAACTCCAGAGCTTTGAAAATAAGTCAACAATTAGAACACAACAGAATCACTCAAAAGATCATTTACTGTACATCTTACCTTGATTTGGATGCAGAGGTAAAGTGATATTATAAATAATCTTTCCACTTGGACTCTCAGAGTTTACAAAGGAGAGGGAATGAGGCTGAATCACAGTCAGGCCATCTTCCCGAGCCTAAACAAAGTTTAAGGAGGAATAAGAACAAATGGTGTGATGAAAACAAAACGCAGAGGGGGAAAAAAAAGCAAAAGCAAAAAGCAAAAAACAGAGCACCTCACTTTGGGCTTTTAAATTAATCACACATAGTAACATTTTTTCTGGAAGTTCAGAAGGATCTGTAATCTTGCACTGCAGATCTGCCTTGGTGTTGAGAACCTCACAGGGTTATAGAATCTTCTGGTTTTCTTATACCCCAACTCTCCTCTCCCCTGTACTCTGCCCACATTTATGTTGGTTCATGCTGTAGGAGTTTCAATATAATCACTTTTCCCTAGTTTTGGAACTCACAGTGGTACATATTTGAAGATGGGGATGCCTGGATGGCTCAGTCTGTTAAGCGTTCATTTGGGCTCAGGTCATGATCTCATTGTTGGTGAGATCAACCCCATGTTTGGGCTCTGCTCTGACAGCACAGAGTCGGCTTAAAATTCTCTCCCCCTCTTTCTGCCTCTCCTCTGAGTATATGTGCACATACACATTCTCTCTCTCTCTCTTTCTCTCTGTCAAAATAAACAAAAGAAAAAAAAAGAAAAAAGAAAATGAGCCATCACAGCTAGCTATTCTACTATTCCACTCTTAACAGCTGGGTCACTCTATCTCTGCTCCTCTAATTTAATGAGCTAAGGTTGTATCTGGTAAGAAGCCCTCCCTAAACCCCTCTCTTCAGGTTTGCTAATAAAACTGTGACCCAACCTCCCTCCCTTCCTCCTCCCTCCCTTCCTCCTTCCCTCTTTCCCTCCTTCCTTCCTTTCCTTCCTTCCTTCCTTCCTTCCTTCCTTCCTTCCTTCCTTCCTTCCTTCCTTCCTTCCTTCCTTCCTTCCTTCCTTCCTTCCTTCTTCCTTCCCTCCTTCCATCCTATCTTTCTTCTTTCCTTCCAACTATGGTGGTTTCAAAGGCCCAAAGATGAACTCACCTCAAACACCAAAAGAGGCTCATCATTTGAATTCAGAGGTTTAACAATTATCTATTAAAGCACATAAAAATAGTCAATGTTTTCTTTGTCTCCATTGCACTATTCAAAAGAACTAGCTATTGTTTTTCTTTTCTAGCTTTCAGTACCCAATAAAGGGGTCAAGCAAAATTAATCAAAAGGCCAATGTGTACACATTTTTTACTGTCCATTCACTTGTATACAGCCATAACCCATCGATGTGAAAAACTAAAATAAATAAATTAATTAAATAAAAAGGAAAAGAAAGAGAGATTTTGAATCCCATGACCAAGTACAACAGTGAGTTGGGGACAGCAGCAAAAACACAGTGTGGAGATGAGAAAAGGGAAAAGTGTGTGAGCATGTGTCCCTTGTCTGGGTCACATATATCGTTAACAAAACAGAACAAAAATATCCGGCTCATTGCAGGCTCTTCCTAACTGACCCCTGGAGGGTTAGAGTTTGACATGCTCTCTTGCTCTTTGAAGCTCTGCGTCTCTCAGAAGGAATTTCCCCATTTAGGAAAAGATTAAGTAGGGCTCAGTCATTATCATAGAGGAGGGCGTGGTATTCTTCCTTTTAACCATGAAAAGATTGAAGGTTGCAGTTGCTTAGTAAGTGTCCCGAAGGCACACATGTCCTGGGGAGAGGCAGCATTTGCAGGTTAGGACAACCCTCCTAGAGTAAAGAGTCATATTTCAGGCCACTGATCAGGTCTGGAATGTAATGAGCAAGGAAAATAAGAATTACAAAGAGCAGCGGTCTCTCACCCTAAAATAAAACAAGTAAGGACAACAAATTTAAAATATATGCCCTGTGTGAGATGGTTACAGCCCATGTATGCATGCACACACCCATAAATGTATACATGTGTGGGCGCAGCTACATGGACATAAATGAGCACACTCAGCACACTGTTCAATACTATTTGCCACCTTTGAATCTCAAAACCATCAGAATAACTGAACATTCTCGGAATAGCAGGAGATATTTTTCAAAATATAGATGTCCCTAAAATAATAAAGCAATAAGAAAAGTGAATGGAATAGGAGTATGGCTAAAGGAAAATATATTCCAGCCAAGATAACAGATACTTTATTACAGAATTTATTGCTACTATTTCCCTACTAATAGAAATAGGAACTAGGTAGAAAAAGGACGGACTTGATTCTTTGAAGAACACAATATTGAGTCTGAGATATATCAAGGTGTAATCAATTTTAATATTGGCTATTTGGAAAGTTCAGTATTTATCAATTAAACAGAGAAAGAAATGAAAGATTAATTTTTTTTTAATGTTTTATTTATTTCTAGGAGAGAGAGAGAGACAGCGTGAGCAGGGGAGGATCAGAGAGAGAGGGAGTCACAGACTGAAACAGGCTCCAGGCTCCGAGCTGGCAGTCAGCACAGGGCCCGACGCGGAGCTCGAACCCACGAACCACGAGATCATGACCTAAGCGAAAGTAGGACACTTAACCGACTAAGCCACCCAGGCGCCCCATGAAAGATTAAATTTTATAGAAATCATTACAGAAGACACATTTTTATTAAAATATCTGTCAACAAAAGAAGGTTGAAGAATAATGGTTTTCATAATAACCATATTACATCTGAATATATCTGGAATCCAATTGCTTCTCCCCACTACCACCGCCAGCACCCTGTTGGCAGCCACAATTTCTCACCTGGATCACCAGGACATCCTCCCAACTGCTCTCTCGCTCCACCTACAGTCTATTTCAACACAACAGCCAACCAGAGAAGATTAGACCCATGCTGCCCAACACACAGTACTTACTGGCTCTGCATTTTCTCCGAAAAATAGCAAAGTCCCTACAATGGCCTGTGAGGACCTACAAGGTCTGCCCTAACTCCTCCCTCTGCGGCCCCCAACACACATCCTTGACACCTCTGTGAATCTGATCAAATGACTCTCATTTTCACTCACTCTGCTCCAGCCACACCTTGCTGGCTACCTTGCTGTTCCTTGAACATCTAAGCACATTCCCAATTCCATGTCTCTAAACACATGGTTCCCTGGGTCTGGAATGCCTTTCCCTCAGGTGTCTGCAGAGCTATCTCCCTCACCTCCTGCAGGTCTTTCTTTAAACATCATTGTCTTAATAAAGCTCACCTCATTTAGAACTGCATCCTGGGTTTTTCCTGTTCCCATCACATCTCTGATCCCTTGACCTAGATCTACTTTTTATCTTACCATCATACTTTGCTCGATAACAATTTGTAGATTGGATGAAAAATATCATTAGGAAAAGATTAAGCTAAGAAATAAAATAATGAAAATTTAATTAAAAAAACAACTTAATTAAAAAATATTTTCCACAGTCTTGCAATATCATCTAAACAATTAGAGGGGCAAAACATTTTAACATGTAAGCCTTAGCAAAGTGTATGTGATTTAAATCTTTAAAACCCCTGAGCAGGATTTATAAACAACATTGTCATTTCAGCCTCCATTAAAAGCAAGACCACTTTCCCATGTTGACTGTCAGATTACCAAAGCAGCAACACCCATGGCTGGCCTGAGAAATTAAGAGGATGAGATGAGTAAAATGGAAGCTCTGCAAGAAGCCATCTTCCCACATAGTTTGTTAGGACAACAAAATTAATTCACTTACATATTCACGTGGCAAATATTTAGTAAGGATCTAAAATGGGAAGGTACCAAGCAAAGAGCTGTGGGAGATGCAAGATGAATCAGATAAAAACTCTTTCCTCAAGGATTTCCAGTTTTTAGTAAGGGAAGTTCATAAATAGCTTCACTGTGCAAACTGCTAAGTGGCCTGAAAGGCTCAGATAAAGCACAGTAGGAATTCCAAGGATAAAGAAACATTTCCAGAAATTGCATATAATGATTTTATTAGTGTTTGATGGGTCTCAAGAAAAAACATGGACACATAAGCCCGGAGCCAGAAAACAAATACAACATGCCTAGACTTGAGTCTACATGACAAGGGATCAGCTGTTCTGAGTCCCTACTAACCCCAGTAAGAGTGGTTTTAAGGGGCGCCTGGGTGGCTTAGTCGGTTAAGTGTCCGACTTTCGCTTGGGTCATGATCTCGCGCTTTGTGGGTTCGAGCCCCGCGTCGGGCTCTGTGCTGACTGCCAGTTCAGAGCCTGGAGCCTGTTTCAGTCTGTGACTCCCTCTCTCTCTGGCCCTCCCCTGCTCACGCTGTCTCTCTCTCTCTCTCTCTCTCCTAGAAATAAATAAAACATTAAAAAAAAAAAAGAGTGGTTTTAAGACAATTCTTGTTACAGCAGTCACTGGAAACAAATGGAACTAGAAAGGTTTATTTGAGGCCTTTCTCTTAGGTGGTGACCTTGGGAAACCCAACTCTGAGTGCCACAACCATTTGTAAAAGGAAGTAATAAATATTCTGTCTTTCACATTAAGAGACAATAGAATTTTCTTCCCTCTTAAAAGAGGAATTGGAAATAGGATGTTCAAAGTGTATGTATGTAGTGCTTACCCATATGATTAAGTTATGTGAATTGGAAAGTGATACAGTTTAGGGAGATATTAGCTATATGAAGATAGGTCTGAAAATGATTCATTTAGTCAACAAATATTTATTAAGCAACTACTTTATATAAGCCATTGTGCTAGATGCTCAGGAAGAGACCAAGATTAATTAGTCAAAGATTTTGCCCTTAAAGATCTTCTAAGTCAGGTGGTGGATGATTACTTGGAAGACTGAACTGATATAAATCTATTAACTTCTTTGCCAAATCTCACACTATGCTATGCGATTTATTGGTAACTATGCATGTTTACAGATCTCCCTGCCCAAATATGATATATATCCCAAATATACATATCTCACATGTTTATATATATGTATATATACACACACATACATATACATATATATCTTATAATATTATACATATATGTATACATCTTATATATGTATGTATATAAATCTGGTGGAACATTACAAACAAAATTGTAAGATACCATTTAAAGGATCTTAGATTTGATAGAGGGCATTATGGAAAGGCCACAGAACAAATTTCCATTTAGGCAGGTATTTCTTTATGTTGCTTTTCACTCTATACAATCTCCCTGGGGCATCTCAGGCCCAAGGATTAAACTGCTACCTACCATTAATGGTCCTCAGAGATTTATCTCCTATTGAGAATATCTTCTGCCAGCCCTTAATAGGCACACATTTTATAACCACATCCCAAACTGAACTAATGTTATCTTCCACCTCTTCCCCTTGCCCTGAAGTCCCCATACGTTCCCAATCTTAATGAATGGCATCTTTACATATTTAGCAACTGTTTTCTCCTCTTCCTATATCTAATTGACCACTATTTCTCCAAATATCTTTTAATATCTCCCTATTTTTTTTATCATCTTAACCGCTTTAGGGGCACACTATAGTAGTGTTAACTACATATGCATCTTGTGGAACAGATTTCTAGAACTTTTTCATCTTACAAAACTGAAACTCTATAGCCACTGAACAAAAACAACTCCTCTTTTTCCTCTCCCTACCTCTTCCTGCTCCCCTACCTCTGCAGGGGCAAATACCATTCCACTTTCTGTCTCTAAAAGTTTTACTACTTTAGATAGCTCATATAGTGGAATTGCGCAGTATTTGTCCTTGTATGACCACCTTATTTCACTTAGGATATTACCCTTAAGATTCAGACATATTATAGCATGGCGGGATTTCCTTCTTTAAGATTGAATAATATTCCATTGTTGTATATACCACATTTTCTTTACCCATTTATCTGCTGGAGGGCATTTAGGATGCTTCTGTCTCTGAGCCATCAAGAATAATGCTGCAATACACATGGGTGTACCAGTATTTCTTTGAGATCTCACTAACTCTTAATCCTTGTCGCCACTGCATATGGTTCATGCCACTAACTCTTCTTGTTCTAAATGGCTGCAAAAGCCTATTTCTTAACCAACCTGTTCTCTGTCTGGACCCCATGTGGGGTGTTCTTTATCCTACAGCCAGAATAATTCTTCCTAAACTGAAAATCTGATCATGCCCCCTTTCTGCTATGAATCCTTAAACATCCTACTTGCCCCAACAGCCTCTCAGGACAAAATGGAAACTTTTCATCTTATCTCTAAGGTCCTCTTTGATCTGACTCTCATTTCTTGTTTCTTTTTCACCTAGAGATTTTATGCTCAGGCCAACTTAACTCTCTGTAATTCCTCAAACATGTCATGTTCTCCTGTGTCTCCAATTTTTTCACCTGCTGCTCATCTACCTGGAATGAATGTCCTCATATTTTCAGTCTATATAAATGGGGTTTCAAGTGTGCTGAGCAGAGCAGAAACAACAGTATCACCTGGGAACTTGTTAGAAATGTAAGTTCTCATCCCTATACTAGACTTACTGAATCAGAAAACTCTGGGGTGGGCTCCAGCAATCTGCCATTTAACAAACTCCATAGGTGATCCCAATATAGGCTGAAGTTGGAGACCATGCTCTGGATACTTCAGCTCAGTCTACCTCTGAAAGGAAGCTTCCATGACCTCCCCCATGCCTATTGGACTAGGTGTCTCCCTATTTGCTTCCATATTGTGGCTCTGCTTGCATATCATATCATGGCATTTATCATTGTATTCTCATTGCTTACTTATTTGCTTGTTTTAGACTCTAATCTCCTTGAGAACAAAGACTGTTTTGTAGCCACTGAATCTCCCATATGTTCCACAGCACTTGGGATAGCTTAGGGGCCCAAAAGTGTTCATTTGAATGACTGAATGATTGGAGAGGTGGGCTCCTATCCTTAAACACATATATGAATATACCATATATTTATTTAGCATACATGTTCATAGTGTATTTTCAAATATGTGTAAAATTTGTGTGCTTAGAGGAGTCTAAGTCACTGAATAGAAAATGTGTTTTTATCACAGATTATAAGTATATCCTATAGTAATGAGCTCTAATTAATGTCACAAGAAATATAAATAAATAAAAAGTGAGCTAATCACATTTTACAGTAATTACACAGGACAGATGTAATTTATAAACATGTAACCTGAGACCCTAAAGGTTAAGTAACCTGAGAAGTCTCTAGAGTCAACGACATAGTGGGAATGGCACCATCTTCATTGGCTCCTGGCCCATGTTTTCTCTCTAAACTCAAAATAACACTGCATTAGCATTTGGCAAGCAATGCGTATGCACATTTTTTCTTTACACTTTAGAGAAAATTCTGATCCAAGTTCCTCCAGTCAGAATGATGAATTATAGACTTTATAGTGCTGCTGAATTATGATTTCTTTAAATTATGGTTTATGGTGGAAATGCCGATACCAGCTATTCATTAAAAACTTTCTGTTTCCCCCTTTATGTCTCTGTCATGCCCCAGACCCATAATTTCTAAAACTATAGCTGCTCTCTTTGTTGTGGCTCAGGGCTGATACACTGCTTTGGAGTGTAATTATGTGGGTTCTAACTAAAATGCAAATCCTTAATGATTAATTTATAAGGTCTTATATGCTTGTGGCTCTGTCTAGAAGAAGGGTTCTGGCATTACATACCCCTTACATATAGGGTTACAGTGGAGTTGCTAATTGTCTGAACTAAACTTCAGGTACTAATTTAGCTGTCACCTCACTTCTAACTTTCCCATGTGCTCACACTCCTTCCCACACAGCCCACAAGATCTTCTGTGATCTAGCTCATGAATCTTCACATCCTCACGACTCCTCCTCTGCCTCCCTGATTTCTTGTGTCTTACTGAACTATTTACTGTTTACTCAACCATGATATTGTCTTTCACATCTGCATCTTTTCTGTGCTGTTCTTAAATCTGGAAGTGGCCTTTACCATCACCTCTCCATTCCTTCCAGCCTGCCCCCCAAACTTTCACTTGGATAATTGCTACTTATTTCTTTGGGTTCAGCAAAGATATCACCTTCTCCAGGAAACTTTTATGATAAAAAAACAAAAAATAAAAACAAAAATAAAAAACTTCTAATAGGGCTTCTAAAACAGAGTGGCAGTATCTCCAGCTAGATGGAGCCATAACTGACTGAACAATTATACCCAAATGGTATTGATTAAATCGACATAAGCCTGAAACTCATTCCAACTACTCAAGGAGAGGCCCTGTGACCATCTGGATGCTGTAAAAAGGACAGAAGCAATGGATGGGAGGTTGAGGTCGATTCCATGTAACCTTCCTTTCACTCTGGAATTTCAAGTTTCTTTTTCAAGTCTACAAGAAATGTGACCTCAGGGCTGGTCATTGTTGGCCCCAATGTCTGAGTTCTGAGCCAGGCACATTCACCAGATATAAAAGCAGGACATGCCATCAAACCCATCAGCATGCCTCCTTGGAGTGGAAACCACGAGCCGTCCCATCCAACTCACGGTCATATGGAGAGATGCTCCCAGAGAGAGTTTAGGTGTGTCAGGTGTCTGTGGTAAGATCGCGATGTTGAATACACGGCTCTCCAGATGTGTATGGGCATCTGTGGCACTAGACACCTGAAAAGAAATGTCATGCCGGTGAGCCTCTCATGCTCTGTTAGGCAGAGTATGTTTGTGTATGTTTATTTTTCCCCCCTTTAAACCATATGTCATTGAATTATATGTGTTCTTGCATTATCATTTTCATTTTGCTCTTCATATTTTAATATTAATATTTTCCTGATTATAAAAAGTATAATCATTTTAGGCAGTTCTAAAAACGTAGGGAAGTCCAAATGAGAAATTAAGAAAATCTAGAAGGTCACTAAGTAGAAAGAGTAGTTATTAACCTATTGATGCATTTCAGGTTATTCTGTTTTCTATGTGTATGTGAAACTTTATGTACAATTATGTGTTGTCTAAATTTTTATCTAACATAATACTATGGTGTTTTGTTATATCACTAATCATTTTTGAAAACATAATTTTTGATAGCAACATGTCTTATTATTAGCATATGTAACATATATGGGATTTTTATCCTACTTCTTAATTTTTACCCAGCACAGATACATACACCTAGATTAGAAATGATAAATCTCAGCCTCATCATCATAATGTGAGATTAATAACAATTACAATGAGAATAGTAGTCACAAAATCAACCAACCCCTGCTTCAAAAATCCTGAAAAATGATGCTTTGCCTACACAGCTAGCTCTTCCACTCCCTCAGTGCTTCTGAGCTGCCCACTTAAACTCTCCCTCTCTGTTTTCTGCTCCATTTTAGGCTTGTTATAAGAGTTGCAAAGGCCTGTGTGGCCATGTGTAGTTGCATTAATTCCATATGAGAGGGGGCAGGGTTCTGTCAGTTCTGAGGAAAAAGGCAGGAATAGCATTCCTTTCTTTATGTCTTCTGAAGTTGTGCCCAACAGAAAAACTGTCTTCTCTGTATCTTGATCACCTAAGATGCCTGGAGCCCAAGTTCAGAATATCTACATGTTTTCAAGAAGACACTTTATAGTGTGTCATTACAAATAATATTAATGACAATAGCTATAATTTGCTGATCATCTCCCATGGGTTCAGCACTGCACTACCTACTTTGCAAAAGTTCTCTTACCACTTACAAGAAAGATATTATCTCCTATTTTAAGATGAGGAAATGAAAGTCAAAAAAGTTAAGCAAGGAGTCACAGTCATAAAGTCAATAAGGGTCAATATTGAACCAGGTCAGGAGGTTCATGAGCTTCCTACTGACCAAGATGGCTCATTTTGGAAGCTTTCAAAACTTAGAAGAGGGGAAAGTATACTCTATCTCTTGAAGAAAAAAATGGAACACTGTGCAGGTAGTGAAATGTGGACACATCACCAAGCAAGGGAATCAATTCTAGCTTCCTTAGTAAAGATATTGGTATGAAATATGTTGGTCTTTTCATTCCACACCCCCTAAGGCTGTTTCAGTGTGATCTGAATATACCAAAACCAGAGTCCTTTCTCATGTCCCAAATGACGCAAATGTGTATGCTTTCTTTTCACTATGCCATACTCTATTTTGTAATGCCACTTGCATTACATAAATCCCAAGTTTTACGTGCAAAGTAACAGATGGCATAACTTGATGGCTCATGACAGCACATCAACATTAAAATGGAATTAAATCCATGCAACTCATTGTATTGCATTTTCTGCTTTAAAGAAAGAAAAAAGGGAAGAAAGACAAGAATTGTTAGAACAGCATCTTTCTTAGTTTAATTCCTTTAGGGACACTAAAATGATGAATGAGAAAAGTTTCAATCATTTGTTTCAGTACATAGCTACAGTGTCTGTGTCATTTCAAATCAAAATATGAGGTAAGCCTATAAAACAATGAGACTTTAAAAACACACCCAACTTTTTTATATCCAGGAGAACGTAATCAAAGAGAGTTGTTTCACACTTGCAATAAAGATGCTGTCAGTGTTCAAAATGCACTTTTTGGAATGCCTTCAGAGGGAGTTCACAAATCATGTAAGAAACCTGAGCCTGTTACTTCATAATTGCTCCCTGTTGTAACCAAAAATAATTACTACTCTTCTTACCAGACATGACTCTGACTGACTTTTGGCTCTTTGGTTATTTTAAAAATCAACTTCCAAAGGATGATACACTGTCATTACTGGGGATATTCTAAAGAAAATCCCATGGATTTTGAAGAAGATCCTCAAGCAGGCGTTCTAAACACACCGCAAGTAAAATGTGTGAAGACTCTCCAAAGAGAACCATTCTCTATGTAATAATGTTCAACTGGATGTCTTAAAGTCTAGCGAGTTTGTTTTTTAAAAAATGAGTAACTCTTGCTTTTTTATAATTCCCCATTTAGTAACCAAGTTGGAAAAGCAATCGAATATCATTTTGAGCAGGTACTGAGACTCCGTTTCCAGGGAAGTGCTCCATATTGAGAACGTTCTTCATCCTGACAGCTGTACAGACAAAGGCAGATCCAAGGATTCTAGTTTGCTGAGATGCCTTCTTATGATAGAAGTTTTTGCCTCCATTCTGACTCATTTTTTTAGGACTGCAGAATTCTCAGGTGCTAAATATGAAAAAAGTTAATTTGGGCAAAGGGCACATGAGGCTTGCTCACTCATTGGACATTCAGTGTGCTCAGTATAATCTCATTTTAATGGTTTGCAAGTTTACTTCAGTCTGCTCCCTGGAAAAGCACATTTTTTACACAATATAAATTAGGCAATAAAGATGTGTACACCAGGCATCAGGAGCAGAATGGATGGTCATTTTAACAAGGTAAGCTGTTGTGGCAGTTTATACCCAGTTGGATTCCTAGACAAAGGAAAAGTCTCAAACTCAGAGGGACTGTGACCCTGGTTTGGCTGATCACTACCACGAGTGCTTCTTTGTATTTTCTCTGATACTTTCCCAAATTCTTTTGTGTATCTATGTTTAAATGCTCTTTCTCAAAGTTCCTCATTCCTTTGTACTTTTATTCAATAGTTTATTTCCAAATTGCCCTTGACATAGGTTTGTTTAATTCTATTAGTCTTTCCAAAGATTCAGGTTTTGTATTCATTATCAATTCTCACATTATATACTGAATCAATTCTTCTGCTTATCTCTACAAATCCCTTCCTTTTGCATTCCTTAGGTTTCCCTTATGGTTCCCCAGTTTCATTTAGCCCATTTATTTTCATGCTTTTTGGTCAATAATAAGAGCTTAAGGCCATCAATTTTTTTCTGAGTATTATTTTGTCCACATCATTTAAGTTCTGATAAATTATGTCTTCCTCATCTTTTTAGAACTCATAATTATTTAGGAGACTTTTAAAAATTCTAAATGGTTTGAATTTCTATTTACCCTTTTATTATTAATTATTAATTGTATTTGATAATTTTCAGACAATGTGCCCAGGATAATTTCTTGTTCCTTAATTTATTGACAGCCTCCTTACGGTCTGTTTGTCTTAGTTTGCTCAGGCTACTATAACAAAAATACCATAAACTGATTGGTTTAGAAACAAAAGTAATTTATTTCTTGCAGTTCTGGAGACTAGAAGTCTGGATCAGGGGGATGGCATGGTGGGGTTCTGGTGAGTGCTCTTTCTGGGTTAGAGACCACCAACTTCTCATTGCATACCCATTGTGGAGAGCAGGGAAGGGGAGGAAGCTCTCTCGTGACTCCTGTAAGTGTACTAATCCCATTCATGAGAGCACAGCTCTTATAACTTCATCTAATCCTGATCACTTATGAAGGGTCTCATACCCATATACCATTGTATGGGGAGAGGGTAGGATTTCAACATATGAACCTCAGGGGGACACAAACAATCAGTCTACAGCACTGGTATTTGACCAATCTTTACAAATGATGGTAGCAAACCCATACATAGTGATAGGGAGTATTGTACGTCCTTTATATGTACTAACTCATTAAATCCTTATAGTAGTTCTATTTCACAGATCAGAAAAATAAAACACAAGGATTTTGCCAAAGTAATTTTTGCAAAGTTGTATAGCTAGCGTGTGGCAAAACTGAAATATGAACCCACTGGGTTTAGCTGCTAAGTCTATGATCTTATGATAAGATGGTAAATGTTCCAAAAACATTTGAAAAAAGAAATATTTTTCCTCCATATGGCATTTTAATATTTTGAAAACATTTTTTTCTAAACACTTCAGCCTTTATCCACTATAAACTCTTTGCTGTGGAATGAGTCTGTTTGTAGAGATATCCTAAGACTGAATCAGCAGATTAAAAAAAAATCTCTCAGTGCTATGAATTACATTTGTTCTTCCCCCAAATGTGATTTCCAGGCAACATAGAAAATGACTTGAATTGTTTAAAATAATGGTGATGAAAAATAAACAAAATGAAATAAAATATAATAAATAAAATAATAAAATAAAATAAAATAAAATAAAATAATAAAAATAACAGTGGTGATTTTCACCAGACCATACAGATATCAGAAAAGTCAGCAGTAGAGGGTACCTGAAAGCGGAAGGAGTCACTCTGGGCTGGGACTCCCGAGTGTCTGTACCACACAATGCCTTCGTTGATGTCTTGTTGGGTGAAGGTGCTGGTGGGGGTCACTGTCCTCCCATCAGGCAGATGCTGCCCTTCCTCTGCACGGCTGTCTGCAGGCATATCAACCAGAAGGACCACCTCTCCTAGGAAAGCCACATCATTAGTGAGGATCTCCAGGAAAAGTAAAAGTCAGTCAGCGCTCTCCTCACCTTTTCTACCACCATTTTTTCCCAACAGAAATTATACACTTCCATATTTTTATCTAATGTGAAGGAAAGGAGGTTAACACAGAATTCAATAGACATAGAATTCACCTTCACACACAGAAGTCCCACTCTCTCAGCTAAAAAAAGGCTAGAAGCCATTCAAGGGTAATTCACGTGTGAAGTTACTGACTTACATCAATTAAATATTTTGAAATCACGAATACAGCAAACAAATATTCAAATACAGGGCATTGGATGGATTCATTTCTACCTACAACTTCCTATGTAGCAGGAAATGCTTTCTAACCAGGAAGTTTTTGATGTAAACATGGGAAATTTGAAAAAATTCAGAAAAAATATCATTATTATTAATTATCATTACTATTTATTTGAGAGAGAGAGAAAGAGAATCTCTGTGCTCATCGAGGAGTCTGATGGAGGGCTCAATCCCATGACGCTGGCATCTGATCTGAGCCAAAATCAAGAGTTGGATGCTCAACCAACTGAGCCACCCAAGCACCCCCAGAAAAAGTTACTCTTGGGAGAATTCTGTACAATTAAAATAATAATAGCTGACATAGGGATGCCTACGGCAGCCACTGAATGAAGCACATTATGTGATGGTTCAAACCTAGCTCCATGTTCAGCTGCATAAGCTTTATGTAGGCTTTAGAAGCCTCTCTGTTCCTATGGGTAAAATGAGAATAAAGGTACATACTTTGTAGATACTTAAAAAGAATGTTATTAATCCTTATAATTATGTTATTTGATCCTTTTGAAGATGTTATTATTATCTCTATTTAAAGGAAGTTCTTTTGGCTCAGAGAAGTTCAATAACTTGTTCAAGTTTACAATTTGTACATGTTGCAGCTGAGATTTGAATCTGAAGCTCATATTCTTAGTTGTGAAACTCTGTTACCAGTTTCTGTTCACAGTTCAGTATCCATCCTCCTAAATAACTATCTTGTTTTCTCCTCCATCATTCTTTAGACTTCATTAGACTTGAAGCAAGGAAACCTAAATCTAGACAACACCACCACCAGTCTGTTTCTACTGCTTGTTCATCACCTGAAGCTACTATCTTTTTAAAGGGAGATAGCAAATACAGAGGTGTTATAGAAACAACTAAAATTTCACAAGAATAATATGCCCTCAGATGAAGACCAAACAGAAGAATGGATGAACTGCTGAAAACAGAAGCCATGTTTTCATGAAAATGCATCTAATAAAAAAATCTGAAAGAAAACTCTCTACCACTCAGATGGTAAGAGGAGTAGAAGAGGAGGGGAGAGAGGGGGAGAGAGAGGAAGATGGGGAGCTTCTCTAAAAGGATACCCAGATCTTAGTACACTAAGTATGCTAGACATATTGAATAACTGAAAACACACTTTGGTTACTCAAGAGCAATTTTCATACATGACGTAAATATTCCTTCTCATATTTATATGCACTAAATTGAAGTTTAAAATGAGCATAATATACTGGATGGTGATTGAAATTCTAAAGCAAGAGAAAAACATCAATAGTCTTCTTTATAAAATCATGTGTAGAATCAACTCATTCTAGTTTCTTTTTTGGTACTGTTTCTCATTTGTACCTAAGTCATAAATTCCATTAGCCATCTCTCCCTGGTGCAACCTCTGTTCATAAGATGATACCAGTAAACATTCTTTTCCAGAATGTATATCGTTTCTGAATGTGAGACAGTTGCAAAATATTCTGAAAGTAGATTTCTACAATGAAAATGTAGACAGTAAAGGAACAGAAAATATTCAAATGCTAATTTCCTAGCAATTTTTCTTTATCATAGAAAAAACTAAGCAGAATTTTTCTAACAAGCCCTAATGAAATAAGCCTATTTTTCAGATTAAAAAAAAAAAAAACTGCCATGTTATTCAGATTAACAGGAGTCATAGGATATTGGCTAATTCCATTAATTTCTATTCAGTTAATAGTCATCAAGTACCTGTTAGGTGCTAGCTATCACACTAGACCCTTCAGGGATGGGGATTCAAAGATGAGCAAGATGCAGTTCTTACCCCTGACACCAGCCCCCATAAGCAACTGGGAGCCACTGTGAGATTTCAGTAGGTGAATAGCATGATGTGATTTAGAACACAGAATGTACATGATCAGAATACAGGGAATCTATGAAAGTCCTATTAAATAGACTGGATTTTATTTTATAAAAATGATAAAATAGTCATTAACATTTATGTGGACAGTTTGATCAATTATGAGATTACTGCAAAATCCAGATGACTGATGTGGTCCTGAACTAGGGCAAGAGAAGTAAGATTGGAAAGCAATAAACAGATATAAGAGTCACTAAGTAAGTGGAAGCAACAGAACTTGATACTTGTGTTATGAAGGTGAGAGATTGGGAGGGATATGAGGCAATGATGCTGCTGACAGATGAGCAGGCTGGAGGGAAGTTTAGCACTGGGTCTGTTGAATATAAGGTGTCTTCGTGATAAGCCCAAGAGTAGAGAGGAAGAAATATCAGTATTTTGTGGGGTTCACTCCAGTGAGGTGAGAGCTTGGGTATAGAACCTCATCTCTACTTTTATTATGACAAAAACAAGGAGATGACCTATAAATATATGAAAATCCAGGTTTATGAAACAGTCAGTCTAGGTATAAAAAACAAAGTATTCTGTTCTTGGGATTTCCTTAATACTAAAGCCTATAGTTTAGTCAAGAATTTTGAAGGGAGCTGGGACACCTGGGTGGCTTAGTTGGTTGAGCGTCCGACTTTCGCTTAGGTCATGATCTCGTGGTTCGTGGGTTTGAGCCCTGCGTCGGGCTCTGTGCTGACTGCCAGCTCAGAGCCTGGAGCCTATTTCGGAGTCTGTGTCTCCCTCTCTTTCTAACCTTCCCCTGCTCACACTGTCTCTCTCTCTCTCCTAGAAATAAATAAAAATATTTAAAAAAAAGAATTTTGAAGGGAAATTTTGATAGGTATTAAGAATTACAATCTCTTTCCATGTTTTAGCTATTGTGGAGAGTGCTGCTATGAACATTGGG